GCGAATCTTTTGTGCCCCGGGTTACCGTAAGGCCTCATAATGCACTGGATAGAGAACATACAGCTCAACACTGCTCTGTATACGAGACTCTGATGTATCGATTTGGACATTGCTCATAACAGGCCCGGCACAGCGCTCCGGCAGCATGGGCGTGTCCACTCATAATGTTATGAGTATGTAGCGATTTCTACAAATAAATGACAAATTTAATCAATTTTCGGAATTTGGGTACATATGGGGGCGTGTTTAAGGGATCCAAATTACGATTTCGAACGCGCATGATGAATGCAGAATCCAGAAGGCTGGGGCAACTGATGAGTAATCACAGTCGATCTTACGTAATCATGAATCCCTCTGTTTGTTACGCGGAGTATCTTGTAATCTGTTGCCGTTTCGAGTAAGGGATGGCTGCAGATACAGAGGCTGAGATTAGACCCGAGATGAAAGTGAAGATTATCCAAAAGCGGCCTGTAAAGTGTGTTACCAGTAAGGCTAGGAAGTCAAACGACGTCTGGCCTTCCTGCCGAGGAGCGGCCTTGAAAACTGAGCCAGATTCTTGAGACGGGTTACCGTGACTGAGAGAGTTTCTTCTCCTGCCAAACCTCGCGCTATGGCGAGTTAACCCTTTCCCCATCAGGGCGCCCGGTCAGGGAGTCCGATTACACACCGACAAGCGGGTGATGTAACCTCCCTCGTTGCGGGGCTTACTCAGTCGGCGCTGTAGCTGTACTCATATATTATGTGCTAATGATCTGTTCTTGTTGACTTGAGCCTAGATGTTTATCGTTATACTTGCAGCTCAGGCGGGGTTAATGTTAATACGAGACATTTAAAAAAATAATATTCCAAGTTTGACATGTACGTTGTTGATTTGAAGCAAACTTTCACTGACGTGTTCGTTGCCCGAGGGAGAGGCCTGAATTCTCTGCTTGTATAGTCTGACTTAATTGATGAGTTGTTTGGTTATAAAAACAACTAACTATATTTTTCCATTTGTTTGTCGGGCCATAATCAGACAAAGCTCAAGGGAAGCTTAACAGACCCAACTTTTGTGTTCCTGAACAGGCGTTATGAAGTTTTTGTACAATAGAACCAGTTTTCTATGTGTATACCTTTGAGATAACGTTGTACTATAATTCATGAATAAGGTTGTTCCGCTTGGATGCATGTGGTATAAAAGCGCTCATATTAATGAATGGATACATAACGGGGAAGTCTTTCAGAGCCATAACATTTTCCTGCTTTAACGGCAATCCTCATCCTTGTTTTCAGTAAACAGTTAATGTACATCCTATTTGTATCTCACACTGCAGGGTGTGGGGTTTGGATCAGCAGTGTGGTGAATGATGTTCAACTTGAAAACATCACGTTTATTGTGGGTGGAGAAATCCTTTGTTGAAAGTGTAGAGGCAGGGATTTCTGGTGTTTATTTTCTTTGTGTGGGCAGCCGGTCGTCGTGAACTTGTGAGATGCTGACTTGACATGATGGGTTTTAATGCCTACTGAAAGGCCATTGGCTCATATAGTACAATCATATTGCCGGGACTTGCTTCCTTGTGTGAATAGAGGCATGGTAGGGTGGTGGTGCCGGTCCAGTAGATGTGTTTAGGGTAGGGAAGGAGCTTCTCGTGAGGTTGAGTTCCCATGGGTGGCTTTTGACCTGGATGACACGAGTGATGTCTTTGGCATTTGGGGAGCATTTATTTTTGCTGAAGCGATTGATACCTTGCCAATGCTTGGTTGATATAAATCCCGGCCCGTGTCTTAGATGTTAGGGATGGGCTGCCATTGCCTTTGTAATCTGGAGGTGCAGTAGGAGGCAGGCTCAAAGTGATTATTTGATCCAGTGTTTGTATTTAAACGCTGGTGAGATGGATATGTCGTATCTTGAATTATGTGTATTGTTTTATGAATGCTTTAATGCATAGTTTTGAAAATACGACTCTGATCCGTCCGTGTTCTCAGGACAAACTGCTTAATACTTCTTGCCAATTTATTCCCCTACCCCTCGTTCTTTCCCACCAACACTGCCCACTCGCCCCCAAATCTGACTCCCATATGCTAGCTGTTCATTCCCTCCATAACCTCTCCAACTTCTGAATCACCCATGTCACTCATCCCGTCCTTCATCCCCCATCTGTCCAACATCCCCAGCTACTTGGATCTCGCGGCATCACCCACTTAGTTTCTCCCTGTCCCACTTGTCCTGATCTCTAGGCCACACTCAGGTTTTTTGCCCCCAATCTCTTCCACACACCACACCACTTGAAAACTTGAAAATATTTTTCATATAAATCCACCAACCCCTTATAGGATTTTGAATGGTAAATCCGTGTTTGTTCCTTATACATGACTCGATGTACAGACAGTTTAACTAACACTTTAACTAACGTTTATTCTCCTCTCTTTCAGCAATTGCACAAGAGAAAGCGGAACAGGGGAAGTAATTCCATAGTAATGTGAAGCCAGGAAACTGATGACGTCACTAGTTGGCACGCGCCTCGCGGCTGGACCAGCGGGTGACCATCGGCGTCCCATCATCTCGTTGCCTCATGCTTGATATATATGCACAGACTGTGCAGTACATGACAGTTATTATTTGTAATTCCATAACATTGCTCACATTTGTGAACTTTTATTTTATTTTCCACTTTAATAAAAGCCATTGCTGAACTTCCGTGCAGTTCGAATGGCCACTTAGAAGTGCAGTTAGTTTTTTTTGTTCCCAGTTCTTTAGTCTATCGTGGGCAGGATTAGTCCACGAAACAGATTCATCTGCGAGTTTTAAACGATCAATCAGCGCAGAGCTTGAAAAATATCCTGAATGGTGCTTGATCGTTTTCAAATTTGATTTGATTTATCAAACCAACCGATTTAGAATTGAAATCGAATGTACGGAAATGCCTTTTCAGAGAAGGCTCATCTCGTCTTGCAAGACATTGGTTGTCGGACCTTTGTGGATTTTCTCAACCACGGTCAAGATTCGAGGAAGGAATTGGTTCCTTGTGTACTTCGTTGTTTAAGGCTGGGGTATTTTACCCCATGCATTGATTGTGTTCCAACGATTGGATGTTCAGCTACAAGATAGTTGTTTCCATATACTTAGGGTCAACAACCGTTGTTTCATTGGAAAATGGTTAAGTAACCATTCAGTTGCTCTTCCAACACGTAAATAACAAGGACGAGATTAAATCTTGTGTATTTTGGTTACTTTGCATGTGGGGGCGGTGGGGTAGCCTAGTGGTTAAAGCTTTGCTCATCAAAGCCCGGTTCGATTCCCCACATGGGTTCAATGAGTGAAGCTCATTTCTAGTGTATCCCGCCGTGATATTGCTGGAATATTGCTATAAGCGGCGTGAAACCAAAACTCACTCACTCTGCATGTGAGGGATGAGTGGAATTCCACCTGGATACTACCCATTAGACTTGCACAAGTCTCTAAGGTAATAATTAATGGTTTAAATGATAATTTCTATAAAAAACTGTATACGTATCCCTCTTACAGGCGGCTGTCCGCTTATCTAGACTTGCCTCTTCACAGGATGGGCGGTGGGGTAGCCTAGTGGTTAAAGCGTTGGCTCGTCACGCCGAAGACCTGGGTTCGATTCCCCACATGAGCACAATGTGTGAAGCCTATTTCTGGTGTCCCCCGCCGTAATATTGCTGGAATATTGCTAAAAGCGGCGTAAAACTAAACTCAGTCAGTCAGTCTTCACAGGATTCATCTACTGTACATCCATGGGCTTAGCCTTCAGTACAGCCTTGGAGCAAGGCTAACTACTTATGACTAGTATATTCAGACCTTCCCTCTAACAGACCCGAATAAATTATATTCTCTGAACTGAACATATTTAACGGAAAAGGTGTTTACATTCATAACAGAACTAGCCAAGAGACATTCATTTCGGAAACTGGAATGATAATACTCGGGTAATATTCTAGACTTGAATAGACTGTATTATATATTTGTTTCATGGTTTGGGTGACGGAGTATCCGGGCATATGTAATAAAACAATCGCTCATATTCCAATATTTCCACTCCTAGACTAGCGCTTAGTCTCTGAATATATAGAGAGACAATTTAATCCTTTCAAACTGATACGGAGCCCCAGTCGGGTGGGAGATTCAAAACAAAGGTAATCTAGACTTCTTTAAGAACTGCAGTAAGGGCTTGGGGTTGGGGTGTTGACTGTAACGCGGTTCAGTAACTTTTAGACTAACGACTAGTCTCTGAAATGAACGTATTTTACAGAAATAACCCCAGTTAATAATTAATTTTTTTTTATAAAATAATGAAAAAGAGCCCCGAAACTTTCTTCATATGGAACTATGGAAATCTTGTCTTGCCACATATTCTAGAGTAGTCTGTCTCACAGTCCCTGAACCACATTATTTTCCCTACTGCCAAGCCCTCTCTGCAGTGCTAAAGCCCTAAATAAAGCAAGTCTAGATTTCCTCTGAATCTCTGGTCTCCCTAGGGCTCCTTTTCAATATAAATGGGCTTGTTTGTTACTATCAAAATTATATGTATTCAGAGACTAAGCCTTAGTCTAATTCTAGACTTGCTAGGGCTTTCTTGGATATGTTTGTTTGGGGGTCTGCATGGCAGACTAGGACTGTTTTCAGTCGAGATAGCATACATCTTACCCATTTCAGTTCCAGAGATTCATAGGCAATAGCGGAGGTTTCATTAACCAGTAGAACAGAAACTCTTACAAACACGTGTGCTATATTTGAAATGAATGCATCAGTTTCGGGCACATAGTCGAGTTTTTTGAGTTGCCTCACATTCCCTCAGCCATATTTTCCCTTCCGGCAGACCGGTGTAACAGGCCAGAGTATACCCCTGTCCCAGACTATATAAACTGGGCTAGCCTAAACTACACCCCGGGTTTAATCTGGACTAGCCTAGTTTATATCCCGGGGTATATTCTGGACTAGGCCATAGTGTACCCCCCAGCCCAGATTATACCCATACAGAAAATAAGTGATTAAGTATACTGCTATAATTTTATTGTACTTCTCACACAATTAAACACTGGTTACAACGTTAAAATGGTACGATGGATTCTCCAGGTTCAAAGCATAATCAGTCAGGGTTTTCAAGCTGACGCTGGCAGGGTATGTCAGCCATTGCACTGACTGACCAACTGCCCTGTAAATGTAAATGTCATCTTAACAGACTCAACAAATACTTCATAAATTTTGTAGTATACAGTAAATATACTGTAATTCAAAAGCTCTTGATGAAGCAAGTTCCTTGATGTCCCATCTCACCATGGCTCTTTTGAATTTTTTTTTATATATATGGAGTTTAAAATATGTTTCCATGAAAACATTATTTTTTAAAATGCTGAATGTTAGACGAAAGGTCGTGCTTGTCCTCAGACATCCATCACTGGTGTGCAGCAGTGAAATTAATCACTTCTGTAGAGGAACGGGAAGGACGACCTGTATATCCGATGTCGGTTCCCAGCAAGGCGTCAAAGGTATACAGCAGTAGGCATGTAGGCTGCCGTGTTAATCGCAGACCTAGAGGCATGGGACGTGGACGACCGCTGGAGCGGTGCCACTCATCCAAGACGAGTGCCAGTCAACCATCTGTCCGGTGGTGGGAAAGCTTGTATCTCAGTCTGAACATTTTATTTACCCTTCCGCCCAGCCCAAGAGTAACATCTAGTATCTGAAATGAACATATTTTACAGACATAAATGTTTAAAATTAAATTAAAATACAATAAAGGAGCCCGGAGACTTATTTCATTTTCAGAACTGTGGTGATCTAGACTTGCCACTAGTGTTGGGAACTGGTTGAAATCTCATAATTGATCATTGCTTCATTACCAACGAACAATCATCGATAAAAGATGGTTAGCGTCAGTTTTCAGATTTTCTTATTCAGGTTGTTATTGCAGATATGTATAACATGATGGACCTTGCTACTTTAAAGTGATGTTGATATATCATGAACATAAACCTTCTGGGGTCTTCAAAAAATATTCAGTCATGACGTTTCAGTTAGTGAAGTGAGTTTTCTAAGAATTAAACAAGTTTTCAGGCCCTGACAACTTCGAAGATATGTTCCATCGTCAAGTGAGACTAAAGACACTAAAGACTAAAACAGCAGTTCCAAAATCGTTTGTGTTCGATTATGAGAAAATGTGATCGATTGCTTAGTCGTTTGGTCACTTCGACCAATCTTCGATTATTTCCATTAATCGGAAGACCACTACTTGCCACACATTCTAGAGTGCATGGGCTGCATTGGGTATATTTGTTTCAGGGTCTGTATGACAGACAAGCCCAGCTGCAGATTACGCAGGTCTAGATTTTCCGGTTAGTGATCAGGGACCCTATCCACAAAGCGTTCGTAGCATTACGCCATTAGTACGCCCATGATAAGTATAGCTTTACGATAGGTCGTTATGCTACGAACGCACTGTGGATCGGGACCCCCCACATTCGGGCTCCTTATCAGAGTAGTTGCTTGTTTGTGTCAAAGTGATATATTTTCATAGACTGGGCACAGACTAGTATTTGGACTGCTGGTGATATCAGGTGCACAGTGTGTTGTTGACATGTTGAAAGCACGAGACGCCTTAACATCTCTGGGCACGGCTAAGAAAACAGTATACTCGGGACAACTGGCGTCTTGCTGAGACTATCATCAGACGTGGGAATATTCATATTTTTGTACGTTGTCCGTCGAAGGACTGCCCCTAAGTCCAGCATTGTGAAACGCAGCCTGTTCCCATGCAATCGTTACCTCTGATATCCATCGAAAATAGGAAAAGGGCTTTCACATTGCGTTGGGAACAACGAGTTAAATAAGGTATATACGTTCCCAGTTGGAAATTATTTTTTTGCCACTTAAATACCGGTTGCTTCTCGTTTGAGGCTGCGCTTTACACAGCAATGTAATTTGATACTCATGCGAGACATGAGATACCACAAAGAATACGACCGGGATCGGTGAACGCGAACAACCAAAACTAATTTTGTTTCATGACAATTGACGCTCTGTTTAGTGAAACGGTTAATATACGTTAACAATAGTTTATGAAACGTTGATAAATTTAGGCATGTTGATATGCCCGTGTGCTACTGAATGGGGATGCTGGCTTAATCATAATGGAAGCGTTTCCATGGTGATGGAGATAACATGGCTGATGGCACACATCTGTTGAGAGGCGGGCACCCCGTCCTTCTCCCCATGTAGCTCCGCTACAAGTCTCTACTAACTGTTATATCCATGATTGTATAGTAATATTATCCCTATACTAGGTGCGTCTATATAAGCAGACAGTGATGGACTAAGAGTCAGTTCTTTTATAGAAATAAATTATTTTTGGAAATTATCATATTAGAAATTACGATATAATAAGCGTTGCCAAAGAGACGTGTAAGCCTATACCGCACGGACCGTACACAGTAATAATTTCTGTTAGCATGAATTGAAAGTCTGTCTATTCATTAGACCCGTGTCATGCGCCCGTTTAACCTTAAAAACCTTTATAATAACAGGCTTTCATACACGGGCTGTTGTTTCCGTTTCATTGAAAAATATCAAAATGGATTTTTTAATGAAATTTCCTAAATATTATATTATTGAACTTTATTCGTGATAATGGTTAATTATCAGTTTTCCTACACAATCAATGGCTGTCGGCGAATGTGGGCAATTACCTAGACTAACGCTTGGTACCTGAATGTATATAATTTTGATAGTAACAAATATCCCATTTAAGTTGAAACAGGAGCCCGAGTGAGATGGGAGATTCAGGACTTGGGGAAATCGAGACTTGCTCCATTTGGGGATTGAACATTGCAGGGGTGGCTAGGCTGTAGGGGAAATAATGTGGTTCAGGGAATGTGGGACTAGCAATTACTTTCATGTCAAGGGATGTCAGCCATTGGTGAAGATTGTTTCATCTTGATTTTCTCAGACTATCTCACCAGTGTTGTCATATTTATATCTCTCGGTGAATCAGGTCCCGATTTCTCGAAACAAACTTAAGTCTAAGTTTTGACTTAAGTTAGAGTTTTTACTCAAATTTGAGAAAATGCATTTCCCAGAATGAACTGAAATCGATATTAAACTCAAACATATTAGACAATTTTAGTTTGGTGGATAGATTACTTAAGTTGTTGGGGCTTTTTTTATTTAAAAAATGCAGTTGAGTAAAAAATTCAGCTTTTTCAAATTGTCAAACTCAGTTTGAAATTTGAGTAATAACTTAAGTTTGTTTCGAGAAATCGGGGCCAGGTCCACCAACATCGGCCACTTACATCACGGATATATCTTCAAATTTGGCCTGGGTTTTGTGTGCCTTATTCAAGATACTGGCGGGGCGGTGGGGTAGCCTAGTGGTTTAAGCGTTCGCTCGTCACGCCGAAAACCCAGTTTCGATTCCCCACATGGGAACCTGTGTGAAGCAGATGTCTGGTTCCCCCCGCCGTGATATTGCTGGAATATTGCTAAAAGCGGCGTAAAACAATACCCACTCACTCACTGACTCAAGATACCGGCGATTTTATTCATTTATGCCACAGTTTAAACATCGTCACTCAGACAATCTAAGACAAGCATGGATTGAATCCCTTGATAATGTATCTGATTCTTAATCGTTACAAAATTACTTTATATACAGCTGGTCATTTTTACGTGTAGAGAATTATACCAAGACATATTTTTTTGAAATCTACAATAAGTTGCTTCTGTTAGGTAATACTGGTTTACATATAGACTGGGGAATAATGAGTTAACTCCCTTGAGGAAAATGTACGTGTTGCCAAACAAACGGACACATTTTTAGTGAAGGTGAAATACGTACCCCTCTGTTCCCTCGACAATGCAGTTTCTCATCAGAAAACAATGTGCACATTCTGCATGGAATGTTTGAGGCTGGGAGCAGTTTTATGCAATTCGTGAGCGGTTACGTCCCTTGGGTTTCCATTCCTGTCTATTAGTGAAGGCCATGGGTTCTTCAAAACAATCTGACATTTTTGGCAGCATTGTCTGCTGTCATTGTAGACAATGGGAATAAATGCATGTGTTTCCGTGAAGACGAGGGGACGGAATGCCGCACTGACTGTGGTCAAGTGCTTCGACTAGTGATATGTTTCACTTACTTTTCTTTGTAAGTTATGCAATTACCACAGTGAGTGGGTGAATACAGTTTTTCCAGCAATATCACGGTGGGGGGACGCCAAAAGTCAGCTTCGCGCATTGCACCCTTGTAGGGAATCGAACCCGAGTCTTCAATGGGACGAGCGAACGCTTTAACCACTACGCTATCTCACCGCCCCAGTTACCACAGTGATAATTGAGATTGGATCGGGTGTAAGGTCGCTTTCAACATTATTCCAGTGACGTGTGACAATTTAAAACGGAAAGAGTGAGTTTGGTTTTACGCCGCTTTTAGCAATATTACAGCAATATCACAGCAGGGGACACCAGAAATGGGCTTCACACATTGTACCGATGTGGGGAATCGAACCCGGGGTTTTCGGCGTGACGAACGAACGCTTTAACCGCCATGCGACCCCACCGCCCCTAAAGCGGAAAGAAAGGACGAAGTGGTCAGACAGGTGTTAATGTTGAAAATCCCAGGTGTTACGATGCTTTGTTCTTATAAAATTATCTGCAGGGGACAGCAGAAATAGGTTTCAAAAATTGCGTCCATGTGGGAAATCGAACCCTGGTCTGCAGTCACTAGGTCACCGCCCGGCGTGAGTAGAGACCACTTTAACAACTTGGCTAACCTGTGATATTTGTGTGATACAACTGGGCGGTCAGAGCTGCCTCCAGCAGGCCAGATGTAGGTTATATCCGTCCAGGAATAAGCATTGAGTTTTATGATTCATAAGCTGCTTCACCAGATGGCCTCCCTTCCGCTAGACATCCTCAATTAGGACTGCTGACCCTCAACGCTGCATTCATGAATACGGCAAGAGAAGTCAGAGGAATATAGAACAAATGAGGTTCTTTGTTCGGGTTACATGTTTCAGGGTCACTTTGCCATCACAGGGCAATATTTGCGGGGGGCAGTGGGGTAGCCTAGTGGTTAAAGTCTTCCCTCGTCACACCGAAGACCCGGATTCGATTCCCCACATGGGTACAATGTGTGAAGCTCAGGTCAGTCTCTCCACCGCCTCCTCCCTTACCGTTTAATATTCGCAGGGGGCAGTGGGGGTAGCCTAGTGGTTAAAGCGTTCACTCGTCACACCGAAGACCCGGGTTCGATTCCCCACATGGGTACAATATGTGAAGCTCAGGTCAGTCCCACCACCGCCTCCTCCCTTACCGTTTAATATTCGCAGGGGGCAGTGGGGGTAGCCTAGTGGTGAAAGCGTCCGCTCGTCACGCCGAAGACTCGGGTTCGATTCCCCACATGTGCACATTGTGTGAAGACCATTTACGGTGTTCCCTGCTGTGATAGTTGCTGAAATTGCTGATAACGGCGTAAAACTATACTTACTCAATGTTTCCAGGAATCCAGAACCGTATTAATAATAATCCTAATTTATAATAATCATCTTTATCCGATTTTCAAATTCCCGGTCTCTGAGAGTAAATGTCTGATTGTTTCTTAAGACACAAGGTTTCCCATATTTAGATTTTGTGTATTTTACATTTTCACATAACTGTTATTTGGGGACTGTATTGTGTGTGTGTGCACCGCCTCCGTGGTGTAGTGGTTAGAGCGTCCGCCCGGAGAGCGGAAGGACGCGGGTTCGATCCCCGACCGTGTCATACCAAAAAATGTTAAAATATGGTACTTGTTGGTCCCTGCCTGGCGCTCGGCATTATTGGGTACAACAAGGAGTGGTCGGCTCGGAGTCAGTATAATGTATCTCAGTGGGCTAGCACTAAAAAATCAGCTTAAGTCTGGGCTAGTACAAGCAGCCGCACACACACACACACACACACACACACACGCATGCACGTCGTCATATGAGCGAAATATTCTCCAGCACGACGTTAAACCCAATTTCACCTCACCCCACCTCACTGTATTGTGTGTCCAGAAACTGTGGTCTTATGAGAGAGCAGACGGGGAACAAACGCTTTGAACATGGTGATTAAGTTAGATTTTACTGCCGCTTCATCTGCATGCCCGCGTTGGTGGGCTGTAAGTCGTGGAGTGAGTGAGTTTAGTTTTGCGCCGCACCCAGCAATATTCCAGCTATATGGTGGCTGTCTGTAAATAATCGAGTCTGGACCAGACAATCCAGTGATCAACAGCATGAGCATCGATCTGCGCAATTGGGAACCGATGACATGTGTCAACCAAGTCAGCGAGCTCGACCACTCGATCCCGTTAGTCGCCTCTTACCGACAAGCATGGGATACTGAAGATCAATATTCTAACCCGTACCTTCAAGGGTGGTAAGTCGTGGAGCTTCGAGCAGGAAACCAGTGACCGATAAAACGAGCAACTACCGTTTAGCCGAAACGACACACTTCTGTTTGGGTTTGTTGTGTACCGCCGCACCCAGCAATATTCGAGTCTGGGCAAGACAATCCAATGATCAACACTATGAGCATCGATCCACGCAAATTGGGATACGATGACGTGTCAACCATGTCAGCAAGCCTGACCTACCGATCCCGTTAGTCGCCTCTTATGACAAGTCAGAACCGGATTTTCCCGGGTAGGCACGCTAAGCGGTTATGAGAAGGCGGTGGTGGGAATGACCTTTGTGACCCGGGATTCTCAGAGGGTGTTTCACAGATCCTGATTACTGAATGCTCCTTTATTTGACGATATACAAGCTGTATCGGATAAATAATCGAGTTCTGGTCCACGAAAAGAACACAAATGTAACTTTTTCAAAAATGAACATTTTGCCTCTGTAAGCAGATTTTTTTCTGGATAAAAACACAATCGCTTAGAGTTCAATCATCTCTTTTACTCATTGAGAAAAGTCGAAATGTCATACATTGAATTTCTATTTAATAATTAACAGAAAATAAGTTAAATATGCATTTCTGATTTAAACACCAGAACCAGTGTGGCCAGACCTCCTTTCCTATTAAACGTCTTTTGGTATTAATTTCCAAACGGAAACAATTAAGTTAACCCAGATGAGTCTTTAACGTGATAAGACTCATTGTGAAACCAACAAAATGCAAAGAAATGGTATAGAATTACCAACTGTATCATATAATTACCATGATCAATACAGGTTACTGCAAGGTAATTACTTTGGTGTAGAATTGCAGTGGTGTGTGAGGTAGTTTAGTTTTACGCCGCTGTTAGCAATATTCCAGCAATATCACGACGGGGGATACCAGAAATGGACACCACAATTTGTACCCATGTGCGGAGTAGAACCCGGGTCATCTGCATGTAGAGCGGTCGCTTTAACCACTAGGCTACCCAACCGTCCAAGAATTGCAGTACATAATTTAGAACAGCTATAATTTCAGTATAAAATACAATAGGTATAAAGTCATTGATAACAATATTATCCAAGCAGATACTGTTGTCAGTTTTTCAAAATAAGATTATACCAGATATCCGGGTTGAACGAATGATATTCACACAACCCCCAGGTTGGATGTAGTATGAGTGAGTGAGTGAGTTTCATTCTTCTTTTGCGGCTGGGGACATTGCCTTGTTAGTGGCTATGTGTTCACATGAAGGCTCAGAGAACACTGTTTCATGACAACCAATGTCTTTGCAGATGTCCAAGTCCACAGGGAATTTCATGAGCCTGAACGATGCGCTGGCCAAGTTCTGAGCTGATGGTATGTTGTGAGATGTTGTGTCACTAGGTTTGCCACCATCCTGTGATTCTGAGTTTGAATCCAGGATCACTACTGCTTGGTTGATCACCACCATGTTTGTGAGCTCCATGAGTGAATGAGTGACTTTAGTTTTACGCCGCACTCAGCAATATTCCAGCTATATGGTGGTGGTCTGTAATAATCGAGTCTGGACCAGACAATCCAGTGATCAACAAGTCCAGTGACCGATAAAACGAGCAACTACCGTTTAGTCGAAACGACACCCTTTTGTTTGGGTTTGTTGTGCACCGCCGCACCCAACAATATTCGAGTCTGGGCAAGTCAATCCAGTGATCAACACTATGAGCATCGATCCACGCAAATTGGGATACGATGACGTGTCAACCATGTCAGCGAGCCTGACCACCCGATCCCGTTAGTCGCCTTTTACGGCAAGCATGGGCTGCTAGAGGCCAATTCGAACCCGGAGTTTCACGGGTAGCATGTCTAAGACCTGTATGAATTCGGTCTATAATTCTGACACTCTACTGTAATTAAAATCCCGTGCAAAGCAGCGTTAAAACCTTCTCTCTGTCTCTCTCGCTATCACTCTCTTTCACACACACATTCTCTCTCTCACTCACTCCCTATCACACACACACTCACGCACATACGCACGCACTCCCAAAGGCTGACCAACATATTCTTCACTCCACTTTTGTCAAAAGCCTGTGTCATGGTGCTCCACTTGTGCGCCCGGAATCAAAATGAGATCGGCTCTATACCATACCACCTCTATTACACATTGGGATGTAATACCAGTTGGCGTTTTATTGGGTTTGAGATTTATGATTGCGAACACACCGTGAAGCGACTTTGTCGCCATGGCTGTGTTTACAAACAACGATAATGGGGGCAGGGGTTACCAGATATAGCGCTCTTTGTGGCGGGTATGTTTGTGTAATGAAATAGCGCTGGCTTATTCTGACGCATGGTGAGCTATAGAACTAATTTGACAATTCTCCAAGTCGGACTCCGGTTTCGTCAAGTCACAGGGTGTCCGTTTCTGATATACTGTCTATACCTAGTTCGTTCATGACCCACCGTGACATGCGCAACTGTGTGCAATGAAGTGTAGACGTGATTAAGAACAGACGTAGCCACTTTGCGACAAGAAATGGAAAACGTTTTACCCGTTGTCACCCTTTTTTCTGTAATCATACAAGGTAGGTGTTCATGTCAGCTGTTTTTCAAGCTACCATATGTTATAATTCATTATGGACCTCTTTCGATATTAGTAGGAGGGATACAGCTACTATTACCCGACGTGATCGCTATGGAATACAGAAGTAGAAAAATGGCTACTGCGTTAGATGAACCCTGGACGTAACAATATAAGTAGTCTAGGTTCTATCTCGGATTATCAGATAGAGGTGTGACGATACAGAAATTTAACGATAGGATACGTATCATGATGTCTGGAAACGATACGATTCGATTCATTGCATATCACGATATGCTGTCTTGAGGTATTTTCTTAGAAAAAGTATATTTTGGTAACACGTAACAGTGTAAACGTTTACATAACCATCAATTAAATATATCGTGTAGTGCATAACTAGTTGTAGTATCAACTAGACAATGCTGGAGCAGATACCATAGAATACATCGTCTAGTTCATGACTATTTATGGTATCAGCTAGGCACTGTTAGTGAGTGAGTGAATATTGCTTATAGCCGCATCGAGACACCTTGGCATGGACACCAGGAAATATATCGTGTATACGTAGTACATGACAACCTGTAGTATCAACTAGACAATGTTGGAGTAGATACCATAGAATACATCGTCTAGTTCATGATTAGGCGTAGTATCAGCTAGTCGCTGTTAGTAAGTGAGTGAATATTGCTCATGGCCGCATCTAGACAGTCTTAGCATGGATACCATGAACTGCATCGTGTGGTACATAACTAGTCTTTTAGTATCAGCTAGACACTGTTATAGTGGACAACACTGAATGCATTGTATAAACAGATATAACAATGAACTGTTTCAGCCTGCCATGCGGCCGACTACTGTTACGGCTCCTACTGCTCCGGCTACTGCTGCGGGACGTTGAACACATCGTGTTGCAATTACTACACGTAAGTGATCACGTACGTTGTTACACATCTACTGCTGGGATATACGGTGATATATACAACTATCTCTGTTTTATGGATCATGTGGACTCTGATGATAGCCAAGGACGGTAATCATAACACCTAACACAATGACTACTACTACTACTACTACTACTACTACTACTACTACCGCCACTACTACCACTACTACTACTACTACTACTACTACTACTACTACCACCACTACTACTACTACTACTACTACTATTACTACTACTTTTATGGAAGCCAAGGACGGTAAACATAACGCTTAAAACTACTACTACTACTACTACTACTACTACTAATACCACTACCACTGGAAGTCAAGGACGGTACTCATAACGCTTAAAACTACTACTACTACTACCACTTACTACTACTACTACTACTACTACTACTACTACTACTACTACCACTGTTATGGAAGCCAAGGACGGTAAACATAACGCTTAAAACTACGACTACTACTACTACTACTACTACTACTAATATTACCACTGATATGGAACTCAAGGACTACTACTACTACTACCACTCTTAAAACCAAGGACGATAATCATTACGCTTAAAACGACTACTACTACAACTACTATCTCTATGGACTTCAATATTTCTACTACTACTACTACTACCTCTACTACTACTACTACTACTACTACTACTACTACCTACTACTACTACTACTACTACTACTAGTACCAGTCTAGGACCACTACTCATACTACTACTGCTCTAACAACACTACTACTACTACACCTCTACTACTATATCTAATACTACTACCTCTACTACTACTACTACTACTACTACTACTACTACTACTACTACTACTACTACTATTAATATTACTACTACTACTACTACTACTACTTATAATACTACTACTACTACTACTACTACTACTACTACTACTACTACTACTACTACTACTACTACTACTACTACTACTGCTGGATTATCGACTAGATTATTTACAGACCGCCGCCATGTAGCTGGAGGCGGTAAACTAACAAACAAACCAACAAGCAAACAAACAAACAGTCAACGACATTACTCTGGCAACCTTCACATTTGGCCTGCGTGATACGTAAAACGTCTCATGGCTGCGTGATGTGTTTACAGCAGCATGAGCATCGATCTACGCATTTGGGAACCGATGACATGTGTCAACCAAGTCAGCGAGCCTGACCACCCGATCCCGTTAGTCGTCTCTTACGACAAGCATGGGTTGCTGAAGACCAATTCTAACCCGGATCTTTGGATATTGACATCTTCTTGTTTATTGCATTGAACATCTATAGCTTAATATCGTTGTGTGAGTGAGTCTAGTTTTACGCCGCTTTAGCAATATTCCAGCAATATCACGGTGGGGGACACCAGATATGGGATTTACACTTTGTACATATGTAGGGAATAGAACCCGGACCTTCGGCGTGACGAGTGAACACTTTAACCACAAGGCTACCACAGCGCCACGATAATGGTGTAACAATCTACAAGGATACGTCTCTCAATTCCAAAAACAAGTTGTCATCTATAAAGTCGTTTGCTTCATTATTGACTCACCAACTTCTAGAATTCAACTCTGTGGTTATGTTGGGTTAAATTATACCAACTCCAACCTAATGTAGTTTTATCAACGATCTAACACTTTTGTACACATGTATCTCAATGATCACAACCGACTGCATATTAAGTAAATCTCAGATAGACTGTATGGTTATATATCAGGATATATGGGGTAGCCAAGTGGTTAAAGCGTTCGCTCGTCACGCCGAAGACCCGGGTTCGATTCTCCGCATGAGTACAATGTGTGAAGCTCATTTCCGGTATCCCGTTGGATATTACTGAACAGTGGCGTAAAACCATACTCACTCACTCACTTACTCACTCATATATCAATAATGTCAGACCTTTATATACTTATATATCATTGCTCTTAAACCGACTGAATACTTTTTAAAGGTTATTTAAGAAAATCTGTATTATTGAAATACCTGCATATTTATATCAGTGATCATTTATTAATAATTTTTAACCATCACCCAGGAAGAAATGTGTCCAATAGGGTTCTGCTGCCAAATAAATAAAGGTTTCATTATCAATGATTGCTTTTCAGCTGGGGCAGTGTTGTCGGATACTCCATTGGGGGACTCATTGGCTTCATCGTCTTTGTTATCATCATCATCTTCCTCATCAAAATATGCACCAAGACCGGAACACGGGGAAGGGTTGTCAATCCACAGCCTCAAGCCAATGTAATCGTGGTTAGCGGTATGTAATATACACTAAACAATATACTTTCAAAGTTTAAAGTTAAAGTTACTATTATCAGTAAAAACCAACAACCTGATAATGTATCAACATGCAGAACATGAAATAACATTCTGAATATTTTGATTCTTGTCAAACATTTTGATTCTTGTCAAACATTTTGTGTCTTGTCAAACATTTTATTTTTGTCAAACATTTTGTTTCTTGTCAAACATTTTGTTTCTTGTCAAACATTTTGATTCTTGTTAAACATTTTGATTCTTGTCAAACATTTTGATTCTTGTCAGACATTTTGATTCTTGTCAAACATTTTGATTCTTGTCAAACATTTTGATTCTTGTCAAACATTTTGTTTCTTGTCAGACATTTTGATTCTTGTCAAACATTTTGATTCTTGTCAAACATATTATTTATTACCTCTATGTTTTGTTTGAGGACAGAGAAAGAAAATGAGGAAAGTAATATTTACGAAATCACATGCTATTTTTAAGATTACAGTTTCTCAATGGAGTACCGATTCTAGTACTCTTGTTAGGTTGAGTCCCTTCCAGGATTCAAACTCACACTCTCAGAATCATCTAACCCACTCAGCCACCCCGGCTTCGTGCCAATTTACACTTGCCAGAGGGTTACACAAAGTCCGTGATCTAGACTACCAGTTGTCCAATGTCCATTAAGGAAAAGATGTGGAAGTCCCGGTGGCTGAGTGGGTAAGATGGTTGACTTTGTGTGCTTGCGATTTGGTGTATGACTTTGAGAGTGAGGGTTCGAATCCCGGATGTCACTCAACCTAACTACAATCGGTACTGAGAAAGTGTAAGTATAACCCCAAATATAAAATATGTTTCATTTGACCAGTTTTAAATGGCATTGTGTATTCAGTAACGAAATCGGTTGAACTGACTATTTAATGAAACTTAATCAAACCTCTGCGCGATGACAACTCAGATGGATGTTTTGGTCTATTTCAGGACAGGCAAGCGGTTCATACCCATACCCCGGGCCAAATGCACGTGGACCCCCACCTTATTCAGGTCCAGGTCCAAAATCACATATGGCTTATCCACCCCGGAGGATACCCTGCATACCCCCCACCGGGAAGTAATCCGGCATATCCTCCCCAAGGGGGCAATCCGGCATATCCTCCCCAAGGGGGCAATCCGGCATACCCTCCGCCCCCACCTCCCCCATATTACCCTCCAACTGGTGGTCAAGCCCCGCCCCCTGGTCAAGTTCCACCTCCAGGTCCTCTTCCCAATAGCCAGACTGGTTCATCTCCTGGAACTGCTGCTGCTCCTGGTCAAGCTCCACCTCCTGGTCAAGCTCCACCTCCTGGTCAAGCTCCACCTCCTGGTCAAGCGCCACCCCCCGCAAGTGCCCCTCCCACGTCCACGGCAGGTCCACCTAATCCTTAGACTGCATCCGTCGTTGACGTTTGATGCATCTACACCACAGCAAAACGATTCTTCCCGTGCAATAAGCGCGATAGCATCATGGTTGATCTGATATCATCGGGAAGTCACTCTGTACAAGGGATGTTAAATGACGTCCGTCATTTAAATACAAGGGATGTTAAATGACGTCCGTCATTTAAATATATTTAAAGCACCTCACGCCTGCATTTTTTGTATATTACTGAAAAAATCAAAAGAGTTGTGAGATTTTGCGTCTCCGAACACGATGATTATGCCAACACTAGGACAAGATTATTCAAGATGTCAAGAGAACACAGAAATTGCCGATTCGGTTGTCACAATTATTTTAGATGCTCTTTCGAAAAGATTTTATGAAGAGTCATGCTTGACAAGAGTTCCTATGTTTCAGGCCTTAGTGAAACTTCCAAACAGTTTTGCCGTAGTCATGTGGATGGAATTTCCGAATGTGACGCATCAATGACAAACGTTATGTCTGATGCGATTCCCGTGTTCTTTTCAGGAGTAGCATTCACTTGCCCTTGCATGTGTTTATGATGAGGCATGATAAGCTCACCTTTTTTTAGAACGCCTGCTATATCACTCTTTTGACTGTGATTCATAAACACGTGCTTATAATATAAATCCTACAGTGGACTTTAGCAAAAATGTCTTATGATTATGGAGATGTGTGTGTGTTTCTTATATCGAAAACAAGAGGTTTGGAATTGTTTCCTGATAACCAAACAGGGACACGTTCCTTCATTAAGTATGACTAATGTTCCGATCGGAAGGGGCGGTGGGGTAGCCTAGTGGTTAAAGCGTTCGCTCGTCACGCCGAAAACCCGGGTTCTATTCCCCACATGGGTACAACTTGTGAAGCCCATTTCTGGTGCCCCCCTCCGCCGTGATATTGCTGGAATATTGCTAAAAGCGGCGTAAAACCATACTCACTCCGATCGGAGGAACAGACGCTGCATCTAATCTGTTTGTTGTTTGTCCTTTACCCTAGAGTTTGTTTACGTCTTGAAGAATCTCTTTATCTTTGGATAAATCAACTATTATTATAGTTATTGTTGTTTTGTTTATTTCATATCATTGCAAACAATTCAAATAATTGCATGGATGTTGTAATAGTCATTCCAGGCAGATAGTTGAATAATAGTTGAATTTTGACCCCCTTATTCTGACAGGTCATTTAATTACTGGGTTTGTTTTGTTTAATGTTTAACGCTGCAATCAGCAATATTCCAGCACCATGGCGATTGTTTGTAATAATCAGGACCAGACAATCTTGGGATCAATATCATGAGCATCGATCTGCGCAACCGGGTTTCGATGACATGTGTCAACCAGGTCACCCAGCCTGGCCATCCGATCCCATTAGTCGCCTTTTACGACAAGCATTAAATGCTGAAGGCCAATTCTGACCCGGACCTTCACACCTTTCAACATTGGGAGGTGAACCTTTTGACGTCATGTCACAAAAGTCATAATAGCGTGTATTCCTAATGCGATATATTAATTGTCCTCAAAACACGCAAGCGTAATGTCCCATTCATCGTATTATGTCATTTCTAAACCCAGTTGACACAAACCCTATTCTCGTCTCTGACAAACCGTACCGAAACATTCCTGGAAACATGCAAACTGGTATATAACGGTCAGAGGGTCGATATACAGCTGTCAGACAGTGTCAGCATCGAAAATAGTTTCAAGTAAAACCAGTCTATATTTACAGTTTGTACATATAGGCGAAAATACCAACTTGTCTTCATTTATCGTTTCCCTTTGTCATTCACCGCAACCCACCGGTTTGCCTGTTGGAGTAATTGCCGCTTATCAGAGAGAGTGAGTGAGTTTTAGTTTTACGCCGCTTTTAGCAATATTCCAGCAATATCACGGCGGGTGACACCAGAACCCATGTGTGGAATGAAACCCGGTTCTTCGGTATGACGAGCGAACGCTTTAACCACTGGGCTACCCCACCGCCCCCTTATCAAAGAGAAGCTACGTTTGCTTAGACTCTGCTGGCCTATGATAACAATGCAATGTACAGAGTCAGATGAGTGAGTGAGTGAGTTTTAGTTTTATGCCGTTTTTAGCAAATCCAAATCCAGCTGAACCGAGAAAAGCTTCCACGAAGGGTTATCTACAAGTAGAAATATAGGTTGGTGTCTTAGCTATGTTTATACGTCGCACTAATATAAGGTATTTCAAACTATCATTTTCATATTGATAACCTTTATGGATAAAATAATATCATCACTTTACCCAAAAAATAAAATACGTCACTTTAGGTTGTTTCATGTGTCGTGACGGACGGTTGGGTAGACTAGTGGCTACAGCGTTCACTCGTCACGACCAAGGCAAGGGTTCTATTCCCACATGGTTGCAATGTGTGAAGCCGATTTGTGGTGTCGCCCGCCGTGACATTGCTGGAATATTGCTGAAAGCGGCGTCATGATAAGCCAGCAATTAGGTTGAGAGAACCAAACATTTGACATACATCGTGTGTTCTGCTACATAGAGCTGTCAGGCCTTCTACCTCACTGTTTGTGATACGGACATAACTCTAGTGTGTGTTCTGCTACAGGGAGCTGTCAGGTCTTCTACCATGCTGTTTGTGATACTGACATAACTCTAGTTTGTGTTCTGCTACAGGGAGCTGTCAGATCCTTTACCACGCTGTTTGTGATACTGACATAACTCTAGTGTGTGTTCTGTTACAGGGAGCTGTCAGGTCTTCTACCACGCTGTTTGTGATACTGACATAACTCTAGTTTGTGTTCTGCTACAGGGAGCTGTCAGGTCTTCTACCACGCTGTTTGTGATATTGACATAACTCTAGTGTGTGTTCTGCTACTTAGAGCTCTCAGGTCTTCTACCACACTGTGTGTGATACTGACATAACTCTAGTGTGTGTTCTGCTACATAGAGCAGTCAGGTCTTCTACCATGCTGTTTGTGATACTGACATAACTCTAGTGTGTCTTCTGCTACAGGGAGCTGTCAGGTCTTCTACCACGCTGTTTGTGATACTGACATAACTCTAGTGTGTGTTCTGCTACATAGAACTGTCAGGTCTTCTACCACGCTGTTTGTGATACTGACATAGCTCGAGTGTGTGTTCTGCTACATAGAACTGTCAGGTCTTCTACCATGCTGTTTGTGATACTGACATAGCTCGAGTGTGTGTTCTGCTACATAGAGCTGTCAGGCCTTCTACCACGCTGTTTGTGATACTGACATAGCTCGAGTGTGTGTTCTGCTACAGGGAGCTGTCAGGTCTTCTACCATGCTGTTTGTGATACTGACATAACTCTAGTTTGTGTTCTGCTACAGGGAGCTGTCAGATCCTTTACCACGCTGTTTGTGATACTGACATAACTCTAGTGTGTGTTCTGTTACAGGGAGCTGTCAGGTCTTCTACCACGCTGTTTGTGATACTGACATAACTCTAGTTTGTGTTCTGCTACAGGGAGCTGTCAGGTCTTCTACCACGCTGTTTGTGATATTGACATAACTCTGAGTGTGTGTTCTGCTACTTAGAGCTCTCGGGTCTTCTACCACACTGTGTGTGTGATACTGACATAACTCTAGTGTGTGTTCTGCTACATAGAGCAGTCAGGTCTTCTACCATGCTGTTTGTGATACTGACATAACTCTAGTGTGTCTTCTGCTACAGGGAGCTGTCAGGTCTTCTACCACGCTGTTTGTGATACTGACATAACTCTAGTGTGTGTTCTGCTACATAGAACTGTCAGGTCTTCTACCACGTTGTTTGTGATACTGACATAACTCGAGTGTGTGTTCTGCTACATAGAACTGTCAGGCCTTCTACCACGCTGTTTGTGATACTGACATAGCTCCAGTGTGTGTTCTGCTACAGGGAGCTGTCAGGTCTTCTACCATGCAGTTTGTGATACTGACATAGCTCTAGTTTGTGTTCTGCTACAGGGAGCTGTCAGATCCTTTACCACGCTGTTTGTGATACTGACATAACTCTAGTGTGTGTTCTGTTACAGGGAGCTGTCAGGTCTTCTACCACACTGTGTGTGATACTGACATAGCTCTAGTTTGTGTTCTGCTACAGGGAGCTGTCAGGTCTTCTACCACGCTGTTTGTGATATTGACATAACTCTAGTGTGTGTTCTGCTACTTAGAGCTCTCAGGTCTTCTACCACACTGTGTGTGATACTGACATAACTCTAGTGTGTGTTCTGCTACATATAGCTGTCAGGCCTTCTACCACACTGTGTGTGATACTGACATAACTCTAGTGTGTGTTCTGCTACATAGAGCAGTCAGGTCTTCTACCATGCTGTTTGTGATACTGACATAACTCTAGTGTGTGTTCTGCTACAGGGAGCTGTCAGGTCTTCTACCATGCTGTTTGTGATACTGACATAACTCTAGTGTGTATTCTGCTACATAGAGCTGTCAGGCCTTCTACCACGCTGTTTGTGATACTGACATAGCTCTAGTGTGTGTTCTGCTACAGGGAGTTGTCAGGTCTTCTACCACACTGTTTGTGATACTGACATAACTCTAGTGTGTGTTCTGCTACAGGGAGCTTTCAGGTCTTGTACCATGCTGTTTGTGATACTGACATAACTCAAGTGTGTGTTCTGCTACAGAGAGCTGTCAGGTCTTCTACCACGCTATATTTGATACTGACATAACTCTAGTGTGTGTTCTGCTACATAGAGCAGTCAGGTCTTCTACCATGCTGTTTGTGATACGGACATAACTCTAGTGTGTGTTCTACTACAGAGAGCTGTCAGGTCTTCTACCATGCTGTTTGTGATACTGACATAACTCTAGTGTGTCTTCTGCTACATAGCACTGTCAGGTCTTCTACCATGCTGTTTGTGATACTGACATAACTCTAGTTTGTGTTCTGCTACAGAGAGCTGTCAGGTCTTCTACCACGCTGTTTGTGATACTGACACAGCTCTAGTTTGTGTTCTGCTACAGGGAGCTGTCAGGTCTTCTACCACGCTGTTTGTGATACTGACATAACTCTAGTGTGTGTTCTGCTACATAGAGCTGTCAGGTCTTCTACCATGCTGTTTGTGATACTGACACAGCTCTAGTTTGTGTTCTGCTACATAGAGCAGTCAGGTCTTCTACCATGCTGTTTGTGATACGGACATAACTCTAGTGTGTGTTCTGCTACATAGAGCTGTCAGGTCTTCTACCATGCTGTTTGTGATACTGACATAACTCTAGTTTGTGTTCTGCTACAGGGAGCTGTCAGGTCTTCTACCACGCTGTTTGTGATACTGACATAACTCTAGTGTGTGTTCTACTACATAGAGCTGTCAGGTCTTCTACCATGCTGTTTGTGATACTGACACAGCTCTAGTTTGTGTTCTGCTACAGGGAGCTGTCAGGTCTTCTACCACGCTGTTTGTGATACTGACATAACTCTGGTGTGTGTGTTCTGCTGCATAGAGCTCTCAGGTCTTCTACCACGCTGTTTGTGATACTGACATAGCTCTAGTTTGTGTTCTGCTACAGGGAGCTGTCAGGTCTTCTACCACGCTGTTTGTGATACTGACATAACTCTAGTGTGTGTTCTGCTACATAGAGCTGTCAGGTCTTCTACCACGCTGTTTGTGATACTGACATAACTCTAGTGTGTGTTCTGCTACAGGGAGCTGTCAGGTCTTCTACCACACTGTGTGTGATACTGACACAGCTCTAGTTTGTGTTCTGCTACAGGGAGCTGTCAGGTCTTCTACCACACTGTGTGTGATACTGACATAGCTCTAGTTTGTGTTCTGCTACAGGGAGCTGTCAGGCCTTCTACCACGCTGTTTGTGATACTGACATAACTCTAGTGTGTGTTCTGCTACAGGGGGCTGTCAGGCCTTCTACCACGCTGTTTGTGATACTGACATAACTCTAGTGTGTGTTCTGCTACAGGGAGCTGTCAGGTCTTCTACCATGCTGTTTGTGATACTGACATAACTCTAGTGTGTGTTCTGCTACAGGGAGCTGTCAGGCCTTCTACCACGCTGTTTGTGATACTGACATAACTCTAGTGTGTGTTCTGCTACATAGAGCTGTCAGGCCTTCTACCACGCTGTTTGTGATACTGACATAACTCTAGTGTGTGTTCTGCTACAGGGAGCTGTCAGGCCTTCTACCACGCTGTTTGTGATACTGACATAACTCTAGTGTGTGTTCTGCTATATAGAGCTGTCAGGCCTTCTACCACGCTGTTTGTGATACTGACATAACTCTAGTGTGTGTTATGCTACAGGGAGCTGTCATGCCTTGTGCTGTGTTGTTTCTGCTGTTAAAGCATGTCCTGTGTTGCGGTAGACAGCAAAGCCTATACTTTTTCTTAAAGCTTTAAGAACCGTTTCAGTGCAGATAGGTGACACTCCCCTATTCTTACTTTAATTGATATTTAATGTAACCAATTGGTTGAGAATTTTATGACCTTACATAACACTACACGCACGGACTCATTGTGTGTTTGTTTGTATTATTTGTCGCCATGGCGGTGTTTACTATTGCGCGTGAAATACCTGGAATCGTACAATAGCGTTTTTTCTCAGAAACTGCATCTGATTGAGGAAAGGATTTAGTCGCTTCTATTATAGTGACGAGTACGTTTTGCAAAGACCCACGTCTCTATTGGGTTGAATGTGATCTAGTCGAGGAGTACTTCTACGTAATAATAGTGGTTTTGTATTGATAATTTGATACTGGCTGACCATGGATGCCGTTTTACCAGTTGTTGCTCTTTGTCTTGCATGTATACCAGGTGAGTGCCAAATAACTATTACTTTTGTACAGTAAACGCTTATACTATCATATAGACACTGATACGAGCAAACGCTGTTGTTGTATCATATAGGGATTGATGCGAGTAAACACTTGTTGTATCATATAGGGAATGATGCGAGTAAACACTTGTTATATCAACACTTAAGATGGTATCATATAGACACTGGTACGAGTAAACACTTGTGTGTGTGGGGGGGGGGGGATCATGTAGATGCTTATACCAGTAAAAGCTCAGTATAATATCATATAGACATGGATACATGTATCGCCTAGTAACAGGTAACAATTGCCTTGCTGTTGTGTGTTGTATCAGATGGACACTAGGAAATGGCATGCCTAGCAGATGCGTCCATGTAGTATCAGATAAAAACTGGCACGCAGTGAACACAATGCAGGACAGCGACTAGCACATGACTAGTTGTAGTGTCAGATAAAAACTGACATTATGTGATAAAGCGAATAGCATATGATTAGCTGTATTGTCAGATAAACACTGACACTATGTGGTAAAGCGACTAGCATATGACTAGTTGCAGTGCCAGCTAAAAACTCACACTATGTGATAAAGCGAATAGCACATGACTAGTTGTAGTGTCAGATAAAAACTGACACTATGTGATAAAGCGAATAGCATTTGACAAGTTGTAGTGTTAGATAAAGGCTGACACTATGTGATAAAGCGACTAGCACATGACTAGTTGTAGTGCCAGATAAAAAATCTCACTATGTGGTAAAGCGACTAGCACATGACTAGTTGTAGTGTCAAATAAAAACCGACGCTCTGTGATAAAGCTACTTGCATATGACTAGCTTTAGTGTCAGATAAACACTGACACTCTGTGATAAAGCGACTAGCACATGGCTAGTTGTAGTGTCAGATAAATGGCACGGGTCATTGACAAGCACACAACACCTGTCAATAGCAGGTAGGGGATCCACAAGATGCAATGACATATTGAAAACTTGCGTCCATGCTTACAATAGGCTTAGATATCTAAACCAAATTTGACCCACATCATTGTTTTCTGTTGAATCAATGATTTGATTCTTAACAAAATGTGAATAAGATAGATCGCCAGCACTTGTATGTTGGTCGTTCATCGCTTGTTAACTGCTGGGTATTCTGTGAAACACGTCATGGCAGGGCATTTTTTGAACGGGTTTGACAATATTTGTTTCAGGCTGCCTTGCCTCTGTCTACTGCTACAGCCTTGACGCCTTTACCGTCAGGTATTGCCCCGGGGTTGCTGATTATTGCTGCGGAGGGTCGTGCTGCACCACCTTCACGTGAGTGAATACCGGGATGATGTTCTCTGACTGATTATAGGCTCTGACTGAGGATACACTCGGACTAATTGAAGGCTCTGGCTGATGATATATGCCCTAATTGATGATAGACCCAAACTGAAGATATACCATTGCCGACTATATAACCTGTCTGTTGAAAGCTCTCTGATTGATGATATATTCTGACTGATGATAACTCTGACTGAGTGTCCTGACTGATGATAACATGACTGTTGAAAAAACTGACTGATGATATACTCTTACTCGTGATATACTCTGCCCGATGATAACTCTGACTGATGATAACTATGACTTGTGATATTCTGACTGATGATAACTCTGACTGATGATATACTCTGACTGATGATATACAATGACTGATGATAACTCTGACTGATGATATACTCTGACTGATGATATACTCTGCTGATTATTCTGACTGATGATATACCCCGACTGATGATAACTGACTGATGATATTCTCTGACTGATGATATACTCTGATACTCTGACTGATGATATACTCTGACTGATGATAACTCTGACTGATGATATACTCTGACTGATGATAACTCTGACTGATGATATACTCTGACTGATGATAACTCTGACTGATGATGTACTCTGACTGATGATAACTCTGACTGATGATAACTCTGGGTGATGATAACTCTGATGATATACTCTGACTGATGATAACTCTGGGTGATGATATACTCTGACTGATGATGTACTCTGACTGATGATGTACTCTGACTGATGATGTACTCTGACTGGTGATAACTCTGAGTGATGATAACTCTGATGATATACTCTGACTGATGATAACTCTGGGTGATGATAACTCTGACTGATGATGTACTCTGACTGACTCTGATGATGATAACTCTGATGATATACTCTGACTGATGATATACTCTGACTGATGATAACTCTGATGATGATACTCTGACTGATGATAACTCTGACTGATGATGATAACTCTGACTGATGATAACTCTGACTGATGATAACTCTGACTGATGATATACACTGATGACTGACTGATGATATACTCTGACTGATGATATACTCTGACTGATGATAACTACTGATGATAACTGACTCTGATGATATAACTCTGACTGATGATAACTCTGACTGATGATATACTCTGACTGACTGATGATAACTCTGACTGATGATAACTCTGACTGATGATATACTCTGATGATATACTCTGATGATATACTCTCTGACTGATGATATACTCTGACTGATGATAACTCTGGGTGATGATAACTCTGATGATATACTCTGACTGATGATAACTCTGACTGATGATAACTCTGACTGATGATATACTCTGACTGATGATAACTCTGACTGATGATATACTCTGACTGATGATATACTCTGACTGATGATGATATACTCTGACTGATGATAACTTGACTGACTGATGATATTCTCTGACTGATGATAACTCTGACTGATGATAACCTGACTGACTCTGATGATAACTCTGATGATAACTCTGACTGATGATAACTCTGACTGATGATAACTCTGACTGATGATAACTCTGACTGATGATAACTCTGACTGATGATAACTCTGACTGATGATATACTCTGACTGATGATAACTCTGACTGATGATGTACTCTGACTGATGATAACTCTGACTGATGATGTACCCTGACTGATGATTACTCTGACTGATGATATACTCTGACTGATGATAACTCCGACTCATGATATACTCTGACTGGCGATAACTCTGACTGATGATAACTCTGGGTGATGATATACTCTGACTGATGATAACTCTGACTGGTCAAAACTCTGACTGGTCAAAACTCTGACTGATGATATACTCTGACTGGTGATAACTCTGGGTGAAGATAACTCTGACTGATGATGTACTCTGACTGATGATAACTCTGACTGATGATAACTCTGACTGATATACTCTCTGACTGATGATAACTCTGACTGATGATGTACTCTGACTGATGATAACTCTGACTGATGATAACTCTGACTGATGATGTACTCTGACTGATGATATACTCTGACTGATGATAACTCTGACTGATGATATACTCTGACTGATGATAACTCTGACTGATGATAACTCTGATGATGATGATATACTCTGACTGATGATAACTCTGACTGATGATAACTCTGACTGATGATAACTCTGACTGATGATAACTCTGACTGGTGATAACTCTGGGTGATGATAACTCTGACTGATGATGTACTCTGACTGATGATAACTCTGGGTGATGATAACTCTGATGATATACTCTGACTGATGATAACTCTGGGTGATGATAACTCTGATGATATACTCTGACTGGTGATAACTCTGGGTGATGATAACTCTGATGATATACTCTAACTGATGATAACTCTGGGTGATGATATACCCTGACTGATGATAACTCTGACTGATGATATACTCTGACTGATGATAACCCTGACTGATGATAACTCTGACTGATGATAACTCTGACTGATGATAACCCTGACTGATGATAACTCTGACTGATGATAACCCTGACTGATGATAACTCTGACTGATGATAACTCTGACTGATGATAACCCTGACTGATGATAACTCTGACTGATGATAACTCTGACTGATGATGTACCCTGACTGATGATAACTCTGACTGATGATGTACTCTGACTGATGATAACTCTGACTGATGATGTACCCTGACTGATGATTACTCTGACTGATGATATACTCTGACTGATGATAACTCCGACTCATGATGATACTACTCTGATAACTGGATGATATACTCTGATGATCATAACTCTGACTGATGATAACTCTGGGTGATGATATACTCTGACTGATGATAACTCTGGGTGATGATAACTCTGATGATATACTCTGGGTGATGATATGCTTTCTGTCAATATTTATCAATGACTTTTGCAATACATTCACTATAAAGGGATAACCGGGTATTTCTTGTTAGCATTGCGAAAAGGGCTGGGCAGAAGGGGAAAATATGCAGTTGAGGGACTTTGAGACAGAGACCAAGGTAATAGTATTAAAGTAAGAGCATAAATTTCTACTGGGGATGGGGTGGGGTGGGGGTGGGTGGTGATTTAGATAAGATAAACTTTACATTATTCTACGTCGGAATGAAAATTCATTGAAACACAGAAAATTTTCAGACGGCCTAATGTTGGGTAAACAAACTGTTACTCATAACGATGATTCTCTTCCAGCACCGGCATCATCGTTGCAATTGTGTTAGGAGCGATCTTTGGCCTCGTCGTCGTGGCTGTTACCATCCTCGCCATCGTGAAAACTTGCTGCAAAACGGGGACAGGAAGAGTCATCCAACCACAGCCTCACTCGAGTGTGTTTGTTACGTCAGGTAAGCGGGAATCTTTACAGTTAACGTGAAACGTTTAAGTTATTTAAGCTATGATACTAAAGACATACATCGTTGTGTCGAACATTATTGTGTCGAACTTCGGTTGTTTGGAAATAAAAGCCTAGTCTCAGCGTATTCTGTGTCTAGTAGTCATTTTAGGGTTGTCTCTGAGGAAAAGCCTGGTCTCAGCGTATTCTTGATGTAGGCATAATTTTACGGTTGTCTCGAAGTAAAAGCCTGGTCTCAGCGTATTCTAGGTCTAGTCATCATTTTAGGATTGTCTCTAAGTAAAAGCCTAGTCTCAACGTATTCTTTGTCTAGTCATCATTTTAGGGTTGTCTCTAAGTAAAAGCCTAGTCTCAGCGAATTCTTGATGTAGTCATCATTTTACGGTTGTCTCGAAGTAAAAGCCTGGTCTTAGCGTATTCTTTGTCTAGTCATCATTTTAGGATTGTCTCTAAGTAAAAGCATAGTCCCAGCGTATTCTTGATGTAGTCATCATTTTACGGTTGTCTCTGAGGAAAAGCCTGTTCTCAGCGTTTTATTTGTCTAGTCATCATTTTACGGTTGTCTCGAAGTAAACGCCTGGTCTCAGGGTATTCTTCGTCTAGTCATCATTTTACGGTTGTCTCGAAGTAAAAGCCTAGTCTCAGCGTATTCTTTGTCAAGTCATCATTTTAGGGTTGTCTCTAAGTAAAAGCCTAGTCTCAGCGTATTCTTTGTCTAGTCATCATTTTAGGGTTGTCTCGAAGTAAAAGCCTGGTCTCAGCGTATTCTTGATGTAGTCATCTTTTTACGGTTGTGTCGAACTTCGTATAACCTTAGGTATTTAGAGTCGGAGTGGCAAATACCGTACATTTTCGGATGCGAACCGGATTGAGTCACACTGGCTTGAATGCAGCCCCAACACGCAGTCTATCTACCTTGGTCCGTCCAACTTCGACACATCGATGTTTAACTGTACATCATACTTTATTGTATAATATTTTTCAAGCATGTAGACGATCTTTAATGTGACAGGGAGGCCGTCATTATTCTCGGAGAAATGTATTCGCTCGTGAATTTGTATCTACCATAATGATATGTCATGAAACAAGGAAATACAGCTAATCGGGTCACCAGTACATATGGCAGTTACGTAATGCTCCACCTGTGTCATGAAAACAACTCTCATCTGCAATGAACATTTTGTTTTGCATTTCAGGGCAGAGCGGTTATCCACAATATCCCATGCCAACTGCTGGTGCTGCTTTTGTTAATCCAGGGCCCGCTCTAGCACCAAATCCAGCATATCCACACCCAAAGGGCAATCCAGCATATCCGGCACCTAACCCCCCACCATATTACCCCCCACCAGGTGGTCAAGCCCCACCCCCTGCGGCGCCTTCGTATTCCTATCAAAGCCCTGGGACAGCCCAGCTCCCTGGTCAAGTTTCACCCCCTGTTGTAGCCGCAGACCCTGGTCAAGCTCCACCTCCTGTTGTAGCGGCAGACCCTGGTCAAGCTCCACCTCCTGCCAGTGCCCCTGCACCGTCTACTGGGAACGGTTCATAAACGTGACGACGTCATCATCGTTGATTCAATTCCACGAGAAAAGATGTCTTGAATAGGTTAGCAGCCGAGTATGTCATTATATACTAATGGAATAAAGTAACTGTGCATTATATGATGTTATGCCATTTGTTAATTCAAAAAAGATAATAATAACATGATTTGCTTTCCTCAATCACTGTTTAACTGTTGGCAGGATAATAGCGAGAACTATATGATTTGACACTAGGTATCGTTACACGCCTTGACGAGATGTGATGTCAAAAGTCAGTTCACAAATTCACGCATCGTGTGTGTCCACCATTGGCGTTGATGCAGGCTTGACAGCGACGACGCATAGATGTCACTAAGCGATTGAAGAAAGCTTGGGGAATGTTGCTCCATCTGTGAACCAATGCTTGTCACAATTCAGCTAACGTCAATGGCTGATTTTGGGCTTGACGTAAACGTCTCTCCATTTCATCCCAAGCGTGCTCAATAGGGGACAAGTCCGGAGAAACAGCTGGCCAGAGGAGTCCCGGAATGTTCTGCTCTCTCGGGGCATTATTTTGCTGAAGCGTCAAGTTAAGTCTCTGTCCTTACGTCTCTGCACATGAGGCCTAATGATATCATCCCAGAATCGTAGACCTGCCGGATGGCCATTGAAAATGACAAATTTTCTCCGACCACGAGAAGTGATGTCTCCCCACAACATAACGTCGACGTTGAACAACGCACGCAGCATACGTTCACATCACCGTGTGTACACCCTTTCTCTGCCATAAAGCTGTCCTGAAATCAAATTCGTGCCATGCGCGATATATGATAATCAAATTCATGCAAAGTGCTTTTCTGCATGTATTTTAGGTTTTTATAACCTTTTATTTTATGCAATTTTTGTTGTGCACAGTTACTTTTTTCCGTTAGTATAATTACTTTAATTAGCAGCAGTATGTTTTGTATTATTTGTATTATTTTGTTTATTTATTTATGTACATCACGCATACATACATACATTCATACATACATACATACATACATACATACATACATACATACATACATACATACATACATACATACATACATACATACATACATACATACATACATACATACATACATACATACATACCTACCTACCTACCTACCTACCTACCTACCTACCTACCTACCTACCTACCTACCTACCTACCTACCTACCTACATACATACATACATACATACATACATATATACATACATGTTTGGACGTTAAGTTTGCATCTGTTTGACAACTGTTTTCGCCCTTGATTGAGTTGGTATATATATGAAGGAGGAATATTGTCAGAATAATGTCAGGGTGAGTGAATGAATATGGTTTTACGCCGCTCGTAAAACTTTCGAACAATATCACCACATTGGGACACCATGGCCATAACTTGCCTTTACACATTGTATGACTTAAGACATCAACGCCTTTTGCTATGTGCCTGTATCCTCGAGCTATATATCTTTAACATGTGGTGCTATCTTGTTTCACTGAATAAATCTTATTTTGCTATAAATAATGTATCATTTGTGTGATATATACATGGCAATACAAACTATGAGAATTCATGAAGTGTAGTCACATATTTGTGTAACTGATTCCTTCAACCAAATAGATGACTTCAGTGTGAATAGAGATAGACATCGAGTCTTACTGTCAAACTGGAAGACATGAAGTATCACATGACCTAAATTATTCCATATCTGCACATGTCACCAGTTAAACGTACGGATTACATCTATCTCAGAAAACAAAACAATTACTGGATAAACTTTGCTTAAAGTTGCGTGTTCCCGTTCCGTCAAAACCACTCCTCAGTCAGTACAATGGATACAATTTATGTAACACAAATAATGGTTTGAGTGACTAGGTTGGGTGTTGGGCGTGCCATCGTCTTTATTCAACTGTGAGTTTAATCTTACGCCGCTTTTGGCAATATTCCAGCAATATCACGGCGGCGTACAAAAGAAATGGGCTTCAGCGTACCCATGTGGGGAATCGAACTCGGGTCTTCGGCGTGACGAGCGAAGGCTGTAACCACTAGACTAACAGTGTTAGTTTATATTTCACGGACAAAATGCACAAATAGAAGCAATATACTCTTATCATAAACTTATATGATCAGTTGTTTTGTAAAAGATTCCTTTTTCAACATTCCTTATTTTGTATTTTTATCTGTGACACTTTGCAATTTGAACTAATTGTAACAGGCCCTGGAGTTACCCAACAGATGATTTCCTTACCTTGTAAGCTTAGTGGAGGGATTATTAACCTGTTTGGTCATGTGGACAAGCGTCCGACCTCGGGTAAGAATATCCGTGCTTCGAATCCCGTAAGGGTTCGATTTTATGGCCTCTACATTATCATTGGTCTTACCTAACAATTGAAAGACAGGTATAGCTACAGGCGTTGTAAGTTGTACCCATAATGTCGTGTGAATCATTATTGAAGTTCTGTGCAGTAAAACCTTTATTGTGTATGTACGTTGTAAATGCAGCTTCATGCATAACTGCCACCTATGGAATCCTAGAAGGGACATTGTCGCGTTGTCAGCCACTCATAAAGACAATGCGTCAACGCGACATATTTTTACCTTGAAAATTGTCAGCTACAGGCGCTCCATAACACTAGAGTTATGAAATAATGAATACAAAACTGACCAAGAGCGTGTTTATATTTTTAAAAAGTTCGTTCTAGTATACATTGATGGAGACAGTTTGTCGTGCAGTAAGCTGTCTGGCAAAATGTAGACTATTATCTATAAATCATGAAATTTGCTACAGTAATGAGCGTTTCTTGGGTTATAGTTCTGTCTAATTGTTTGAGTGGCACTGTTGGAGCTGGTAAGCCAATAATGAGTGAGTTTAGATTTACGCCGCATTAAGCTTTATGACGACGGTCTGTGAATAATAACTAGACAATCCAGTGATCAACAGCATGAGCATCGATCTACGCGACTGAGATATGATGACATATGTCAACCAAGTCAGCCTAAGCACCCTATCCCGTTAGTCGCCTCTTATGACTAGCGAGGTTTACTGATGACGGATGTTTACGGATTGAGCCAATAAAGAAGCATACAACTTCACCCTGACACGTTTATAAAACTAACGCAATCGATGCAGTACATAAGACGTTGTATCCATAATGTCGTATGTATCATTATTGAAGTTCTGTGCAGTAAAACCTTTATTGTGTTTATAGTATGACCAGAAATTATTGAGAATTTTAGGAATATGTTTAATTGGATTTCTAGTATAAACAACCTTGACCAGCTATCAAGTGCTTGGTTTCATTCAAGAGAGACAACTCCGTAAATCCTTTTTCATTAGTTTGTGAAGAGTTATCCCCCTTCGTTTACTTGCTAGCAGACGACAGTGATCCTCAGTATGGATGATTTAGAGAAGAGGAAGTTGATATTAGAGTATTATAACAACGACATCAGATCAGCTAAAGTGATTTCAATGTACGTTATTAACGCAGGTCTATGCATAACTACCACCTTTCACTACTATGCTCGCCCGTTAGCGTTGGCCCCTATGCAATGAAGTAAAACGTTTAACCCTGTATTACCCTTTAGAAATACGTATTGTTGGTCGTCTTAGGAAAACCCCAGCGTCATTGGTACATCTCTATATAAGTGTATGAATAGTGTGTCGCAACGTCAGAACCGAGTGTGACAATTGAAAGAAAGGCGTCGTAGCCATAGCATTACTGCGTCAATCTAAGGACTTCATACAAATCATTGACTTTGCTTTCATACTACAGCTGACAAAGACGATACAATCGCGTCACAATACACACTGACTACCGTTATTATTACCCTGTTCGGGGACGGCCGACTGCACAACCTGCTTCCAAAATAGCAAAAACCAGGAAGCTCTGCAGAGCTGTATTGCCGTCTTGGACTCATATACTTGGACAGGCCTATCTACTGAAATATTCTGGCTATCGTCCTACGTTGAAACAAGGTACGTATATATATGTCTTGTTTCCTGGTCTTTTGATAGTTGCTTAACCTAAACACCAAGCCGATATTCACCAATAAATCCCCGCGGCTACATACAAATACTAACTTTGTTGCCAATATTAATATAGGTACATCTAAGTCGGACACTTACCATTCTAGGAATGAGTGAGATAGGGTTATCGCTGTTTTGAGGCGTTGACATCTATGATAAACCAATGAAGCTTGCAAACGAAAGCCGTAATAATGGGTAATCCAGGATACGATCCTAGGAATTAAACCACTGTGCTATTCATTGAAAGGTCTCTGTCGTAATATATATAATGCAGGTACGCCCGAGACTATGTATTTACCCTATTGCGCGATTTCCATAAACAAAGTGCCAATGTTATATTGTTATTTTGTCCTCTCATTGGTGGGGTAACCTTATGGTTAAAGTGTTCACTCCTCACGCCGAAGACCGGGTCCATTTCCTCACATGAGTACATTGTGTGAAACCCATTTCTGGTGTCCCCACGCCTTGATATTGTTGGAATATTGATAAACATACAGAATTTTCTGGATTTCATCTTCTTCTTTATTAATAAGCTGGAATATTGCCAAAAGCGGAGTAAAACTAAACTCACTCTCTCTTCTCATTGGCGCATTCTAACACATAACACAGCGGTTGTTGCTTTTATTATGCAGTATCAACAACACGTTACACTTGTAATTTGTATGTCCTACACCCATTATGGAATCACATGGATTGAATTGAAAACTGGCTGTGTAAGATCTTAGAGCAGTTATATCCTACACCTATTATGGAATCACATGGATTGAATTGAAAACTGGCTGGGTAAGATCTTAGAGCAGTTATATCCTACACCCATTATAGAATCACATGGATTGAAATGAAAACTGGCTGTCTGAGATCTTAGAGCAGTTATATCCTACACCCATTATGGAATCACATGGATTGAAATGAAAACTTGCTGTATAAGATCTTAGAGCAGTTATATCCTACACCCATTATGGAATCACATGGATTGAAATTAAAACTTGCTGTGTGAGATCTTAGCGCAGTTATATCCTACACCCATTATGGAATCACATGGATTGAAATGAAAACTGGCTGTGTGAGATCTTGAGGCAGTTATATCCTACACCCATTATGGAATCACATGGATTGAAATGAAAACTGGCTGTGTGAGATCTTAGAGCAGTTATATCCTACACCCATTATGGAATGACATGGATTGAAATGAAAACTGGCTGTGTAAGATCTTGAGGCAGTTATATCCTACACCCATTATGGAATCACATGGATTGAAATGAAAACTGGCTGTGTAAGATCTTAGAGCAGTTATATCCTACACCCATTATGGAATCACATGGATTGAAATGAAAACTGGCTGTGTGAGATCTTAGAGCAGTTATATCCTACACCCATTATGGAATGACATGGATTGAAATGAAAACTGTCTGTGTGAGATCTTAGAGCAGTTATATCCTACACCCATTATAGAATCTCATGGATTGAAATGAAATTGGCTGTGTGACATCTTTGAGCAGTTATATCCTACACTCATTATGGAATCACATGGATTAAAATGAAAACTGGCTGTGTGAGATCTTAGAGCAGTTATATCCTACACCCATTATAGAATGACATGGATTGAAATGAAAACTGTCTGTGTGAGATCTTAGAGCTTATATATCCTACACTCATTATGGAATCACATGGATTAAAATGAAAACGTGCTGTGTGAGATCTTAGAGCAGTTATATCCTACACCAATTATAGAATCACATGGATTGAAATGAAAACTGGTTGTGTGAGATCTTAGAGCAGTTATATCCTACACCCATTATGAAAAAGACAATGAACCAGTGGTGTCTTGGGTTTTCTACGTTTAAGACAAAATCGGCCACGATCTCCCTTCATAGATTTCATGGACTCTTGTTCTGAATCTTTTTGATCTGGGCGTCAGTGGTGAACCTTTCACAAACGTTTTGCGGCAGGCATGTGGAAGACATTTCTCAGTTTGACGTACCAGTGATCAAAATTGTTAGACGGAAAACCCTATCTGAGTTGTACCGTCTATTTTCGAGTTTGTTCAGATGAACACTTGACGTGCCTTCGCACTTGACGTGACTTTTAATTGTGGGCGATATGCCCATGATGTATAGTATAGTGTTTTAGCAGAGATGTCATATGATCACAGCAAGCGTTTCATCACATATCACTACATGAGCAACCGGCGCTTCCACCATTGGTCTGTCCCAACACCCTATTTAATTGGAGATGGTATAAGTGAGTGTGGTCGATTAATGACATGCTCCATTCACACAGTTCACACATCGGAAACCAAGACGTGCCTCACTGGCTGACTGTTCAATATGTTACGAGCGCTTCACGTCGTATTTGTTCCTGACTCCAGCCTTGACCCTGTCCATATTACCAGTGATTCAATTTGTTACGATGTCCTCCATAACTGCTCTAAGATTTTACCCAGCCAGTTTTCATTTCAATCCATGTGGTTCCATAATGGATGTAGGATATAACTGCTCTAAGATCTCACACAGCCAGTTTTCATTTCAATCCATGTGATTCCATAATGGGTGTAGGATATAACTGCTCTAAGATCTCACACAGCCAGTTTTCATTTCAATCCATGTGATTCCATAATGGATGTAGGATATATCTCACAGATCTCACACAGCCAGTTTTTCATTTCAATCCATGTGATTCCATAATGGGTGTAGGATATAACTGCTCTAAGATCTTACACAGCCAGTTTTCATTTCAATCCATGTGATTCCATAATGGGTGTAGGATATAACTGCTCTAAGATCTTACACAGCCAGTTTTCATTTCAATCCATGTGATTCCATAATGGGTGTAGGATATAACTGCTCTTAGATCTTACACAGCCAGTTTTCATTTCAATCCATGTGATTCCATAATGAGTGTAGGATATAACTGCTCTAAGATCTCACACAGCCAGTTTTCATTTCAATCCATGTGATTCCATAATGGGTGTAGGATATAACTGCTCTAAGATCTTACACAGCCAGTTTTCATTTCAATCCATGTGATTCTATAATGGGTGTAGGATATAACTGCTATAAGATCTTGCACAGCCAGTTTTCATTTCAATCCATGTGATTCCATAATGAGTGTAGGATATAACTGCTCTAAGATCTCACACAGCCAGTTTTCAATTCAATCAATGTGGTTCCAATATGGGTGTAGGATATAACTGCTCTAAGATCTCACACAGCCAGTTTTTACTTAAATCCATGTGATTCCATAATGGGTGTAGGATATAACTGATCTAAGATCTCACACAGCCAGTTTTCATTTCAATCCATGTGATTCCATAATGGGTGTAGGATATAACTGCTCTAAGATGTTACCCAGCCAGTTTTCATTACACAGCCAAATGAAAACTGGCTGTGTAAGATCTTAGAGCAGTTATATCCTACACCCATTATGGAATCACATGGATTGAAATGAAAACTGGCTGTGTGAGATCTGAGAAATGTCCTCCACATGCCTGCCATAAAACGTTTGTGAAAGTTTCACCACTGACGACCAGATAAAAAAAATTCAAAACAAGAGTCCATGAAATCTATGAAGGGAGATCATGGCCGATTTTGTCTCGAACGTAGAAAACCCAAGACACCACTGGTTCATTGTCTTTTTTTCGCTGCGATATGGATAAATATTTCAAAAAGTGGCGTCAAATCTCACTCGCCCACCTCGTACATGCATATAACTTGATTCTGTTATGCTAACACAATCAGAAACTGAAAGTGCGTAAGAATTGACGCCTTGTTTAATGGCTATCTTGGTCATTTCACCACGTGTCAGCTTCATGTTGGGGGGACCGCCTCCGTGGTGTAGTGGTAAGAGCGTCCGCCCGGAGAGCGGAAGGTCGCGGGTTCGATCCCCGACCGCGTCATACCAAAAGACGTTAAAATGTGGTACCTGTTGGTCCCTGCCTGGCGCTCGGCATTAATGGGTATAACAAGGACTGGTCGGCTCAGAGTCAGTATAATGTGTCTGAGTGGGGTATTCATGCTTCACTGCGGTATGGTATCTCAGTGGGCTAGCACTATAAAACAAGCTTCAGTCTGGGCTAGTACAAGCAGCCGCACAAACACATACACACACATGCACGTCGTCATATGAGCGAAATATTCTAAAGCACGACGTAAATTTCACCTCACCTCACCTCACCTTCATGTTGGGGAAAACCACTGGTAGTGCAGGGTCTACATGTATCAACTTAGGTAAAACTCACGGGCAAAATTGTGGCGCTGACAAATATTGACATATAATCTTGATGGATCGTCAAAATTCGAAACCACGACTTTTTTCAGCACCCTCAAGGACTGAGTGAGTGAGTGAGTTTTGTTTTGCGCCGCACTCAGCAATATCCCAGCTATATGGCGGCGGTCTGTAAATAATCGAGTCTGGACCAGACAATCCAGTGATCAACAGCATGAGCATCGATCTGCGCAATTGGGAACCGATGACATGTGTCAACCAAGTCAGCGAGCTTGACCATCCAACCCCGTTAGTCGCCTCTTACGACAAGCATGGGATACTGAAGATCAATATTCTAACCCGGACCTTCACGGGTGCACCCTCAAGGAACCCAACTCGCGAATTGCAGCTTTTTTGACGACTGGGTTATCTGTGAATAATATATCCCTAAAATCAGTTCAGCGCATACATATATTTAACAATCACTAATTATTCCGACTATGCATAAGTATTTCCTTTTAAAATAACTAATATACGCTTGTGATTGCTTCCAGATCTGATCAGATGAGCGGACGACCTCCACACCAAGGGGAGACACCCCCTTCGTATTCCGCATACCCAAACGCATCTCCTTATCCCGGCATGGCTCCTTATTCAGCCCCTGGCCCTGCTCCTTATTCAGCCCCCGGCCCAGCTCCTTACAAGTTTGGCCCCACACCGTATCCAAATACAGCTCAGTATTACGGACCCACTTCCGGAGCCCCTGGTTACAACATGGGGCCAACACCATACCCAAATACTGCGAGGATAGGTCCGTATCCATCACAGAGCCCTGGATATCAGCCTCCTTATGGTAGTCAAGCCCCACCTCCTGGTCCTGTCCCGCCTCCAGTACAAGCTCCGACAGCCCCAGGCCCGCCTTCAGAACAAGCTCCACCTGACGGTCAAGCCCCACCTCCAGGACAAGGTCAACCCCTTCCTCTTGGACAAGATCCATCTGAAAGTCAAGCTACAACTGGTGGACAGGATGCGCCTGAAGATACATCCACAACAAAGGCAATCATATCAGAGGAAGAGGATGCAGCGAAAAATCTCCAAGATGATAATGCTGGGGATTCAAATCCTGATCAAACATCATCTGAGAAGCCTCCTGATCCACCCCAGGAAGACACTTCGGATCCTGATCCGTTTGGACCGTTTCAATCTCCTCTCCCTGATTCTGTTCCTGCTCCTGTCGCACCTAGTGCCACTACTTTCCGTAAATAACCTAGTTTTGAGAGAAGATGTAATATCAGCGGTGCATAGTTGTATTAAATACAACTTTATCTCTCGATGAACCTTATAGATACTATTTGTGTGTATTACCTACGAGGGCGAAACATATCGGGGTTCATATTTTTCATACGATGCCCTAGGGCAAAATATCACTTTGTCGTGGTGACGTGACGTCATGAACAAGGCTGTGACATCACGTTTTTCTGTGACGTTGCGTTCTACAAGCGGCGACGGCGGGTAGCCAGCCTGTGTTTGAAAGTAGATTTGGGTTTATTTTTCTCAATTTGACGACTTCGGTAATAAACAGAATATTATATTCGTGCCCATATCACACTATGTTTACGACACTCGTGCCTAAATAACGGTATATCCCTCGCTCTCGCTCGGGAAATACCAACATTTAGGCACTAGTGTCGTAAACATAGTATGACATGGCACTCATTTAATATCCTCTATCTATTCCATTCTGATATTGTTCATTAAACCTTTAACACGACATGAGCGTTTGTCATACAACCGGCGCCAGTTCTGCATCAAACCCATGCTTTATATGTTCTGAACTCAAATTGAGCTGGCCATGGTATCAAGTGACCGATTCTGCCCACATATATGATACAGCTGAGTTCAACGCCACTTTGAACTGTAGTGAAGCAGATTGGCATATAATTTTACTCTTGTTTTGTGTCTTATTAACATAATTGAATCATTGAATCTACATTGAATAACATCATATCAACTATTTGAATCTGATGTTGAAATAGCTGAAGCATTGTACCCCGAGACACCTAAAGTGAAGTATCTTTTACCTCAACCTTTGCATATATATGATATGTAATATACTGCATAGTTTACTTTACAAATGCATTAAAATATATCCGTTTTGGAATTTACCTTTTGTCGTTAATTATTAGAGCACATTGAAGCTTCGAGGAATTATGGAGTTTACATGGCAAATCCTGATCCCGATCAAGATGAAACAAACTGATTTACTCTTATAAAACTCCTGACTCAATATTGCTCTATATTGACCAGTCCTAAGACACGTGACACTTGAGTCAATACGAAACACTTATTCTTATTCTAATGTCGTCCGTTTCTTAAGAGACAGTGCTAAAAGATTCTGCAGAAAGATTTTTGTTAGCATTTTTTAAAAATGACTGTAATACATGCATACAGAATTTACTATAAAAAAGCTTGAGCCTAAAATACTTCTGATATGTGCATGATGAAAATAACTGTATGATATTGAAGACTGGTTTATATCATTCACATGCACGTATTGACATGCACATGTCGCTAGTTTCCGGTCACGTGAAATCTAATCACATGTACCTCTATTGAGGCATGGACAAGCTTGAGTACAGAACAGTCCTCGATGGCCATCCGTCGAAGCACATTGAAGAGCGACTGACAGCAGTAGTCGTACCCCATTGGACTCAGTAATCGTACTGCTGTTTAAACAGCTCTTTAAACCACCAGCATCATCAATCCAAAGTCCCCATTTGTTGTTTAATGCCGCACTCAGCAATATGCCAGCTACATATATATGGCGGCGGTCTGTAAATAATCGCGTCTATTCCAAATAACCCAGTGATCAACAGCATGAGCATCGATCTGCGCAATTGACTCACGATGACATGTGTCAACCAAGTCAGTGAGCCTGACCACCTGATCCCGTTAGTCGCCTCTTACGACAAGCATGGGTTGCTGAAGACCAATTTTAACTCGGACCTTCGCTGGTCTCCCGAACCGATAAGAAGATATGTTTGGTTATGCGGAATAGGGCGGGGTTGTCTCTCCCTGGTGTGATGTAACTGTTAATGCTTTAATCATGACGATGAGCACAACGAAATATTGTATCCTTGCATTTGGTCTCTTGTATAACAATAGCAATCTCTTCAGGGACAACAGACCCTCAAAAGTTTAAAGGGAACAAAACTGTATTATCTGGTTCTCAATGCAATGTGCGAAACTTGGCTGTCCAATTCTTTTATTATAGAAGTGTAGGCCAGCGGCCCATAATTACATAAGTTGCATTGTGCATGGCAAAACATTGTGTGTACATTATAAATTGATAATTTTAACATCTTAGATGCATTGCATGATAGATAAAGCTAGATATGTTATTAGGATTAGAATAGGAGCTATTTTCATATCAAATAGCTTAAGGAATTATTCATGAGATATATTACCTAGGTTACTTAATTTTTTAAGAACACCAAATAAAGCCTTTTCACCTTGCAAAGCTGCATTAGAACAATGACTAGACCAAGTTAAGCCCCTTGTATATGTTATACCTAGGTACATATATGAAGTTACATCTTCCAATTTCCTACCATTATACAACCAACTTTCTCGTTTTGATAAGCTACCACCTTTCTGAAAAAAGACAACTTTTGTCTTATCCAAACTGACCTTGAGACCATATTCTATACAAAACTTGGCTATTGGACGTTCCTGAATACCAGTTTCATTTGATTTGTTTCTTGTTTTTAACGTCACTTTCAGAAATACAAGACAGCCTTCCATTGACTGGCTTCATGATCTACGCAATTGAGATACAAAGACCTCCATCAGCCCAGTCAGCGGGTCGGAACATCTTCATGTGTATCCGGTTTTGGTATTCATCATGCAATTTGAATTATCAGAAAAACAAAGTAATACAAATGTTATTTGAATGTTTGAAGTAAACCTGTCAGGACTAACAATTCCATCTGAATACCATCGGGTGTGAAAACATCGTTGTAAGGGTGCAAAAAGACCCAGCATTTGTAATGATCTCCAGTATAGATTTTTCATCTCGTTCATGACTATATAATGTCTGATTCTAGACACTGAATTCATCATTATCAAAACATGACCGGTAAATGACAGGAAGTAATAAAGAATACTATGAAGTGTTCGCATCTTGTTATTGATTTAGAGCATTCGTCTAATGTCATTGTCCAGTTCATTATATATCAGTCGATAAACACCAAGACACGCCCTTATTTATATTGGTTTTGTCATGCAGACTTCCTGATTTCTACCTGGTCAATAATGACCAATTTCCTAACCACAAATGTACCTGAAGAAATTGACGGCACCATTTTAACAACAGCAAGTAAATCAGAAAAATGACGTTTATTCGTGTTATTGTTTAGGGTCCATTAGACCGGGGAGACATGAAGGAATGTTTAGAAGCAAGAAAGCAGGTGATGCACAATTTATTCAAAATTCGTCTATATGGAGAATCATATACATAAATACCCTGTTTAGTAATTACCGCTGATGATGTGAAATGCGACGTGCATGTATACCATATGTATGTAAGAGAGAGAGAGAGAGAGAGAGAGAGAGAGAGAGAGAGAGAGAGAGAGAGAGAGAGAGAGAGAGAGAGAGAGAGAGAGAGAGAGAGAGAGAGAGAGAGAGAGAGAGAGAGAGAGAGAGAGAGAGAGAGAGAGAGAGAGAGAGAGAGAGAGAGAGAGAGAGAGAGAGAGAGAGAGAGAGAGAGAGAGAGAGAGAGAGAGAGAGAGAGAGAATTTTAGATCCAACTTAGGGAATTTTAGATCAACTTACCGCTCAGCAAGTAGACGGTCTAGCCCGTCTTGGTGGTCGCTCAGTAAACTTTAATCGTGTTCCACAGCATTGAACCCACCTTTACATGTAGATGTATGTTTATTTGGCCCACACAGTAACTTCTTTACTCAGCAAACATGTCGGTGTTCGTGAAGTACAGTACACCCCGCTGAGACATATTCAACATGTGCTTCGATATGGCACGTGCATATGTTTGCAAACATAATAACGGCATACACGACAGACAGTGTCGTGAACGACGAAGATTACTTCGTTAATACAAGGTAGGTGTAGATTAGTCTGTACAACTTCGAGAAATGAGATGACCATGGGTGTGCTGCTACTCTTTTTCATTTGGGGCGTTTTCTGTGTTAACGGTAAGTATAATCTGGTTCTGATCTCGTTGCCATGGTTTCATTTGTGTAGATGGTTTGTAATTGACCGATTGACCTTACCATGATGTGGGGTTCGTCGTGGTTCACTTTAATATCGCCACAGAAATACCCGTACACTTTACATCTATTTAATAGTGCTTCATAAACAAATGCTTATGATATATACGGAATATATGCTATCGCCCCACCATTTGATAGCGATTCATAAACAAGAGCTTATGATATATACGGAATATATGCTATCGCCTTCACCATTTGATAGCGATTCATAAACACATGCTTAGGATATGTACAGAATATAAATATATATGTGGAGATTTCTTAAACTATAGAAACAGTTTTTTGTTGCCTTTTTTACATGATGAATGTGCTGCAGAACTAGGTAACAACTGTAAATGATGCCATTGTTTCACGAGGGACACATAATCCGACATTTGGAGCTGCGTTAGGTTAGTTTCTATGTTTTTGGTTGCTGGGGAAAAGGAATAAAATGTAGATTTACGAATCTCACGTGCAGACGATCTTAAACAAGTTATTGTTGGGACGCCGCCGCAATAGACGCCATGAAAGTAGATGAAGCATTACTCCCAGAGGATACCATCAATAGGGTTGGTGCACTACATGACATAGAGGTATCGTCTTTGGTTGACCCTCTTTTGAAAAAAATACTTATATGTTCTAAATGCCTTTTGTGATTAAGGTATTCTGTTGCAGGCGTGTTGTGTGTGCAGTGTACGGCGTTTGAGAGCACCTTCAGCAGCAACACCGTCACCTTCACCTGCCCCGAGAAATGCTGCTCATCTTCATACAGCCAGCAATGTTGCTACATGTACGTACTATCTTTGACGTTAAAAGTCGTTTTAACATTGGGCGTTGTTTCAGGCTTATGAATACTCGACAGGTTGACATTATATTTCCTATATAGAACGCAAGTAGTGTGATATCAATATCTATGTTTTCTGAAGTGAAATCAACAACGAAGTCGATAGTGTTAATTTGCAGGGACATAATATTTACTGTTCGTATTCAGGTTATCTGAGGCGCTACAGTGCTGTCTGAAGAGTAACCTCCCTTATGCGTGTTAGGATATCAGATTCCCCCTCAATGACCACACCTATGTTTAATGACTAAGTGAGAACCAAACAAGAAATAGGAAATCGATGGTGATGTCTGATACTAACATCAACGTTGTGTTTTGGACCTCAACAATTCATTATATTTTTGCTACTGCTTATAATGACGTTTCCAGAACGTTTGCTATTTTTCCGAATCTAATTTTGAAATGTATACTTTCTTTTACCGTGTAGTTTAGTTTGCTTAACGATCAACATCACTTCGGCCGTCTCTCCCATATCAAACAGTCCATGATACAAATAGCTGTTTGCTCGACAGGGTAGCCTAGTGGTTAAAGTGTTCGCTCGTCACGCCAAATACCCGGGTTCGAATCCCATTTGGGTAAGGTGCAATGTGTGAAGCCCATTTTAGGTGTCCACCGCCGTGGTATATCTGGAATACCGTTAAACGCGGCGTAAAACCATACTCACTCACAACCAATCGTGATTACGCTTACACATCTTCCGTCTACAGAGACACCGTAGATGGCTGGATTATAGCTATAGCCGTCATCATTTCCTTGCTGGTACTGGGATGCTGCTGCGGCATCGTCATCATCATCATCAAGTCATGTACAAAGTCAGGATACAAAGGCAGAGTTATCTCCCCTATACCGCCTTACACCAGTAAGTATAACGGATATGTACGCAAGAGCCTGATGTTACAATGGAGAGAATAGGATCTGTGAGGGATCTGTGCTGCGTGTTCCAAAATTACAAGCATAGTTAAATTAGTGTTTTATGAATGGTCCATATCACATGATCGACACACATAGTCACAGACTGGCCAGGATCTACTACACTAAATAAAATAAATTTGCTCCCTAAGCAAGTATCGTAAGTAAACTTCAGTTCTGATGGAGGCATATGACAGCTGTGATTGGATGAAATTGTGTAAGATGATTATGTTTTTCATCTCTCCAGTAAATAAAACTGACCACATTTTTAAATATATTATGCTGCCTTATATAACACGGTGACTTACGCTGAATGTGTGCATAGATATTTTCAAGTATAGTCCAGTCAGTTTATGTGAATACCCACCACAAATTGCAACATCTAAGATTTCGAAAGCGAAGATGACCCCTATGACCTTGAGGGTCGAATTTGACCTTGTTCCACCACTGAGATTTTCCCAGACTTTTTATATGTTATAAGGGAATGGTTCAGGGTCTTAAAACAGTTGAAATCATTTCTGTTGCAATTTGTGGTGGGTTAGGTCAGAATCTTACCAGGATGACTGGACTAGTAGGCGAGATTTGGTGCGGTACTGTTTTTTTGTCTTCAGCTACCTGTACTCAGAAAAGGAATTGGGTAACCTAGTCACAATTTGTGTTTTTATTGCAGCCATAAGGCCATGCTGTGCATATGTGTACATGCAATGACTTAAAACGCCCTGGTTATCTTTTAAGAACATATGACGTTGCTATTGAAGTCTATGGGAAAACATTTGGTTTTGTGTAACCTATATGAGTATGTACCGGGACATTACGTACTCCGGGCTTGTGGGTTACATCCCGCCATACACTCCGAGAGACACTTTGGCAAAGACTTTATCATTCCTGAACAATCGTCGTCTGTTGATCTACAATGTCCTTTTCAACAGTAGGGCGGTTGGGTAGCCTAGTGGGTAAAGCGTTCGCTCGTCACGCCGATGTCCCGAATCGATTCCCCACAAGGGTACAATGTGTGAAGCCCATTCCTACTGTCCCCCGCCGTGATATTGCTGGAATATTGCTAGAAGCGGCGTAAAACCATACTCACTCACTCTTCAACAGTATGGGTACCAAATTCTTTCACCGACACCTTGCCACTGTGCAGACGAAGTAAACATATCAATAGTTATCACCCTTGCATTACAATCGATTATGCTCAGTGATGGTCGCTTGACTGCATGTGATAGGTGTTCATTCTCAAAGTCACCCGATCGTTGTGTAAGTGTGGCATTTCCCGCTGGGAAATACATAATTTTATCTTATCTGTCGGCGAGGAACACGAGGAAATAAAGCCATTCAATAATTAATCAGAAATGAGTATCTCAGTGGCTGTAGTATCATATAATGCTGGGGTTTTAAGCGCCAGGCTATTGATCCAACGATCTTGAGGTGCCGGGATCGAGCCCGCCTGTGCCCGGGTGTAAAAACCTTGGAGTCAACTTTGTGTGCAGACTCTTTCAGTGTTGTCACAACCCCTAGTGTACAGTACACAACCCTGTGCACTTAAAGGAACCCACGAATCCAAATGAATAGTGCAACACCTAGTCACGGGTACAGCAACGTGCAGTAAATTGGGACTGCGTTACTATGTGTCGCAGTCCAGCCGGCTGTGAATGGGTACCTCGTAAGGATGGAAAAGCAACACTAACTTGGTGTGCCTAGTGGTTGCACGAGTTGTATGATCCCCAGGGAGTAGAGACTAAAATACGATGTGCCGTTGAGATTGACATGTAATGATCGAGGGATAAACAAAGCGCCTTTTGAGCAGCCGAGATGTAGCCGGGGTAGTCAAGTGATTAAAGCGTTCGCTCGTCACGCCGAAGACCCGGGTTCGATTCCCCACATGGGTACAATATCTGAAACCCATTTCGGTGTCCCCCTGCCGAGATATTGCTGGAATATTGCTAACAGCGGCTTAAAACCATACTCACTCACTCACTCACTCTCTTTGGCTTTGTTTCAGTTTTTCTGTAGCCATCTTGGAAAACAACTGACTGCACCCCCGCCTCCTTTTTCAATACACTATAGACATAGACTTTGAAGTTATATATACGTTACCAAGTTTAATTTCTAACACAATAACAGAGTGGTGGTATGTACATTTCAGAACATATGTTTTGTCCTGTTGGCTGCCATCTTGGAAAACTAATGATTGACGTCATATATTTCTCAATTACTGATTCACCCCTTGACGCAATATGCACGATTCAACCAATCATCCTCACTTGACGACTGGACTATATTATATTTGTTCACACATACCCAAAGATGATCTAACGATTTGTCGCAATCTGTATTTCAGTGCCCGCACCGCCAGCATATTCCTCTTACAATGCTATGCCTCCAGCCTACACTGTATCACCACTCTCAGGGAATGCCACAGGACAATCCAGAGATACCACGATGTCAATTCAAGAATCAGGACATCGGACGATGAGTACTCAAGGAGTCTACAGTTCTAACACTCCCCAGTTACCCCCCATAGTAGCGTTTCCGCCTGTGGGGACAACATCTGGTGTACCACCAGCTTCATCGACAGCTACGACTGATGTGTCTTCTCCTTCTGGACCAACTTCCGGTGCATCTCCAGCGCCAGCAGCCGCCAGGACTGGTGAACCAGCATCTGGTGGTTCTCCAGCATCATCAGCCGCTACATCACTTCCCACGAGTGACATGTTTCCATCAGAAAGTGTTCCAAGTGTGCCAAGCGTTCCACCCGCAGACACGACACCTAAAGCTTGACCAAGTCTTTAACAAATCATTTCCACCCAGAGAAAGCTTAATACATATGAGTAAATATTTCGCACATTTGATTCAAAAATGAATTACAGATGTAAGTAAAATAACATGATAATATATTTCAATAAGCATACAGCGAGTGACACAATGCATTTTTTTGTTTGAGAATTTATAGCCAGGCAAACCATACAATTAAACATATTCTCACAACCATTTTAAATGTCGTTTGATTTAAACCATGCGCAATGAAGGTTATGAAGTTAAATTCGACAAGAAGAAGACCTCTTTGCCTAATAATACGACAGAAGAACCACAGAATTAGATTGCAGCTAGGTTCGTGTCAGCTCATGGCGGGTCCCCCAGTACGTATGCTTGTCGTCACCGTTGACTGACACGAGTCTGGGAGATTGCGTATTAGTCTACCTCAAGACCAGTTGAGACATAGGACCCCACAAGCCCATGCCTTTCGTACGATGGATAGCGTGATCAGCCTTAATTAGTTTATTTGTGTAATTTTATATCGATTGGATAGATATTCACTTGTTGTCGATTACTCCGATCAATATATTATTGTTGAGTGCCCGTCAAACAAACGAAGAAAAGAGGAAGGCGTTGATCGCTGCTCAAGCTAGTTTGCCTTTTTGAGAGTCAGGTATGTACAGACCACATTCATTAGGGTGTCCTATGTTGAACAGCGACAGTATTCATTCACCCACTCAACTCCAGTTGGGGTTGTGCCATGTTTGGCTTGGATTTTGTGCAGAGCAGGACATTTCTTAACCAGTAATTTTTAAAATTATACTCAAAACAAACAACCCTTGTAGATTCGGGTTAGAATTGGTCTTCAGTAACCCATGCCTGTAGTAAGAGGCGACCAACTGGATCAGGTGGTCAGGCTCGCTGACCTGGTAGACAATTGCGTAGATCGATGCTCATGCTGTTGATCACTGTATTGTCTGGTCCAGACTCGATTATTTACAGACCGCCGCCATATAGTTGGAAATATTGCTGCGTGCGGCGTTAAACAACCAACCAACCAACCAATCAAAGCAAACAAAAACGTCATGAAACGTTTTGCCACACAGAACAAATGTATAGCAACTGATATGAGAACAAACAGTGCTTTTGAGAAGCATTTGAATAACATGCTGAATGCGGGAAGTGTAACCTAACTCCTGCAAATAGAGGCTACTACAGAAATGTAACAATACAGCTTGTGGGAGCCTAGTTTCACAACGGCGATCAATATAATTGCCACAACAAAGGAATCAAACTGTGTAAATAATATTCTCACGTAATCATGGCACAGCTTACAAAGATGTGGCTGGTTCTACTTGTGTTTATACTTTTCTTTTTTACAGGTAAGCTTCTGTCGTAATATTCGTTTACTATGTGATGTTTTATCACACAGTTAATATTTAGTGCTGATGATTAAGACTTTGCAACCCCAACCTTGCTTTCTGTACCTCGTCTACCACACCTGTGTCTGTAGTTGGGAAATCCGTGTGGTGGTTTTCGTCTTATGCTGGTATATAGAGAATCTCACCTGAGTGTCTTTTGATATCAAATATGTCATCACGAGTTGATAAAGTAACAAATATGCGAGGCTGACGAGCATGTTGTTCTCGAGGGATGGTTCAATTCCTTCATCCTTTGATTTTCTACAGCAGAACATTCTCAAATTGCTCGGGGTATTTTTCTTCATGGTCGTTACGCCACACTGAGCACTGTTCCAGCTGTATGACATCAGTCTGTATGATATTGAGTTTGAACCTGTCAAACCAGTGAGTGACATCATGAGCATCGATGATGATATGCATCAAACGTCTAACGAGCATTACCATTTGACCCCGGTAACCTGCGGGGTTGAAGGTTCGAACCTGAAATCTTCAACGGGGTAAAGGCGGAGGGATATTAGTTGCATTTATATGTTTATAACAGAACAGCATAATGATATACCAGTATACAGATCTCATCAAACACTAATGGTAAAAAATTTGTTGTGGTTTGGTGTGCTGCGGTGTTGGTGTGTCGTGGCGTGGCGTGGCGTGGCGTGGCGTGGCGTGGCGGTGCGGTGGGTGCGGTGCGGTGCGGTGCGGTGCGGTGCGGTGCGGTGCGGTGCGGTGCGGGTGTAATCAGCCTGTATGTTCTGTACTACTCTATATGAATACTACATATATACGCATGGATAACATACGAAGACGTGCTTTAAAAGCGTCAGAGTGAGTGAGTTGGGTTTTACGCCCTTTCAGTAATATTCCAGCAATATCACTGCGGAAATGGGCTTCACACATTGTATCCATGTGGGGAATCTAACCCGGACCTTCGGCGTGACGAGTAAACGCTTCAACCACTAGGCTACCCCAACGCCTCAGAAAACGACAAGTTGTCGTGGTTGTATTACAATGCCAACAATAGCGCGAATATTTCTTCTACTGCGCCTGAAAAGGATAAATCTTAGCAACAAAATTTGTGGAAAAGCATCATTGATGTAACGGAATGTAGCACATACGCAAGTGTTCAGGTCAGTTCACTAATTACATCCGTGTTTGCGTATATATGCAGTTCACACAAATATATATTCTGATTTCCTAAGTGGACAGTTTCTTTTTGTGGCTAGTATGACTCTGACAAGTCGGTACGATTGAAATATTCACACAGTACAATACCAAGTATGATACCACATACAAGAATGAGTGTAACAGTGGGTGTTCATTGTGTGCGTTGGCTGGCTATTGTACAGGGCAGTGTTTATGTATTCTTGTCGAGCTCAGCTAACAAACGTTTTTGTTAGCTGACTTTTCATTGATTGCGGAGAAGATTTACGTAGTGTTTCTTTATGAACGACCAAACCGAGGCAAAGTGTTTTCCGTTACGTAAGTGGTTTATAACTTTTAGACGAATGAGCAAGACGCCCAAAATATATACATGGAGAACATATGTGTTTTCTTAACTGACCGTATCATCTAAAACTCTCTGATTCCCTATTTTGACTTATACCACACGTTCCCGAATTATTTCAGGTGAACAAATGACTAAACGTAGCACATGTTTATGACGGGTGCCACCGGTGTGGCAGGATACGCTCACCTTTTCGCGAAAACCTGGTATCATCACTATTTCTTAGTGATTCATAAACACATGCTCTGTTATCGTGTCACATGGTGACAATCACTGGATTGACTGGCTCAGAATCGATTTGTTTACAAACAACATCATACGGCTGTAATACTGCTGAAACAAATATCTGCTCATGATATAGTCACAATTGTACAATCGACTCAGGAAAAATAAATGTGAACGAAGAGACGTACATTGTAATTTATCGTAATTATGCTTCTGCATTTCCCCTCGTAGCTTTACCCTCAGAATAAAGAAGTGGAACCGTTATTCTGTTCTGATTGTAATTAAGTGTTAGCACCGCCAGAGGATTAATTGCAATAGCTAATCTTTAATGACTACTCATACTTTGTAACGTGACCAGATGGACATGCTCTAACACAGGGGGCCATTAAAACTCAATTAACAATGTCAGTATCGGGTTTGACAGTGTTCGTATTGAAACAGACAAGGTGGTAGTAGCGTATTAAATTCGCTAGATGTAGGAGATGTTTTCGCAAATATTAACCAAATATTGTCCCTACTATGTTTGCGCTACGAGCTGGTTCTGGTCCTATCGTAGATGTCCTTCCCTCTCATCCCAGCTATGGTATGAGGCAGAGAGCATTTATATGTACATGTAAGAGCAACAAAAGTACTAAGACAGCAAAGATGCAGGCAAAACAATGGAACAAATGGAAGCCAGCACTTAACAGTGAATTAGCGCTGAATGGACGCCAACACTTAACAGTTGATTAGTGTTGAATAGAAGCCAACAATTAACAGTTAAGTAGTGTTGATAGTTGATGAACAGTGGACAGTGCTCTCTGTCTCATACCATTCATTCACCTGATGAAGGAGTAAGGATATACTCCGATACGTTGTGTTCCTAATACTAAAGAAGTTGACATCCATAAAGAAACTCTCTCCCTTGTCATCATGTTTGTTGTTTCAGAGATCCATGGAGCACACTGTAGATACAGAGTGAGCTTCTCTACCAATGGGTGGACATCATACTATTGCACCACCTCGTGCTGTGGGTCCATTTTCAGCAGAGAGTGTTGTTCCAGGTAATGTATGATGTTCTAGACAGCTGCAGCTGTAGGTATTTCTGTGTTCCTCCAGGTAATCATTTTGAAGTTATGGATTGTTTGTTGATTAATATAACAATGCCCTCGGCAATATGCCGGCTACATGGTGGCGGTCTGTAAATAATCCAGTCTAGACCAGACAATCCAACGATCAACATCATGCGCATCGATCTACGCAATTGGGATAAAGGTGACATGTAAAGTTAGCGAGCCTGATCCGTTTGTCGCCTCTTACGACAATCATGGGTTGCTGGAAATCAATCTAAACCTGGGCCTATATTTTCGAAGCTCTCTTAGCCCTAAGATAGTCGTAAGTACCAAATATTAACATTAACTGACAACTATCTTAGCGCTAAGAGAGCTTCGAAAATATAGGCCCAGATCTTCACGGGGTTTTTTACGTCACGGATCCATCAATTGCGTTGTAGTTTCTGGTAAGGTATTAAGTATAACGCTTTGTGCTGTCTCAGGTCTATTAATTGTATTATGATCCACGTAAGGTAAGACGTTTACATCCTGCTGCGGGTACATTTACAAGAGAGATATTTGCTCAAGGGAACACATATTTCTAATGTTGCTTTTTTGTTTGTTTTTTTTACTGGGGAAGTGTTATTTGAGCTACAGGTAACCTGAATGCTCTGTCCTGTTAATTAATTACAGTGTTGCTCAAGGTAAGGTCAAATGCTTCCTCTTGCGGGTAAGTCAAATGCTTCCTCTTGCGGGTTCCAGTAACTACAGAGAGCTCTGCTCAAGAGAAAATTTGGCTTCCCTTTTTGTTTTGGGTCCATTAAATTAAGTGTTGGCCTTGTTAAGATATGACGTTCTATCCTGTTGAGCGTCTATTTACTACGGAGTGGCTCAGGTAACATATGCTGTTCTATCCTGTTGCCGGTGATCTTGCTACAGAGAGTGTTGCTCTAGGTAAAATATGTTGGTGTATCCTGTTAGGAGTCCACTTGCTACAGAGAGTGTTGCTCTAGGTAACGTATGTTGGTTTATCCTGTTAGGAGTCCACTTGCTACAGGGAGTGTTGCACTAGGTAACATATGTTGGTTTATCCTGTTAGGAGTCCACTTGCTACAGAGAGTGTTGCCCTAGGTAACGTATGTTGGTTTATCCTGTTAGGAGTCCACTTGCTACAGAGAGTGTTGCCCTAGGTAACGTATGTTGGTTTATCCTGTTAGGAGTCCACTTGCTACAGAGAGTGTTGCTCTAGGTAACGTATGTTGGTTTATCCTGTTAGGAGTCCACTTGCTACAGAGAGTGTTGCCCTAGGTAACGTATGTTGGTTAATCCTGTTAGGAGTCCACTTGCTACAGAGAGTGTTGCCCTAGGTAACGTATGTTGGTTTATCCTGTTAGGAGTCCACTTGCTACAGAGAGTGTTGCTCTAGGTAACATATGTTGGTTTATCCTGTTAGGAGTCCACTTGCTACAGAGAGTGTTGCCCTAGGTAACGTATGTTGGTTTATCCTGTTAGGAGTCCACTTGCTACAGAGAGTGTTGCCCTAGGTAACGTATGTTGGTTTATCCTGTTAGGAGTCCACTTGCTACAGAGAGTGTTGCCCTAGGTAACGTATGTTGGTTTATCCTGTTAGGAGTCCACTTGCTACAGAGAGTGTTGCCCTAGGTAACGTATGTTGGTTTATCCTGTTAGGAGTCCACTTGCTACAGAGAGTGTTGCCCTAGGTAACGTATGTTGGTTTATCCTGTTCCACTTGCTACAGAGTGTTGCCAGGTAACGTATGTTGGTTTATCCTGTTAGAGTCCACTTGCTACAGAGAGTGTTGCCCTAGGTAACGTATGTTGGTTTATCCTGTTAGGAGTCCACTTGCTACAGAGAGTGTTGCCCTAGGTAACGTATGTTGGTTTATCCTGTTAGGAGTCCACTTGCTACAGAGAGTGTTGCCCTAGGTAACGTATGTTGGTTTATCCTGTTAGGAGTCCACTTGCTACAGAGAGTGTTGCCCTAGGTAACGTATGTTGGTTTATCCTGTTAGGAGTCCACTTGCTACAGAGAGTGTTGCCCTAGGTAACGTATGTTGGTTTATCCTGTTAGGAGTCCACTTGCTACAGAGAGTGTTGCCCTAGGTAACGTATGTTGGTTTATCCTGTTAGGAGTCCACTTGCTACAGAGAGTGTTGCCCTAGGTAACGTATGTTGGTTGATCCTGTTAGGAGTCCACTTGCTACAGAGAGTGTTGCCCTAGGTAACGTATGTTGGTTGATCCTGTTAGGTATGTTGGTTGATCCTGTTAGGAGTCCACTTGCTACAGAGAGTGTTGCCCTAGGTAACGTATGTTGGTTTATCCTGTTAGGAGTCCACTTGCTACAGAGAGTGTTGCCCTAGGTAACGTATGTTGGTTTATCCTGTTAGGAGTCCACTTGCTACAGAGAGTGTTGCCCTAGGTAACGTATGTTGGTTTATCCTGTTAGGAGTCCACTTGCTACAGAGAGTGTTGCCCTAGGTAACGTATGTTGGTTTATCCTGTTAGGAGTCCACTTGCTACAGAGAGTGTTGCCCTAGGTAACGTATGTTGGTTGATCCTGTTAGGAGTCCACTTGCTACAGAGAGTGTTGCCCTAGGTAACGTATGCTGGTCTATGATGTTATGCGTCAACATGCTTTGTTAACGTCATGAAATTATCTACACTCAAACTATATGTAAAAAAACCAAACCCATGCATCAATCCTATTAAGGATATGCTAAAATATAGAGCAAATTTTCAGGAAATAGTTGCAGTTGATAAACTTTTCTGGAAAGATGTTTTAAAGGTATGGAAATTATATTGCATCAAAAATACTATAGAACCAGAGAACGTTAATGAAATCTTATACGAACCTTTATGGCTGAATAATAATTTCAAAAATTATTAGCCACTGGGCTAAAAGAGGAATCTTGACAATCAAAGATCTTTGTGATGAACATGGGTTCATATCCTTTAATCATTGGAAGCTTAAATTTGATATAAGAGGTACACAGTTAGACCTTGGATATGTTATATATATATATTACCTAAACCTTGGAAAAAGACTATAATGGAATATGGATATATAACATCAATGATCTCGATATAAATTCTCTCCAAAAGGTTCAAGATTATTCTATGATAAATTGTTATCTGAAAATGTTAAACCATGTGCCAAATATGGGAAACATTATTTGATTGTATTGATTTTCATTGGTATATGATTTTTGATATTTGCAGAAAGAATTTAAGAGATGTGAATCTGTTTAGATTTTTAATATAAATTTCTACACGGAATTGATTATACCAAAAACAATGAATCTTGTTGACAATACAATATGTTCTTTTTGTAATGTTTCTAGTGAGACCGTATGCCATGTATATTGGGAATGTGATGAAACCAAAACTTTCTGGAAGAAACTTGAACAGTGGATTACAAAATGTATCCAAGCACTTAATTTGATCTGGTTTGGCTCTTTAGGTAAGAACACATTATTGAATCAAATAATCTTATCTGCTAAGAGGTATATTTGCACTTGCTCTTTGAAAAATTTTTCTTCCAAAGTTGATAATTCTTAAGGACATTGGAAGACATATTCACCACTGAAAATTCATTTCCAGAAGAAATAATAATTTTAAAAGCTTCTCAACCAAATGGTTTCCTCTCATCCCGGTATTATATCCTGAATGACCTTTTAACCAAAACATATTACTGATATTGATATTTAATGTACGTTGTCTCTATTGAGCCCACAAGCTGGTATGTACACATGTTCCTCTACATGAACAATAATAATGACTTATGGAAAATATAATTAGCATCATTTCATCGGTGTCAATTCCAGAATATATTAATCTCTCGTTTTGTTTCAGCGCCATCAGCCCGCCCTACACAGTTGGATCGCTTGCACCGAACTACTTCATTGCCGTTGTCGTTGTCAGTGTCCTCATCGTGGTCGGTTTCATTGCTACCCTTGTATGTGTACTCATAAAGAAGAATGGGGTCCCAGGGCGAGTCATCCGGCCTCAACCTCAGACAATGGTGGTCACCCACACAAGCGGTATGCATCACGAACAATGTCCATTTTTAATCGCCAGAAACATCATTATCATCATCATCCATATTTGTATAGCGCCAATATCCAGTGCTCAGCTGCTCAAAGGCGCCTTATTTTCCCCTCGATCATGGGATGTCACTCTCAACGGCACATCGCTTTTTCAGTCTCAACTCCCTCAACTCTCAACAGCCACGAGCCGCACCGAAAAAACCCAATGCACATTTGTTTTCACATCTATTAGATGAGGTAGTGGATCAGGGGCGGGGATCAGTCGTCAAAGGCAGCGAATTCGCTTCGTAGAGTTGCGTCCCTTGGGCACAACAGGAAGCTGTTATTATGGGTTCGAATTCCGGTTCGCCCTAATTATGTTTCTAGGTTTGTCAGCGCCGTCCTTGGGGTAAACGACGGAGACATGCATTTTGTGTTTTCTTGACAGGTTAACCTGACACGCCGTAATATGACTGGAATACTGTTCAAAGAGGCGTTAAATCCAACCCAGTCAATATTGCTGCTCAACTGACAACTTACATACAGTGAAAACGGAGATGACTGAATAGATGTTTTCAAGAAACGTAATTTTCTGTATAATGTTGCATCGTGCCAAGAACAGTACCATATTACTTCTATTTCTCAACAGGTTCTCCGCCTCCGTACTCCCTGGCCCACGCTCCTCATCCTGCTTATCCATCCCTAGCGTATCCACCTGCTGGACCTCTAGCTCCACCAAGCTACAAATCTACTTCAGGTCAGCCTGAAACACCACCAGCTTATCACGCCCAACCAACCCCACTACTGGCTTATCCACCGTCCCCTGAATCTCAAGGACCACCACCTGGCTACCATCCACCTCCTCCAGGACTGCAAGGGCCACCGCCTACCCACCAACCACCACCCGGACAAGGACCACCATCGTTCTACCAGCATCTAGCCGATGCATCTCTTGGGACGGTATCGACGCTTACTTAAACACATCCTCCTCACAGAGCACCTCAGCGTTTGTATTTTGTATGAGCTCAATGTTTTGTTTTTTAACAGAGCCTTCATCTCAGTTCTATCTGCTCATAATATACACCGGTCTCAACACCATCTGAACTCCACATCTAAAGAATGCTCATCCTTCTGAACAATGTACATCATCATCATCATCATCACTAACTTTTTTATAGCGCACATATCCAGCTCAGCTGCTCAAAGACTCTTTGAACATTTGATCATTGGATGTCAATCTCAACGGCACATAGTATCTTCAGTCTCAACTCCCTGGGGATCATACAACTCGTAGTCACGAGGTGCACCAAGATAGTGTGGCTTTCTCCATCCTTACGAGGTACCCATTCACAGCTGAGTGGACTGGGACACATAGTCACAGTACTTTGTCCAAGTTTACTGCACGTTGCTGTACCCGCAACTAGGTGTTTGCACGTATTCATGTGGCCACCATCTGGTCATTTACCAACGGATTTGTGGGTTCTTTTAAGTGCACAGGGTTGTGTACTGTACACTAGGGGTTGTGACAACACTGAAAGAGCCTGCACACAAAGTTGACTCCAACTTTTTTACACCCGGTCACAGGTGGGCTCGATCCCGGCACCTCAAGCTCACTGGATCACTAGCCTGGCGCCTTTCACTGCTCGCTCCACCACGCCCCACCAAAATGTATCTAGTATTTATCTGAATCGTGTACACCTGACCGCGTGAAGAACCGGGGTCTTCAGCAACCTATGCTTTTCGCCAGAAGTGAAGTGAATTGATTGATGCCTACCATTCATCCTAGTTTTATTGACTTTTAATACGTCATTCACAAGACCCGCTCAACATTTTACATTCCACTGTCATAAAGTTGAACCCTGACACTCTTCTAAACACTTATAGTATGAACAGAAATTATTGAGAATTTTAGGAATATGTTTAATTAGATTTCTAATATAAACAACCTTGACCAGCGATCAAGTGCTTGGTTTCATTCAAGAGAGACAACTTCGTTAATCTTTTCTCATTAGTTTGTGAAGAGTTATCCCCCTTTGTTTACTTGCTAGCAGACGACATTTTCAGTGATCTCAGTATGGATGATTTAGAGAAGAGGAAGTTGATGTTAGAGTATTATAACAAGGACATCAGATCAGCTAAAGTGATTTCAAGTAGAACAGGCATCCTTTTGTCCACTGTTTATCGTGTTTTGAAAAATATTGCAAATGGTTGTGGCATTGAGCACCAGGGAGGCGCAGGTAGGCCACGAAAATTGACAGTCGGTGAAAGGAGGCGGCTTGGTATTCTTGTTTCTAAAAACAAACGAAGGAGTTTAGAAAACTTAAGGCTGGATATGATTGATAGAGAAACTGTGGCTGTCTGTTAGGAGACAATTAGAACTGAGCTGCATGCAATGGGTTGGCAGAAAAGTCGAGGAATTCCATCACCGATCATGAAACCTGAACAAAAGAAGCGAAGGTTGAACTTGTGCTTACAACATAGAAATTTTAACTGGGACAATGTGATTTTCTCAGATGAAAGTTCTGTGTGGCTGTTTCCTAATACACTGAAATTCTGGACCCAACAAACTGAAAAACCTTTGTATCAGCGCCCAAAGTACAGTCTGAAATTTAACGTGTGGGGTGGCATATCTGTGTTAGGGGCAACACCCCTCTGTGTATTTGAAGGGCATATGAACAGTGAGCGGTACACAGATATTCTCGAGGGACATTTACTTCCATCTGCTCACGTGTTCTATGGAAATGTTTTTCTAACAGGACAACGACCCAAAGCATCGTTCAAAGCATTCACAGGCCTGGTTTCGGACCCAAAATATGACATTTTTAAATTGGCCAAGCTATAGCCCTGACCTAAATCCAATAGAAAATGTTTGGGGACTTATGAAGGAAAGTGTCAATAAGAAAAATCTGACAAATATTGCTGAAATGAAAGAAGAGGTGGTCCGATATTGGGACAGCATGGACCACGACTTTCTAACTTCTTTGATCAGTAGTATGCCCCGCCGCATTGAAGCCTACCTTGCTGACTTGACAAAATACTAACTGTTCACCTGTCCTTGAATCTGGAGTTATGTTTTGCTAATATTCACATTAATACGTGAGTAATGAGTGAAAAAAATATAAAAATGTACAATCTTTAAATTCTCAATAATTTCTGGTTGTACTGTATCTAGATGCTGTGACCATTTACAGTCACAAGAACCTTTATCTACCTGCTATGTAGAAAATCTATCTTGTACTAATATCGTAATATCTTAAGCTGCATTTACATTGTGTAGAGAATACACATTAATGACAACTAGCAAGAAAACGGGCTCTCAAGAAGTGAAACATACAAATGAAAGGGTGTCTTACTTGCGGTAGCTTTTTGAATTTTTCCCCAAGAATATTCTTTAGAATGTTTGCATGTATGAAGGTAGTGCACTCATATACTGTTGGCTAACTTTTCAACTGGTATAAATTACATAATGCAGTTTTGTATTTGTGTCTGTTTGTATCTACAATTAAAATTCTCGTGAATATGCAGCGTTATTTGTTGGAGATGAAGACCCTGATATGTGTGCCAATAACTGTAATATCTGACTATATTTGATGCCAAGTCTTGCTAAAATATATGATTAAACGCCTGGAGGTCAAATGCTTAGTAAGTATAACTAGCAAAATCTTTTTCACATTCATGAGAAACATATGTACCATCAGAGTCAATATTACGATTGAGAATACAGCATGAATGAATGACTATCAAATAGTTATGATACAAGAGGTTCGCCGAAAATTGAGCGGCTCCTGCTCATCCTGTTCATCATAAACAAAACATGTATTCTCAAGTAAGTACACCTAGTGCAATACTAGTCAAATTTGGGAATTGCATCAGACATATTTTAAAAATTTATTTAAATTTGTAATTGTCTTCCGCACGTCTACCATAAAATATTTTTAAAGCTTTACCCAGGCCGTGCATGCTGAAACTCTTATCAAATAACTGGAGCTTTGAAATCTTCTAAAAGGAATTTTGCTCGACCGTCGAAAAGGTTGTGAAACTTACGCACTAAAGCTTTAAGTGGCTCGAATATTGCTCGACATAAAAGGAAAATTGGTTTCGATGGAAGGCAGCACTGCGTATCTGTGGGCCTTCATAGTTGCCAGGCTGTAGGCCTACAAAATCGCCTGACATGTCACCTGGGGATTTCAGTGCAAAAAGTGCAGTGATGTCTCCTGTAGATAAGGATGGAGGTACACTGTGTTGCCTGGAGAATAGTATTATCGTTTCTCCACTGGTTTGCATGGTCCAGATTCGACCTGCAGCGTGATGTGAATGAGGCTTTGCAAGAACAATCAAACAAAACAACTACTGATATGTTCTAAATACCACCCCTTTCCTTGTCCGAAAATCTGAAAAAAGAGATTGGTTGACCAGTCCATTTCAAAATGCCAAAAGAACATACAATAGATAATAGATGTAAACAATACACAAGGAACACGAACAGTACCCCACGGCGAACGAAACCAAAAAAACATACAAAAACGCCCGTTCCTATAAAACGAAGAAACACAATATAATAGTTAAGCAAAAATAGAAACAAAAAATTAAACCTCCCTGTTCCAAGACCAGTTGACATCAAACCTTATCCTAATCCCCCCACAGATATTTCTTAATACCATTGAAATCAGTCCAGAAAGACAATGACGTTGTCTAACAAAGGCATTGATGCCAAAGATGAAATATTCAATTTACTGTAAATTATGCAAACATGACTTCGGTAGCAGCGTGCAAGAATCCTGAAGGGGATATTATAGGTTGTCCCTGGGTAGATGCATGAAATGTTTTATTAATGAAATATGATACATATCTGACAATGCACCAAAGCCAGATTAATCAAAATAGTATTGTTCACCTGAACTGCTCAAAGTTCCGGCTTAAAGAGTCACGAGTGCTCTATATTCAAATATTCAACAGTTACTGTGCGCTCTAGGAGATTTCCTGTCTGGCGTTAACAAGCAATCGATTTGTGTATGACTATCGCAACGCATGTCACTTTTTATAGAGGACTGTTAAGCTAATAAATTACCATGAAGTTTCTCATAAACCATGTATAATTTATAGTAATCTATTCATAACTTCGTAAAACAAGAGCGTGACAAGAGCAACCAAATCTGCTAAAGCATAACAGATTGTTCACGGCCTTTGTCTATAAACAAGTAATGCAAAACCAAACCATCACCAGCTGACAAAATTAATTTAATTTAGTGTTTGCCAGAGACGGTATGGCAAGCAAAGATACTTGTAATGCTTGCCCAGGCATGTTTGACATGTTGCTATAGTCACCGCCTCGTTATCAAAGACATCATACCCATAACTGATATTACAAATACCTTATTCAACATTGGCTCATCATAGTCAACAAACCTCTATTACTATGGGCTTGTTAGATGTGGGTCGAACCTCTGTTGTGATCATCTACGTTTTGCTGCACATTACGGGTAAGAACTACTGTCTATAGCATTACGTATTAGGTATATATTACGTGTCTGAAAAAACATGCCTTTGAACGATCAAAGTGTAGATGTTCACTGTACCAATATGACAGACTGATCTGTGTTTGAAATAACATGACATTGGGGTAAATGATGATATCCAGATTATTCGAGAAATTATGTGGTTTTATTGCGCAAGTAACTCATTTGCATGGCGTGTTTGTTTGTTTATTATCGGCAAAAACACTCTTTCCGCGCTATGACAAATGTTTCTCAATAATCCAGTGACTGACATCATGAGCAGACGCATTTCACACACACGCTAATACATAAACTGACACACTGACATACGCACAGAGACACAAGATGACACAAATATACACATTTACATACATTCATTGAGGCTCAATGATAGAGACACTCTGACATACACACTCATATTCATAGAGATACACTGAAACACACACTCGGACAAACACACAAACATTTACACACACACACACACACACACACACACACACACACTCTCTCTCTGACATACACACACACACGCACACCGAAATATAGACTCTGACAAACACAATGAAATTCATAGAGACAGACTGAAACACAAACTCTGACATACACACAGATATTCATTCACACTGCCACACACACTGATACACACACTCTGACATACCATACACACAGCCATTCATAGAGACAGACTGAAACACACACACTCTGAGATACACACACATCTTAATAGAGACACAGAAACACACACTCTGACACACAGACATTCATAGAGACAGACTGAAACACAAACTTTGACATACACACATATATTCAAACACACTGCCACACACACCGATACACAATCTGACATACCATACACACAGCCATTCATAGAGACAGACTGAAACACACACACTCTGAGATACACACACATCTTAATAGAGACACAGAAACACACACTCTGACATACATACAGACATTCATAAAGACAGACTGAAACACAAACTCTGACATGCACACAGATATTCATACACACTGCCACACACACACACACACACACACACTGATACACACACTCTGACCATACACACATACATTCATAGAGACAGACTGAAACAGAAACTCTGACATACACACAGATAATCATACACACTGCCACACACACACCGATACACACACTCTGACATACCATGCACACAGCCATTCATAGAGACACACTGTAACACAAACTCTGAGATACACACATATTCACAGAGACACACTGAAACACACTCTGACACACACACAATCATTCATAGAGACACACTGAAACACAAAATCTGAGATACACACATATTCACAGAGACACACTGAAACACTCTGACATACACACATATTCATAGAGACACACTGAAACACAAAATCTGAGATACACAAATATTCACAGAGACACACTGAAACACACTCTGACATACATACACACACTGACACACACACTCTGAGATACACACACATATTCATAGAGACACATTGTGCCGACAACATGCTGCATTCGTTGCTCGAAATGCACATACCGAACTACGTTTATAACGAACCGAACTTTGTGTTCCCTTTGATTTATATATAACCGGGGCTGCGGGGTAGCCTAGTGGTTTATGCGCTTGCTTGCGACGCCGAAGGCCCAGGTTCGATCACGCGATTCCCGACATGGATACGATGTGTGAAGCTCATTTCTGGTGCCCCCCGCAATGATATTGCTAGGACATTGCTAAAAGCGGCGTAAACCAAACTCACTGACTCATTCATCATTACAGTAGTTTAGTGTATTCTATTTCAGATGGGTACGCGCTAGCTCACGGCCAGCCTAGTTCCCGGGGTCTGCTGCGCAAACGCTTCGAGTGTCAAAGCGTTAGCGCAGCAGACCCCGTGGACCAGACTGGGTAATGGCGCCCTTGTTGCATTCAACGTATGTTCTGGTTAATATTTCTGGGTCGTGATTGTTGTAGGCAGCCTGGCGAAAGAGTGTGTGGTGTACGCTGACGGGAACTACATCTCCCGCGTTTGCGACGACTGTTGCCGCTACGGCAGGAATAGAATATGTTGCAGCGACATAAAGCAAAGGTAGAAACGTGTACTCTTACAAGGTTGGCTTGTTATCTGTTTCTAAGCAACGGACTCCTATCCATTCCTTAATGTATTAACGCTGGTTTGTTCCCCTTATTTGTGCCAGGATGTGCTGGTTTGAACACCTGATACTTAACAATTCCAGTCAGGATTATGCCCATGGTTGTGGGTTTCAAAGTGAGTGAGTGAGTTAAGTTTTACGCTGCACTCAGCAATATTCCAGCTATAAGGCGGCGGTCTGTAAATAATTGAGTCTGGACCAGACAATCCAGTGATCAACAGCATAAGCATCGATCTGAGCAATTGGGAACCGATGGGGTTTCAAAGTGTAAAACGATTCAGGTTCCTATGGGTTTTCTGAAGATTAACCTCATCTGCTGTGAAGGGCGGTGGGGTTCCTAGTGGTTAAACCGATCTCTCCTCTCCGGGTTCTATTCCCCACGTGGAGAAGTCCATTTCTGGCGTCCCTCGACGTGATATTACTGGAATATTGCTAAAAGCGGCGTAAAACTAATCTCACTCGCTCACTTATTTGCTTTGAGATTTGCTAACTGAGATAACTGTTGGTCCTCCAGGCAGTTCAGTTCCGTCAATCTGACTTAAAAAGTTACATCCAATACTGTTTGAAGTCAATAAAATATTGAAGTTGTTATGAATAAGATAACAACAAGCAAAATGCGCATAAAATATACTCTTAAGACAGTTGGAGAACCTGAACGTTCAATTTGAATCGGAAGTGTAAGCATTAACAAACTTTTCAAAGACGGACCACCATTTCTCTTTATCACCACCCTTAAACACAACGCATGGCATGCACGTGCACAAGGCAGTAGTGGGGTGTCAATCCTGATTGTTTTTAAAGAGTATAATTAACTCAAAAATGATCGCGATATGAAATCAGTGATATCGTTTACCGAAACATAAGTAAAGACTAATGTCAATCTCCTCTCCGCCAAACAGCCTTCGACGGTGTGCCATGCCTATTTTGTTTTAAGTGTATGGTTACACTAATAGCAAAAGGATTCTTTGTTAGCCAATCAAATGCCATGGAATCAGTTGAATGATAAGAAATGGTATTGAAAAGTTCAGACATAACCTGAACAGTACAAAATCTCAAATGAATGAACGAAAAATCCACACATTCAAACAAAAGATGCTTGTCATTTGACTGTGACAAGTAATACATTGAGGGCGACCCTCTTCCGACAATAAAAATGAATGCGTACAATGAGAGTGTCCAACACAATACCTTCGGATTGCCAATGTGACCATATCACTTACAAAATATGTGTATGTGTATGTGAATATATGTGTCGCAGGATATTTAATAATACTGAGAGATTCACTTGTGTTTACTTCCGGTGAAGCAAGTTAATTAAATCTACTTTGTCCAAATTGACTTTACACATGATCTACATGCCACAGCGATGCTGAGCCTTAACATGTCGTGCAAAAAGAACGCATTTTAGATCATAAAACGTCAGTGCAAAAGAATACACAACCTTGCCACTTCTCCACCTTTTGGTGTTAAGGGCAAAATCGATCACTAAAAATCAATGACATCGGGTGTTTGCGTAAACGTAAGCATGTTCGGTAAGACTACAGAATACCGGACACCTTCCGCCATCTTTGAAAGCACGCGAGTGTAATGAGATTCTTGAGAGGCATTTAGAAGTTGATGAATATATAAGACGAGTATATGGATGACAACTTCTTCTTTATTGTATAACACGACGTTTCTGCGCTACTTCTTGCCCCTTCTTCAGGTCATATCACGATGACAACTTCTTCTTTATTGTATAACACGACGTTTCTGGGCTACTTCTTGCCACTTCTTCAGGTCATATCACGACGACAACTTCTTCTTTATTGTATAACACGACGTTTCTGCGCTACTTCTTGTCCCTTCTTCAGGTGATATGAAACGTCGTGTTATACAATAAAGAAGAAGTTGTCATCCATATAGTCATCTTATACACGCGAGTTTAGTCAGGGTTAGGGTAAGGTTAAGATTTACGGTTAGGGTTAGGGTTATGGTAAGGTTTAGGGTTAGGTTGAGGTTTAGGGTTAGGAGGGTTAGGGTGATGTGACACTAAACAATATGGCTGATAGGTATCCGGAATTCTGTAGGTGTACCGCTTGTTCTGCTTTCTCACAATTTGCCGAAAAGCCAGTACTCTTGTAATGCAACGTCGGCATGCAAACAAACGAGACAATCAAATGATTTTTAACCAGAAAGCCAAATTCAGAAACGCGAAAATTTCCTGTTTATGCGGATTTGATTGTTTGGTCAAGGGACAGAAGTATTGTCATTAAGTGTAATGTATCAACACCAGCCTCATTTTCCGCCAAAATTGATTCCTTTGGCCGTAAAAGGCTGCATAGCAGTGAATATCTTGTGAATGGTTCACTGAAAATCCAAGAAGAGACAATAGATTCGCCTTAAGGAATCGCACATAAACCAGTCAAACGTACATTTGTTTGCATACGGTAATAGAAGCAACAAAACGATCTTGTACACTTGTGACTATATCATGAGTATATATTTGCTTCAGCAGTATTACAGCTGTATGATGTTGTTTGTAAACAAATCGAGTCTGAACCAGACAATCTAGTGATCGTCACCATTCTATACGACGACAGAGCATGTGTTTATGAATCAGTATGAAATAGTGATGATACCATGTGTTCGCGAAAAGGTGAGGGTATCCTGCCTCACCGGTGGTGCCGCCATAGACATGTGCAGTCGTTCATTTGCTCACCTGAAATAATTCGGGACCGTATGGTACAAGTCAAATAACGAATTCAATCGGGCATCACATTTGTTACTGATGCGCCAGATTTCGAAATGGTCTCCACATGCATACCTTAAACCTTTTTGAAGGCTTTACTGAGGCCTTGAATGTTGTAACCTTGATAAACCAGATCAAAACTATGAATTCATTTTACTTCCCACAGACCGTTCAATAGTGTTGCCGTGATGATCGGTTGTGTCATGGTACTTGCCTTCATTGGGAGTGTTTGTACAGCAGTGTATATTAAGTGCGTGCTGCCTGGAAAACTCCGGCGTCGTGCAGAACCTTGCCCCGCTGGTTCGACAGCAAAACAACCTGCTGGTAGGTCGTGTCATAGATGTTACCACGCAATTATAAAAAATATACCACACATACAAATAACATTTTCTTGTTGATGACAAGTGAATATCAATAAGCAATAGGCATATGTTTCATCGTTCTTGGCTTTGCGTTCATAATGAATCAAGAAACGCAATATTTGAAACTAAAATGTATCAGCGTTTTATGGAATGTATGTAATAAATATGAATAAAATATTGTTTAGTTATATCGTAAACATTCTATGAGGAATGATGCAACTCTCGAAAAGAAAACAAAAAAACCTCATGCATAAGTTACTTACGAGAAACCCAATCTAAACCTTCCAATCAAAGTTGGCAGGTGCATGTACACAGCATTTGAGAAATATAAATATGCCAAGTTTGTATTCATATCCTGAAATATTGATTGGTATGACAATAACTCTTACTCAATTAAGACGTAATTTTTCGAATTTATGATTACATTATCACAATTTTCAGCAGTTCGTTTGCACCAACTCAGCCCTCTCGTCTCCACCCCGCCGGCTCCCCGTCCGGCGTACACTCCTAGCAAAACTGGAGCTCCAACCTTCAGTTCCTGGGTGTAAAGGCCGCTTCATTGGACCAGCCAGTATACGTGTCATTGGACCACCGGCCTTACCACCATCTCCTTTGAATACCATCTCCTAACCACTTACTGACTCCTCTCTCCATCCAGCAAATGAGAGGATGGCGAAATTCAAAAACAGGTCCTTGGTTATGTTTATTGTGATTAGCGTTCCTCCTAGGATTCAGAAAGGGCAGGGTAACTTCGTAGAAAAAGGCGCTTCATAATTTAAAAGGGCATGTAGGTGAGGATTATTGAAATAATGATAAAATATATATTTTGTCAAAGACAGTCTTACAATTTTAATTCTGGAGTTCATTTGTATTCTTCTCTCATTTTAATTTATGATTATAATTTGAAAAAGTATTTCAAGTCAAAGGGCAGGGCACAAAAATTTAAGGACACCGCCCTCCTGAATGTGCCTAGGGGGAGCACTAGTGATGTTATTATCTCACGTAGGTTTTCCCAACTTTATATTTCATCATTACAAACCCGTGAAGGTCAGGGTTAGAATGAACCTTCAGTAACCCATGCTTGTAGTAAGAGGCGACTAACGGGATCGGGCTCGCTGACGTGGTTGACACATGCCATCGGTTCCCAATTGCGCAGATCGATGCTCATGCTGTTGATCACTGGATTGTCTGGTCCAGACTCGATTATTTACAGACCGCCGCCATATAGCTGGAATATTGCTGAGTGCGGCGTAAAACTAAACTCACTCACTCACTCACTCATCATAACAAATACAACAATACTGTACTGAGGGTGCTTCTTTAAGCTTGAAACCAATAAATATACATAGGACTTTATCCTGTTCATACTTTATTCAGCAGAAGATGTATTCCTGATTGAATGCAGCTTACTAAACTGCTGGAAAATATACACTAGAAAACTGAATGAGACCAAGAAAACGTTTGTACAATGAAATACTTCACCAAAAAGCAGAAAATTGAAGTTAAAAACGCTAAACTGTGGCACCTGTATAAACTGTATCACAATCGAATAACTACTTGCTGTCTCAAAGGTAGCGATCATAACAAATACCATGAAAGGTAGGTGAATATCGAGTTTCTTGTGAAAATATCGAGTTAACAGGGTAAATTTGCTTGTTGGGGCCATGAAATTATATCGAGATATCCGAAATATCGAGACATCCGTATCGAGTTAAAAGAGCTTGAATAATGATACATTATGAAGGATTTTGCCGGGACCGAAATGTTATATGGAGACAACCGAGATATCGAGTTATCAGAGTTCGACACAACGGTGCTCGACTGTAGTTATGTACTTTCTTTTGTCGGCAGTTTGCATTGACTAGCATTCATCATGGCACATAATAATAACAATGAAATTAATCCAAATTATTATATGAACTTAGTTACGAAATCTGGCTTTACATTTCACAAATGCTAGCCCCTGATCTGGAGCCATCTTTCAGTGGGCTAGTGAAAACTATTTTGTTCTATTAACATTCTCACCATTCAATGACATTCCTCAGAAGAAGCTATACGTGTGTGTGTGCGTGCGTGTGTGTGTGTCCGTGCTCATTTATGTGTGCTTGTGTTTGTGTATATTAAATGGTGTATATATGTGAAATAATCTTAAAAGAGACATTAATCGCACCAACAGACAAATATCTGACTCGGCGAAAATAGATTTACACTGGGGTGAGTGTGTGTGAGTGAGTGAGTGAGTGAGTTTAGTTTTACGCCGCTTTTAGCAATATTTCAGCAATATCACGTCGGGGAACACCAGAAATGGGCTTCACATATTGATTGTGCACATGTGGGGAATCGAACCCGGTTCTTCGGCGTGACGAGCGAACGCCTTAACCACTAGGCTACCCCACCGCCCTGCTTTATACTGGATTATATATCCATCATATGACGATAGATACAATGGACCTATTTTGTTTTGTTTCAGGGGGAGATGTGACAACCCTTAGCACATCTTTCCACATCACATCACATCACATCACATCCGATCAGAATAGTTTGATCGATGATACCACATCAGTAAGGTTAGAGGCTGTGGAGGATTACTGTTGTTGTATATATAAGCATAAGCAATACGAGTAAAGATAATTTAAACGTGAACTCATATGATTGGAAAGAATATAAGTTGGTCATAAAATGTAACAGCTACATTTTACGATGCATGTTAGCTTCATTCCTATGTCTGTAGAAACATAACATAAATGTTAGAGCGTGTTTGAAGATTCCACACACACAAACAAAAGACGTAAGACGTCTGAGAGCGATAGGACAAAAACAAGGTGTGCGATGAGGGTGGTCCTCTTCCATATATATGACAGAATGAGTATAATAAATGTAATGTCCGGTATATTCGTATTGCATCTTCAGTAAGGTCATGCCATCCAATCAAGGGTTTGAAAGGCATGAAGCATTTTGAGTCCAGTTTTTCCTCCACAAATCACGTATTTCCAAGTCACATGAATGCGCAATGCCTTTTAAGAAGTGGTAAATGTAACATTTGTTACATTTGGAATTACATTTTCTCAGTAAATTACAAAATCTAGAAGTCTTTGGGGTTGAGTCTCATCCGGGATTCGAACTTTCAGATTTCACTGTCAGAATGAGGGACCTAGTCGCTAACACACGATGTCAGCGATCTAACCCACTCAGCCATTGGAAGCCAACAAACGACAATGTCATGACATTCTAAAATTTTCCACTGAAACAGAGATCTAACGGTTGTTTATTGGCTTCCAGCAGAATAAAGGACAAAAACACCTTCAATAATGCACGGCTTAAGTAAATCATAATGATCAACTGGCAAAACGTGTAACGGCTGCATCTCACGTCATATATTATATATATTATTCATAGGTGTTTTCTATGTTGGTAGAACTCGTATATTAGTCCTGCATATCTAGAAACGATTGCTGAATCTACTCGATAATGAATTAATACAAGCTTTACTTTATTCTACATTAACATCAAGCTCCATTGGCTCATTTGCCCCTTCAGATCTCTTACAAGCTCTATTATCTTATGTATGTAGTTTTGCATCTTAATATGTTATTGAATACCTTGTAGTGGAATTGCAGTTTGGCTCTTTTATCATACTAGGTCTGCTGGGGACAATTAATGGAATGCTTGAATGGGTGCACTGGATTATTGTTTAGTATCATCCAGAGAAGAAAGACACATTGTTTTACTAGTGTCTTCTGATACTGAACTTATACTAAACTATCTATAATTTATTAGAGATACACTGTTCGGATATGAAGGTCTATGTGACACTAAAATATCATACAATGAAAGCACTCAATATAATAAAGCTAAAGGTTAAAATATGTAGATACAGCCATGTTAATATTTATATCATCTTATTGATTTAAGTATCAAAGGTATGAATGTGAGTGTATTAAAATATAACATTCCCTTAGTCTGTCATAAAGACCCTGAAACAACTATATCCAAGAAAGCCCTTGAAAGTCTAGAATAACGCATCTCTCATCTGGTAAAAAGTGAAAAACTCCCGGCTTTGAGTGATGCAAACGCTCTGTGTCTGAAAATGAAGAAAGTCTCTGGGTCCCTTCACATTATATTTTATGCTTACATTTTATGAACAGTTTTTGTCTGTACAATGTTCATTTCAGAGACTAGATTTTGGTCTAACATTTCCTACGTTGTACCTAATATTCTTACAGTAACATTGTATGCGTGATTAAGAGATGACCCGAATTATTTTAACAAACATTGGATTAAACTGAACAGCTTGTTTCCGTTCTTATATTGGAATAGTATTATATTGGAATAGAATTTACAGACAGGATCAAAAGGAGGTTCCCCAACTTTAAAAGGGACATGGCATATTCCAAATATTGGCAAAATAGTATTTAGTGTCTGTCTTTAAACATTATGATGCCTAGAATCATTCAATGAACGATTTCAAATTTTGGGTAGATAGTATTTTGTGGCTTTCTTTAAACATTATGTTGCCTATATCATGCCTAGAATCATTCAATGAACGATTTCAAATTTTGGACGATTTCAAATTTTGGGTAGATAGTATTTTGTGGCTTTCTTTAAACATTATGTTGCCTAGAATCATTCAATGAACGATTTCAAATTTTGGGTAGATAGTATTTTGTGGCTTTCTTTAAACATTATGTTGCCTAGAATCATTCAATGAACGATTTCAAATCATTCAATGGGATTTCAAATTTTGGGTAGTATATTTTGTTTCTTTCTTTAAACATTATGTTGCCTAGAATCATTCATAGGACGATTTCAAATTCTGGGTAGATAGTATTTTGTGTCTTTCTTTAAACATTATATTACATATACTCATTCAATGAACGATTTCAAATGTTGGGTAGATAGTATTTAGTGTCTGTCTTTAAACATTATGTTGCCTAGAGTCATTCAATGAACGATTTCAAATTTTGGGTAGATAGTATTTAATGGCTTTCTTTAAACATTATGTTGCCTAGACTCATTCAATGAACGATTTCAAATTTTGGGTAGATAGTATTTTGTGGCTTTCTTTAAACATTATGTTGTCTAGAATCATTCAATAACCGATTTCAAATTTTGGGTAGATATTATTTAATGGGTTTCTTTAAACAATATGTTGCCTAGAATCATTCAATGAACGATTTCAAATTTTGGGTAGATAGTATTTAATGGCTTTCTTTAAACATTATGTTGCCTAGACTCATTCAATGAACGATTTCAAATTTTGGGTAGATAGTATTTTAGTGAAAAGTGGTTGAAAAAGTTATTAAACATACTGTACAACTTAGATCAAGATGTTCCTGAAACTACTCGACAGAAGGCGCAACGTCAACGCTCTCCTCACCACAGGTGTCAGTCACTATTATTGTACGCCTTTTTGTCAATATTCCAGCATTATCAAGGCGGGTGACACCAGAATGTTGTTGATAAATCTTGATGTTATTTGCGTTTTTTAGAAAAAATGAACAAAGCATGTCTTGATTTTGGAAAATGTGTGTGTATGGAGGCTGCTTTTCCTTGTTTGAATGAAACTAGAGAAGGCTTGCATTGAATGAATGTTTGAATTAAAACAGTGTCCGCAACCCCCAAACAAACATCGCTCATATAATGTAGACACACTGACGATGATGTAAATTTTTCTAATTTCCCCCACCGTGAAATTGCTGGAACATTGCTGAAAGCGTCGTAAAACCATACTCACTCACTCACTAACCAATTTCCGTGTGTTAATTGAGGCGGATGCTCTTTGAATAAACCTGGAAGCGGCTTGCATCCGGTTTTTGCTACTGATAATATATTTTACATGCGTTTCAGACAACTGATACCCCTATGTGAGGCGAGGTGAGGTGAGGTGAGGTGAAATTGGGTTTAACGTCGGATACCCCTATGTACAGGCAATTTGACTTTAGATTTACGCCACACTCAGCAAACTTACAGCTATATGGCGGCGGTCTGTAAATAACCGTGTCTCGACCAGACAATCCAGTGTTCAACAGCGTGAGCTTCGATGTAAGCAATTGGGAACTGTTGACGTGTCAACCAAGTCATCGAGCCTGACTACCCGATCCCATTAGTCGCCTCTTACGACAAGCATGGGTTACTGAAAACCAATTCCAACCCGGATCTTCACGGGTCCTAGACAATTTGAGAATCGTGTACATTTTCACAGCACAGTCCCAAATGATCAATATTGTAGTACAGCTGAATCTAACCATGTACTTCAAGCATCACACATCTGACCTTTGATCCCTGGAATGGTTTTCCTTGTGTGGGGTTGATCTTGAGTTCAGGATAACCCCTAAATATGTTTTTTGTTATATTTTCTGAAAACAAGCGATAGTAAAACTTCAAACACAATTTTACATTTTTTTAAATTATAAATTTTTAATTATATTTTCAATGTGTTCACTGGAGCTGTTGTGGAAGGCTTCGCCGAATACATTTTGAAAACAGTCATATGTTGTTCAACCTCGCCTTAATCATAATGTCCAACTCAAGATTGGAGATATTCTTTCAGATTTTTACAGGCCGCCACCATATAGATGGAATATTGCTAAGTGCGGCGTTAAACAACAAACAAACCAAACTTTATAGAATTGACTTTATTTTCTATAACAATGTTCCTCATGCTTTTCGTCGCACTCCTACGATCGAAATCTGGATTGCTGGAGGATATGTCTAGTTAAAGAAAGAAAGAAAGAAACAAACAAACAAAAACATACAAGGAGTGAGTGAGTTAAATTTGTACATTGCATCTTTCGTTCAAATAAATACAGTACGTAACTCTAGGGGTTACATACACACTCATCACGCAGAGCACACGTGATATCAGCTGATTGCTTGATGTAGGTAGGGGTCGATGGGGTAGCCTAATGGTTAAAGCGTCCGCTCGTCACACCGTAGACCCGGGTTCGATTCTTCACATTGATACAATGTGTAAAACCCATTTCTGGTGTCCATGATTCCACTGGGGTGATCGGTAAAGTACTTATTCCAGGGGCGGTAGGGTAGCCTAGTGGTTAAAGCGTTCGCTCGTCACGCCGAAGACCCGGGTTCGATTCCTCACATGGGTACGATGTGTGAAGCCCATTTCTGGTGTCCCTCCGCCGTGAAATTGCTGGAATAGTGCTAAAAGCGGCATACAACTAAACTCACTCACTTATTCCAGGACTTCATGACCTACCTGTGATAATGTCGCTACTACGTTAACAAACACCCCAACGAACTGATTGTTCTCCTTGCGTCCCAATGCTTATCGGCAGTCAGTGAGTGAGTTTTAGTTTTACGCCTCTTTTTGCAAAATTCCAGCAATATCACGGTAGGGGACTCCATCACTGGGCCTCACACATTGTACCCACATATAAGCATATAGGCTGAGCCCGGGCCGACGAGCGGACGCTTTAATAACCACTTGGCTACCACACCGCCCCTATCGGCAATAATGTGTACCTACTGTCATTGTATCCACACACGTGCACGCTTTTTTTATTGTTCCCAAAACGTTGAATACAAGCATACAGAAGAATATATGTACACTTTGTGGGCTGAAAAGAGGTATAATACATTAAATATCAATATCGTGATCAACATCAATATGTTTCGGTTAAATAAAGATTATGAGATTCAGTAATGGGTTCTTATTTGAAATGCATCTCTTAAATTCTTTCTGCAAATATCAAACATCATATGCCAATCAAAATCTATACAATCAAATAATGTTTCCCATTTTTGGCAAGTATGAGGTTTAAAATTTTCAGAGAGAATTTATTATAGAATAATCTTGAACCTTTTACACACATGAACACTTTATCCTGGAAAAATAATACAGATAGAAGGGACTGAACAAGCGCATCAGTATCAGATATGGTGGTAACTGAATAGGAAGAGTTTAGCTTGGGACAGTAAGGACGCACAGGCCTCAATGCACCGAAGAAATTGACAGTCAAATTTATATAAAGAAATGAGAAACATTAGCCTTGGTAATCATACGCTTAAGTCCTCCTCCATAAACGTACACATATACTTCACATATATCTTTAAAAAGTAGGGGGACCTAAAATTTCAATTGAGATAGGAAGTATAAGCGTTAAGAAACTTTTCCAAGACAGACATCTTATGAACACACCACCATTTCTCTTTATCACCACCCTTAAACACAACGGATGTGATGCACGTGCACAACGCAGCAGACCCACGCATGGGGGCCATTCTTGATTTTGACGGTTTTCAAGAATTTCGATAAATCACTGAAGACCATTAATTTTGAAAATTATCTTGCATCACAAAGTTGTAAGTGTTTGTTTCTAAAATCGTACACATGCAAATTTCACGTCATACACCAATCATCTTTCACGAGCGATTACTGTACAAACAACTATGGTCATAAGGAAGTGCAAGTGGTGATGTACTCTCAAAACATTCATTATTATCATATCAACATTGAATAACTCCGATATATCTCCCAATTTTTCAATCGTAAATTAAAAATGAAGTTCCCCTACTTTTTTAAAGAGTATATTTGTTGATATTCCCCAGCACTTTGCAACGTTTCATGCTTTAGTCCCCCAAGTATCTATTTTCACCCCTTGCCACTGCACTACTATAAACGCACATACATTTGTTAACCGGCACTGCTTAGAAGACATTTTAATAATAACTGTCCATACATTTATCAGTAACTGCATACATTTCATACAGACAATATCAGATCATGTATCGGCCTTGTACCGACGTCATATTATTTACTGTTTACCCTAGTCTATGTAAGTGGACATAAATCGTCTTTTGCTTCGGTTATCACGAAGCTTCTCGAGGATAACACTTATGATCTTCGAGACAATCTTCCCCCGTTTGATTGAAGTGGATTTAAAAAAGCTTAGACACGGTGATAAGCAATGCAGGAAAACACGAACCCTGTCTGGCTGGTTGAATGTCGCCCAACCAGTGCTGCACAGTTTACACACTTTCATGGATATTGTAGGTGGATCTTACCTATGTCATCATTGTGTAAACGGAGAAGGCGACAAGCTGGTATCATCGCTATTCGATATAAGTTAATAATCATAATATTGTTAAAAGCGGCATAAAGCAATACTCACTCACTCTATCAATGGATTGCTTGGTCCCCGTCATATAGCTGGAATATTACGGAGCACCAAGTTAAACAAACAAACACATGTAAATAAATCTATTATCATTGAGTGAGTGAGTGAGTGATTGAATGAGTGAGTGAGGTTTTACGCCGTTTTAGCAATATTCTAGCAACATCACGGCGGTGGACACCAGAAATGGGCTTCATACAGTGCACCCATGTGGGGAATCGAACTAGGGTCTTCAGCGTGACAAGCGAACGCTTTAACCATAACACTACTCCACCGCCCCTGTCGTCCTTAAAACAATGCTCTTTGCTGAAAATTTACAAGTGCAATATATTATTAGGATAGAAGAACGTGAATGTAACTTGTCGTTTATTTGAAATCGTCACTAAATAATGTCGGATATAAACGTTTTTCATTGTATGGTAGGTGGGTGATTGGTTGTGGGTGCGCTTTATCTTATCGATAAAGATTAACGGCACGTAGGCTTACATTTCCCCCTGACAGTATACTGCGTAGGTCGTATGTGACGATTAACTAAGCCTGTGTTACGCAATATTTACTGTTATACATATGGGTTTTTCTTTTGTCCTAGTTTTGTCAAATTATCTTGTAAAAAACTGCTTTAACAAAACACAGCTATGAACTGAACACTAAAATAGAAAGCTTGAAAGGTCAACATTACGCAATATTTTCCGAATTGCATTTTGTCAAAGATTCGAAATATGCAGTCCCGTCTTTCCTTGCGGTATCTTTCCCTCCATGGTAACACTGATACGACAAACAATCAGAACATATAAGGGCCGTGTTATCAGCAAACTGACTCACTTGGTCTACCGTCGGTGTTCAAAATGGCCGCGAATATTCTGTTGCCCTCATGGATTTTACTTAGCTGCGTTACAGGTATGTCAAAACGCTATTTATCTGCTCATTTCACGGTATAAACGGTAAATGAAATGTTTAACAACTTCATAATTGTAATTGTATACTTTCATGAAGGTGTATTACTGGGTTTGCGTGTAATTTGCCATGTACATGTTTGACAAGCAAGACCTAATCCAGACTATGACATTTCGGGTATTTACTGACACAAGATAGCTCTCATTTACAATTTACCGTTATATCAAAGTATCATTACATCGTCTGGTTTAATTGAAACTTTGCCGATTTGATGAAAATATGTCTGATTTTACCTGTAATAAAATAAACTTTGATTCATTGAGGGATCAAGCATGGAATACTAACGAGGGAGATTGCAGGACATAACATAATTCTGATTTTACCTGTATTGAAGAACACTTTGATTCAGTGAAAGATCCAACGTGACATAATAACGAGGGAGATTGCAGAACATAAGGATGTCAATATTCTGACTTTTACCTGCAGTAAGATACTCTTTGATTCAGTGAGAGATCAAGCATGACATACAAACAAGAGAGATTACAAGTCATGAGGATGTCATTATTCTGATTTTACCTGTACTAAAGTACACTTTGATTCAGTGAAAGATCCAGCATAAAATTGTAACTAGAGAGATTAGAAGTCATGAGGATGTCATTATTCTGATTTCACCTGTAATAAAGTACACTTTGATTCAGTGAAAGATCCAACATGACATACTAACGAGAGAGTTTTCAGGACATAAGGATGTCAATATTCTGACTTTTACCTGTAATAAGTACACTTTGATTCAGTGAAAGATCCAGCATAGAATTGTAACTAGAGAGATTACAAGTCATGAGGATGTTATTATTTTGGAATTTTCCTGTAATAAAGTACACTTTGATTCAGTGAAAGGTCCAGCATAACATAGTAACGAGAGAGATTACAAGTCATAAGGATGTCATTATTCTGATTTTACCTGTAATAAAGTACACTTTGATTCTGTGATAGATCCAGCATAACATACTAACGAGAGAGATTACAAGTCATAAGGATGTCATTATTCTGATTTTACCTGTAATAAAGTATACCCTGATTCAGTGAAAGATCCAACATAACATAGTAACGAGAGAGATTTCAGGACATAAGGATGTCAATATTCTGATTTTACCTGTAGTAAAGTACACTTTGATTCTGTGAAAGATCCAGCTTAAAATTGTAACTAGAGAGATTAGAAGTCATTAGGATGTCATTATTCTGATTTCACCTGTAATAAAGTACACTTTGAAACAGTGAAAGATCCAGCATAGAATTGTAACTAGAGAGATTACAAGTCATTAGGATGTCATTATTCTGATTGTACCTGTAATAAAGTACACTTTGAATCAGCAAAAGATCCAGCTTCAAATTGCATCTAGAGAGATTACAAGTCATTAGGATGTCATTATTCTGATTTCATCTGTAATAAAGTACACTTTGATTCAGTTAAAGATCCAGCATAGAATTGTAACTAGAGAGATTACAAGTCATGAGGATGTCATTATTTTGATTTTACCTGTAATAAAGTACTCTTTGATTCAGTGAAAGATCCAGCATAACATACTTACTAGAGGGATTAGAAGTCATGAGGATGTCAATATTCTGATTTTACCTGTAATAAGTACACTTTGATTCAGTGAGAGAATCAATATGACATACTAACGAGAGAGATTACAAGTCATAAGGATGTCATTATTCTGATTTGACCTGTGATAAAGTACACTTTGATTCAGTGAAAGATCCAGCATAAAATACTTACTAGAGAGATTAACGAGGGAGATTTCAGGACATAATGATGTCATTATTCTGAATTTACCTGTAATAAGTACACTTTGATTCAGTGATGAGAACCAACATGACATACTAAGGCAAGAGATTACAAGTCATGAGGATGTCAATATTCCGATTTTACCTGTAATAAAGTACACTTTGATTCAGTGAGAGATCCACCATGACATACTAACGAGGGAGATTTTCAGGACATATGGACTTCATTATACTTTGTTCTTCAGGTGCACTGTCTGAAACTTGCTACGGGGCGGACGAGTCAATCACCTGTATTTTCGGATGTTGTGAGGACGCGTATTTTGTTTACTGTTGTTTGAGTAATGGGTAAGTAATGATCAACATTTATGTGTGTGCGTGTGAGTATGTATGTGCGTGCGTGTGTGTTTAACAATCCTTTGAAAGGGTATTTCAGTTGTATTACGATCTGTCAGTGTCGTATGCTTCAGTATTGACTCGCCAATTGGGTAAAGAATCCTGAGGATTCAATGCCGGGGATACAATGCTGCGGATACAATATCGGGGATACGATGCTGGGGATACTATACTGGGGATACAAAGATGGGGATGCAGTGCTGGGGGTACATTACTGGGGATATAATTCTGGGGATTCAGTGCTGGGGATTATAATTATTATTAACCCTGAGTTGATGCCACAAACAAGTGATGCCCTATGCCACCACTTCCAGCGTGTCCATTACCAAATCATGATCTTGAGGAAAGCCTGGGAAGCTATTCCATCACTTCTCAGATTCACAGAGATGGGTTGGACACGAGCAAACAAAGGTCAACAACCCCAGTTGATGTCTTTGGATCCGATTCCTGAAGCCTGTCTTGCACTTATTAGATGCTCATGTCAGACAATGCGCTGCAAATGCAAGAGATCAAATCTGCCTTGTATTGCCACGTGCGGCAAGTCACAAAGATGCTTATTCAATGAATCTTTGAATATTATGGTTGTGTATAACATGGGAAATTGGAATTCTAATGTATATGAGAATCAAGTGTGAGTGACATTATTGTTATGACTTTGGTATGGTTCAGGTTGATTGAGAATAGTTTGTTAAAGTTTCATTGATTATTATTGTTTTCATCCGAAATGATTAAAAAATATGTAGTTGTGTATTGGTATAACTTTTAATACTATTTGTTTCCTCACTGCCTCAATACCGTCAAGGTAACAATGAAATAATCAGCACAAAATCAGCTATTTTTGCGGCCATATTGTTTTTTTTCAATTTTGAGGTTCATAATTAATGAATTTTGTATTTCAGTTGGTATTCTATTTTTTCGTGATAAGCACCCTTTAAAATATCTAAAAAGGTCAGTATAAAAATATTTAAAAAATAGATGTACAGTCACAGGTGATGACATACCGTGCACACCTACCACTACTTTCAGCTTGGAATCCTTTTTCTTCATGATCAGCATTCTTTAAATGTCATAAAAGGTCAAGTTTCCAAAATTAAAAAAATAGAGATGCAGTCTTAGGCGAAAATACTATGCACACCTACCACTATTTTGAGCGATTTTGGCGGCCATTTTGTTTTTCTATTTTGAGGGTCAAAAACACTTTTTTCAGCTTGGTATCCTATGTTTTCGTGATCAGACCCTTTAAATAGATAAAAAAGCCTGGATACCAAATCCTACTAAAATATGCCTCTTGCATTACTTTTATCCACAATCGGCCCTAGTCTATTCAATGCTGGGGATACAATGCTTGGAATACAATGCTGGAATACAATGGGGATACAATGCTGGGAATACAATGCTGGGGATACAATGCTGGGGATACAATGCTGGGAATTCAATGCTAGGGATTCAATGCTGGGGTTACAGTGCTGCAATTTAACATGGATGACTTCTTACACAGTTTACTAGTTTTCAGCCAGTCAGTATGATCGTTAAACGTCTTTTGGTATATCACGGATCGAATCGGCAAGAACGGGTATTTGGTGGCCAAAATGCCTCTTTTACATGAAAAGTACTTCCTGGGCGACAAAGCTTTAACTTTAAAGACTTAGTGCATAATGTGCCCTACCTCAATATCAGTAGCTAGTGTAAACAAGCTTGACCGGACAGGTCATCGCAATAAAACAGAAACGCATCATGCGACAGTGACACACTGTTTCTTGTGAAACAGGATATATGATGTCATTTATATCTAAACATATCAGGTTTGATTTACTTTATGTGTACAGTGAAGATTATGCATGCAATGCTGTCACACCTCACAGCAAACATCCGGGGTGGTGGGGTAGCCTAGTGGTTAAACCCTTCGCTCGTCACGCCGAAGATCTGGGTTCGATTCCCAACATTGGTACAATGTGTGAAGCCCATTTCTGGTGTCCCCCGCCGTGATATTGCTGGAATATTGCTAAAAGCGACGTAAATCCCAACTCACTCACTCACTCCAAACATCCACTGAGATCACTTGAAATTAATGTCAAGCGACTAAATTAGACAGGGGGTTAAATATGCATATTGTCTATACTTCCCGGGGAGAAAAAGTTCCATTTAGATAGGTTACACATCCTTTGATCGGTCCCGGGGTAAATGTGACACCCTTTGAACGTGTCGTGTTTTTATGCTCATCATCATCATCATCATCATCATCATCATCATCGTCATCATCATTTTTACTATCAGCGGTTGAGTAGCCTAGTAGTTAAAGTGTTCTCTACTCCCACCGAATACCTGGGTTCGATGTCCTGCATGGGTACAATGTGTAAAGGTCATTTTCATTGTTTGGTGTCCCTCGACGTGATATTGCTGGAATATTGCTAAAAGCGTCGCAAAACCATACTCACTCACTCACTTTTTATTATTCGTTATTATTGCCATTTCAGAGCCGGCATTGGTATCATCTGCGCATGCCTGGCAGTTGTCCTGAGTTGCATAGGAGCATGCTGTCGACAAGCTCACAGAGGAAATATCCAGAGACGGACTGATGTGATGCATACGGCTCAACCACCTAACGTTGCAGTGGTTGCGAACACCGCAAGTATGGATACTTTCAACGTATCTATGTTCCTTTGTTAAACATTCCATGGAGGCTGGGAATTTGTTGTGTAGAAATTGGCGTCAGAAAACCATGGGTTCGAATCCCAGATTTGCTATGCTAATGTTTGTTGGTTTGCTGGCACCATACTCATTGTGTCATCTACATCGTGTAACGTCGCCAACCTTTACACCACTTTGCTTTCCCGTGTAGTTGTCACGCAGTCATATAACTAAAAGTGAGTGAGTGAGTCGGTGAGTGGGTGGGTGGATGAGTGATTGATTGAGTGAGTGAGTCGGTGAGTGGGTGGGTGAGTGAGTGAGTGAGTGGGTGAGTCGGTGAGTGGGTGTGTGGGTGAGCGAGTGAGTGAGTGAGTGAGTGTGTGTGTGTGGGTGGGGTGAGTGAGTGAGTGAGTGAGTGGGTTGAGTGAGTGGGTGAGTCGGTGAGTGTGTGGGTGGGCCAGTGAGTGAATGAGTGAGTGAGTGAGTGAGAAAATCATGAAGTGATACCCATTTCAGAATTTTTACCTCTTTGGTGAGACCAACAAGCAAGGTTTGGTGTTGGAACATGGAAACCATAGCAAGGCGAACTGGGATTCGACTCCACGATCAAAGACTATTGGATAACTATATGTTTTGTAAATAGATAAATGCTATTTTATAAATGGTAAGATAAATTAGCACCTGCGATTGTTAGTGGCTGTATCCTCAAAGGGGGTTAAAGTATCGTAAAATTATTGTCCTCCTGAGAGGGTACGTAAGTCCCAGAATCCTTCAAATTCAATTTTGCTCAACCATTCTTTTTAATCGCAGCATTTTTGTTATTTTAAATTTCGGCTTAATATTCCTACCATTGCCAGCGGCTGAAGGGATGGTGTAAATCCAACTAGGGTGCATGCAGGTAGCAAAAGTAATGTGAGTCCCCATGTTTCCTAGTATGGTGATCTGCCTTCAGTTGTTGGCGATCTATAGCTCGTGTTTTATAAGGTATTGTTTCTTTAATTAAAATATTTAGTTTTACTTGCTAGCTTTATATTCATATCTGGGATACTCTAGTATTTTACTGTCCATCGTCGACAGGTTTTACTCTTCAAAATGTTTTCATTTTTTATTGTATAAATTGTTCTCGTCAGGATATGGCTGAGATATTGCAGATGTGACGTTAAATATTAACTTTCTCACTCACTTAGACGACTGGGCATCCAATGCTCCCGCATAATACCAACATTAAAGTATAATGAACATGGAACTTCAAACTTGTATCTGTCACATAAAGAAATCCAAATTAAGCTTGATTCAAATGTTTCAGAAATTAAGGTTATATCCCCTGACTGAAATGAAGATGAACGAAGCAATAACATTAATATAATTTAAAAATAGTCTGATCTGAAACCTGTATAAAATTGATTATTTGCAGATCAGGGCGCCTACGGTAACCAACAGATGCCACAATACCCTCCCCTCGCCTACCCGGGACCCCCAACAGCCCCACCCTACCCGGTTGCCCCTGCAGCCTATCCCCCAAAGTACTGACACCGGACGTGAAGCACACGGGCATTGGATATGATCATCACATAGCGTGTCTTTTTAATTGGGGAGGGAGGTTGCAGATCTCAGATATATTTGATTGACAGGTACAATATGCACATACGCATTATATATTTTAAAAAAGGTCGGATTTATATTCATCACACAACATGTTTATAAATTGATGGATTTCGGGTCTATCTGATTCACAAGTACATAACGCATACAATGTAATACGCTACAGATAAATATTTTGTTGAAAGAATTGATGGAGTCGTAATCATCGTGTAACTGCACACTGTAATGATTTCCATACGTGTAATCTTCTAATTACGAATTTATTCTTAACGTTATTTCGTTGGATCTAACAATGTCTAAACACAGGGTTTGGTTGTTTTAGTGGAGAACTTTTCACAATAAAATGTATTTTTATTAATATCTTGGTGTGTTTTTGTCTCGAGACATGGTTGGTCAAACAGACATTGCTGAGTGGGGCGTGTTAGTGGCGCTCTCGGTTCAAATTTTGGTTTCTCTTTAATTACAGCCCCAGGTTTATCAGAGCCGTAGGTGTGTCTGTTTCCTAAATTCATACTCCTTATAAGGATGCAAGGACAGAATAGATACTTGACCAGTGACGATGAGGTTAGAATTGTTCTTCAGTAACCCATGTTCGTCGTAAAAGGCGACTAACGGGGTCGGGTGGTCAGGCTCGATGACTTGGTTGACACATGTCATCGTATCCAAATGACGTAGAATATTGCTCATGCTGTTGATCACTGGATTGTCTGGTCCAGACTCGATTATTCACAGACCACCACTATGTAGCTGGAACATTGCTGAGTGCGGCGTTAAACAACAAACAAGAACAAAGCAAACTGACTGACTGAGTTTGGTTTTACGCCGCTTTTGCAATATTCCAGCAACATCACGGCGGGGGACACCAGAAATGGGCTTCACACATTGTGCCCATGTGGGGATTCGAACCCGGGTCTTCGGCGTGACGAGCCAACGCTTTAACCATTAGGCTACCCCACCCAACCCAAAACAAACTGAAAGCATGGTTGTTTAAACTTATCAAAAACCTTTCTGTTTGTTCTTCAACGCCGTACACAACATTATTACAGCGTGTAAATAAACCATTCCTGTCCAAACTATCAAATGACTGCCATAACGCACAACGACAAGGTCTCGCTGACCCATTTCAAGTTCAACTATAGTCCGTTTGAGTTAGAAACGGACCGATGAATTGCAAATTTTATCATTGTACAAAATTGCCACATAAATATAAATAGTACACATGTTTATCATTTACTAATACCCAACAGCTTTCTTATATTTGAAAATTTTCCGGACTCCACCAAAAAGTTGTTTAAGAAACTATCATCATTGAAAACGCAAAAGTTGTTATCTGTCGCGGCGGGGTGAAACCGCAGAAACGGAACAGCCAGTCATGGCGGGGACATCTCAAAATCTATTCAGGGAGACCTGTCGGTTCCTCGTCCGTCGTAGTGTCATAGTCACGACTTAAAGGGATGACAAGTGGTGCCACAGTTGCCTGTTGTAAGCCATATTTGCAATTCATCGGTCCGTTTCTGACTCAAACGGACTGTAAGTCAATATTTAATACATTTCTCCCAACTGAATTTGAGCTCAATGATAATTTATTGACTCTGAATAAACAGCATATTAGAAGCTAATAACACAAGTCCCCATGGTCCCTAGTATGGTCATCTACCTTTAGTTGTTGGCAAGCTATAGCCTGTTTTTATTTTGTATTGTCATCTATAGTTAAACTGTTTTAGATTTAATTACTAGTTTTAAATTCATATCTGTGATAACCTAGTTATTTTGCTGTCCTTCGTTGGCAGTTTTATTTAATAATTGCTATGTATAACAATTAATTGTTCTCGTCACGATATGGCTGAAATATTGCCAATGTGACGATAAACTCACTCACTCACTCTTTGCAGGCCGACGTTGCATGACAAGAGTACTTGCTTTTTTCTGCAAATTGTGAGAAATGGTGGGTGCTCCCCTCAGGCTAGAACATACTTACCCGGTGTCGTTATTGATTTTTAATGATCTATTTTGCCCTGAACACCAAAAGAAATCTGTTTGCGAGGTTCGCGAAGAGATTCAAGGTTGTGTATTCTTTTGCACCGACGTTTTATGTTCTCAAATGCGTTCTTTTTGCGTTCATGTTAAGACACAGTATCGCTGTGGTATGTAGATCATGTGTAAGGCAAATTTGGATAAAGTAGATTTAATTAACTTGCTTCACCGGAAGTAAACACAAGTGTGAGTCTCTCAGTATTATTAAATATCTTGGGACACATATATTCACATACACATATTTTGTAAGTGATATGGTCACACTGGCAATCCGAAGGTATCGTGCTAGACACTCTCATTATAGCATTCATTTTCATTGTTGGAAGAGGATCCCCCTCAATGTATTATGTGTCACAGTCCTTTGACTGTCAAGTACCCTTTGGTGGAATGTGTGGATTTTCGCTCATTCGCCAGCTATTTTATACTGTTCAAACTATGTCTAAACTTTTCAATACCATTTCTTATCATTCAACTGATTCCATGGCATTTGAAAGGCTAACAAAGAATCATTTTAGCTATTAGTGTAAGCATACACTTAAAGAAAATTAGGCATGGCACACCGTCGAAGGCTGTTTGGCGGCGATGAGATTGACATTAGTCTTTACTTATGTTGCAACATTGCGCTAAACGATATCACTAATTTCATATCGTGATCATTTTTGTGTTAATTATACTCTTAAAAAAGTAGGGAAACTTGACTTTTTATTTATAATTGAAAAATTTGGGAGATATATCGGAGTCAATCAATGTTGATATGATAATAATGAATATTTTGAGAGTACATCTTGCACCACCTTATGACCATAGTTCTTGTTGTTTGCATATGTAGGAGTTTCATTTTTCAAACAGAAAAACAAGAGTGATTGAGTTACGTATACAATTTATCGTCACATTGGCAATATTTCAGTCATATCGTGACGATAACAATTAATTGTTATACATAGTAATTAATGGTAATTTATAAAAACCTGTCAATCAGATCACCTGTCAATTATCACAGATATGAATTTAAAACTAGTAATTACATCTAAAACAGTTTCACTATGAAGTTATTCTGCAATCCTCTGCAATTCCATTGCATCAAAGTCGACAATTGAGTCATGGTGGCTCAATTGATGACCGTTCACGTTAATGTGAGGAGAATAAGCTCCCCTGCCTGTCTTGTGAGGACAGAGTGACCTCCATGTCTGGAGGTCCAAATGAATTTTGGAGAGGAATCTCCGAAGGTGAAGTGAGAGTAGGTTGGGTTCTATTCAATGTTTTTCCTTTTATCATATTGGACTGATATGTAGCTGGTTGGGAAATAGCTGATTTTGATGCAGAAGCTTGTGATGTCTTAGGCTGAATTTCAGTCTGAGACCCTGATGTAGATTTACTGACTGGGGAAGTAGGTTTGGAGGTTGAAGAGATAGGTTTATCTGACTTGACCAATGTCCAGTCAGTCTGACATGCAGTGGAGGACACCGCAACAGAGCGGGTGATTGCGGCGGAATAGGTGATATTTGACGGAAGTGATGACTGATTTGTGAAAAGTTTCTTGGCCTCAAGGTAAGAAATATTTTTCTCACATTTAATTTTCATTATTTTTTATTCCCGTTGAAACACAGGGCAGGACCTGGATGAGACTTGATGTGAGCCATCACAATTAGCGCATTTATAGTCATTTTCGCAATCTGTATTTTCATGGTGGTCACCACAACGCTGACACACCACGGAATTACGACAAGAGTGATACCCATGTCCGAAACGTTGACATTTATAACACTGGAGTGGACTGGGGATATACACATCCAACCATCCCGATGTTAAAATAACCTGCTTTGCGGAAGGGATGATCTAGCAAAGGACAGGAGATAGGTATTTGTATTTGTGATTTTGCCATCTTTTTTAATAGTGAAATGTTTCACCGTCGTAACGGCCTGGTCTTCAAGCTTTGCAGCTAGCTCCTCATCTGACATGTCAGAGAGACAACGAGCCCTGTCTCTTATGATACCACGGCAGGAATTGAGAGTCCTGTGCACGGACACAGCAACCTCAATATTAGCAAATGTTTTGATAGACAAAACATTAAGAGATTGCTGTCTCCGTGCGCACTCCACCAGAAGTGAACCACTACGGAGACATTTTTAACTTCTCCACATATCCCATGGATAGCTTTGGAAATAACAAATGGATTTAGTTTAATGGGTAGAAAATCAGAAGCTTCGATCACTAAGAATTTAGGCCAGGAATCAACGTTTCACGAAATTGTTTCAGTTGGACGATCTAGTTCGTCCAGGCGTCTCTTTTTTCATAGCGAGATGAACCAGCTTCTGGGGATGCCATAATGAAAGGAAAATTCAGCATCCCTACTCCCCACCCACCATGAAGTGTCAGCAAAGACGATGTCAAATAGCACCGGCCGCCGACACCAGGGATACAGGGATGTTATACTCCAGCAAGTATGACACAAATAGCAATATTTGTATACCAAATCAAATGTCAAGGTGGTTCTGCCCATGACAAGTAATTGGACACATACTGAATTTGGAGGTCAACATTGCCAGATTGGCCCCGTGCCACCGCCTTCTGGCATAGGACTCGCCTTCTGATATAGGCAGTTAAAGTAATTAATAATTTATACACATTAGATCAAAATATCTAGGACCCAATTTTAATTTAAATGTGCAAAAATATTCACCATGCACAGGGCTTGGCGTGACCAGCCGATTGATAGAATCCGGCCAATTCTACCACCCGTCTAGGTGAAGTCAGGGCCAAAGTGGTGTGTTGGGCAAAAAGGAACACGGTTCCAGGCTCCCAGTGCCCTCAGCCACCAGAATCCCGTCCTCCACCGACACAGGGGCGCAACCCACGGCCAACAGGTTGCCCCTGGTCTTAAGACCAGGAATGGAGTGCTGTGGACCAATATGCCTTCACGGGTGCCGGCCTGCAAAGAAACCAGACAATCAAGTGATTTTAACCAGAAAATCCAATTCCCAACGCGAAAATACATTCCTGTTTATGCGGATTTGACTGTTTGGTCAAGAGCCAGGAGTATTGTCAATAAGTATAACACATCAACACCAGCCTCAGTTTCCGCCAAAATCGATTCCTTTGGTCATAAATAGCTTAATAGCAGTCAATATGTTGTGAGTGTCATTACTTAGTGAATGATAATATTGTAAAACAGCTCTATGCATATTTTGAAAATTGTGTTGTCCTGTTGTTGAGAACATCTGTATTCGGTTGGGATCAGGACACTGTTCTTGTGTTTACACATTTATCACTTGCCCATATACAATCAGACTGACACTGATGGCATATCATCACTAGAGGACTATCTCTTCGTCATTACTTCTGATCACCCAAATAAACACGTCTTATTATGTTAGTGACCTTAATGCAAGAATCAAAGACTTTATAGATTATATACCTTCTGATAACCTAGACTTTGTCCAGGACCCGATGATTATCCTAGTGATGATTTTGATTTGCCATGAAATTCCAAACACAATTTAGTTTATAACAATTATGGTGTTAAGTGGAAATATGTCTCACATATATGGTGTTCACATCCTTAATGGCAGGATGTTTAAGGATACAAATGGTGAATTTACATGTATTACTCATAACGGGTGCAGTGTTGTTGACTATATGATTGCCTCATCTTGCAGTCGGTACACTTGACATGTCCTGTCACCTTCCACTACACTGTTCACTTGACATCAACAATCATAAACAAAGCTCTGACAAGGTATCTACATCCTATCATACACACAACATCCCTGATGAACCTAACACAGAAAAAGAAAAACAACAACTAAGGGACAGTTCATAATTTAACCTAACATAGAAAAAACAACAACAAAACAACTAAGGGACGGTTCATAATTTATGACTAGGGGGTGATGATGATTTTTATGTCTAAACATGTACAATGTGAATGCCCCCATACAATGTATGTACAAAATAAGTGACCCCCCTGCATGTCATGTACAGAACCAGTGACCCCCTTCCCCTTCCCATAATTTCTAAGCATAAATCAGAACATGTTTTTATGTACCAAATTGCTGACCCCTCCTAGTACGTGTGTAGAAAATTGCTGACCCCCAAGCACCCCAGAAGAAAATGGGTGACCCCCCTATCGGCACTGTTTGGCACACGCAATTTGCTTCAAAAGAAATTTCAGAAAGCTTTTGTAATAGTACAGGGATGAAAGTCAACTTAAACAAAACCAAGATTATTGTCTTAATGGGGGGCCTCTTCGCCATTATGAAAAATGGTTCTATAATGGTTCCCCTGTTGAAACGGGTTGAAACATAGTTTGCACTGATCAACTTTTTGATTCAATGGTTGTGCCTATTCTTTGTCATGGCTCTGAATTTGGGGAACATGTCATTCCAAAATAATAGAGGCTGTGCATATTAGATTTTGTAAACAATACTTCAGGGTGAAAAAACTACATTAAATGGTATGGTTCTTGGGGAGTGTGGCAGACTCCCATTACAGCATTTGCACATGTCAAGGGGGATTAAATTCTGGGGGTAGACTTATACATATGCCACAAAATAGACCCCCGCATCAATGTTATTTAATGTTAAGATCACCAGATAGCTTAGGCTATAATACCTGAGTAACAAAAGTTAGGGACATCCTGTTTCAATATGGATTTGGTTATTCTTGGCTGGGCCAAGAAATTGGAAATGTGGAATATTTTGTGTATCTATTCAAGCTAAGGCTAGATGTTAACTTAAAACAGTCTTGGTTCTCATCAATTAGTAAATCTCCTAAATGTATTTTTCAGAAGGAGTTCAAAACTGTGTCAAATGTTGAAAGATATTTGTGTTGTGATATCCCTATGCACTTAAGAATTGCTATTTAGTTGATTTAGATTTAGTTGCAGAAATTTTAATACTTCGGTTAAATGTGGCAGGTATAATGGAATTGAATGTAACGAAAGACTATGCCCTTTTTGTAAAACCAGACGCCAGCATTATATAGAAAATGAATATCATGTACTATTTATTTGTAATGCCTATGATATACTTGGAAAGAAATATATAACAAAGTTCACGAACGAACCACTTACTCATTACTCTTTCGTAAGTCTTTTGCAAAGCAAAAAGGATGCTGTTATATACAATGTTGGCATATACTTATACCATGTACAGAAATGATAAACTCCAGGACATAGAGCTGCAAAGTTGTTTTGCGCACCCACTAAAGACAATGTCATTCTGATTGTATTATGGGCGAGGGCCTCTTTACTGAATAAATACTGTCTTTCTGTCTGTTGTGAATGGTTCACTGAAATCCGAGAAGACACAGTAAATTCGCTTTAAGGAATCGCACATGAACCAGTCAAACGGACATTTGTTTTCATACGGTAACAACAAAACCGTTTCCACATACATAAGAAATTGTACAACTGTGACTGTATCATGAACATATATTTGCTTCAGGAGTTTTACAGCTGTATCATGTTGTTTGTAAACAAATCGAGACTGAACCAGACAATTCAGTGATTGTCACCATTCAATACGATGACAGAGCATGTGCTTATGAATCACTATGAAATAGTGATGATACCAGGTGTTCGCGAAAAGGTGAGCATATCCTGCCCCGCCGGATGGCACCCCTCATGGACATGTGCAAAGTGTAGTCAATTGTTCACTTGAAACAATTCGGGAACGTATGGTACAATTCAAAATAGGGAATTGCATCGGATTTTGCAGTTTTTGTCACAGATGCTCACGTTTCGAAATGTACTCCACATGCTTACCATAAAACATGTTGAAAGTTTTACTTAGGGGTTGATTGCTGTAACTTTTTTTTAATTGTTCCCAATAAGTTGAATACAAGCATACAGAAGAATATGTGTACATACCAGCTTGTGGGCTCAGTAGAGATGTAATACATTAAATATCAATATTGACAGTAATATGTTTTGGTTAAATAGTTATTCAGGATTAAATACCGCGATGAGAGGAAACCATTTGGTTGAGAAGCTTTTAAAATTATTATTGCCACATGTCATCGGTTCCCAATGGCGTAGATCGATGCTCATGATGTTGATCACTGGATTGTCTGGTCCAGACTCGATTTTTTACAGACCGTGGCCATTTAGATTGAATATTGCTGAGTGCGGCGTAAAACTAAACTCACTCACTTTCCACAGACAGGTCAATGCTGTTGCGGTGATGATCGGTTATCTCGCGGGGATTGCCATCATTGGTGGCATTTGTACAGGCATGTATATTAAATTTGTACTACCTGCAAAACTCCGGAGCAGTGCTGAACCTTGCCCCACTGGTCCGACAGCAAAAGATCCTGCTGGTAGGTCTTGTCATAGATGTTACCACGCAATTATTAAAAATATACCCAGCCTACAAATAATATTTTTCTTGTTGTTGACCAGGGAATATTTCTAATCAACAGATAAACCGCGTGTTTGATCATTCTTGGCTTTGCGTTAATAGTGAATCAAGAAAGAAACAGTATTTAGAACTAGAATATATCAGCGTTTTATGGAATGTATGTAATATATATGAATAAAATATTGTTTAGTTTTATCGTAAACATTCTATGAGGAATGATGCAGTTCTCAAAAAGACAACAACAAAACTTACAAAAGATTCAATCCAAACCTTCCAATCAATGATGATAGGTGTATTTACAAATGCATTTTCGAAGAATTCATATGCCAAGTTTGAATTCATATCCAGAAATATTGATTGATGTGACAATAAATCTTACTAACTTGAGACATAATTGTATGTATGATTATATTATCACGATTTTCAGCAGTTCGTGAGTACCAACTCAACCCTCTCGCCTCCCTCCCGCCGGTCCCCACTGTCCAGGCAAAACTGGAGCTCCACCTTTCAGTTCATGGGTGTGAAGGCCGCCTCAGTGGACCAGCCAGAACACGAGTGTCATCGGAACACCGGCCTTACCACCACCACCTTATCCCTTACAGATACCCCTCTCTTCAGAAGATCTATTTCTGAGTGAATGCTCCTCGTCTCCAGCTTACTATACTGCTGGAAGATATACACTTGAAAACTGAAAGGGACAAAGAAAACGTTTGTACAATGAAATACGTCACCACAACACAGCAAATTGAAGTTAAAGACGCTGTACTGCAGCACCCGTGTCAAACATATCACCATCGAATAACCATTTCTTGTCTCAGTGGTAGCCATCATAAACAATAGCTGGATACTTTCTCTCGTTGTTTGAATTGACTAGCATTGATCAAGGCACATAACAATAACAATGATATTATTGTGTGAACTTAGCTACGAATTCTGGCTTTATATTTTACAAATGCTGGTTCCTGAGCCATCTTTCAGAAATGATTCTGTTCCAGTTACATTCTCACCATTCGATGACATTCCTCAGAAGAAGCCACAAATGTGTGTGTGTGTGCGTTAGTGTGTGTCCGTGCGCATATATGTGTGTTTGAGTTTATGTATATTAAATAGTGTATATATGTGAAACAATCCAACAGACACCAACAGACAAATATCTGTGTCGGGGAAAGTAGATTTACACTAGGGTGAGTGAGTGAGCTTATTTTTACGCCGCTTTTAGCAATATTTCAGCAATATCACGTCGGGGGACACCAGAAATGGGCTTCACACTATTTGCCCATGTAGGGAGTCGAACCCTGGTCTTCGGCGTGACGAGCGAACGCCTTAGCCACTCGCGCGGCTACCATACCACCTTGCTTAACACTGGATTACATATCCATCATATTACGATAGATACAATGGACGAACTGTTTTGTTTCGGGGGGAGATGATGAGCTAATACCTTAGCACATCGTGTTTCATCAGATCACATCACATACGATCAGAATAGATTGCTCGATGACTCCGCATCAGTAGGATTGGTGGCTATAAAAGATTGCAGTTGTTGTATATCAAAGCATAAGTAATACTAGTAAAGATCCTTAAAACTCATCATGTTTTTTTTCTGAAAACAAATAAAAGTAAACGTTCAAACAAAATTTTACATTTTTTAAAAAGTTTCATTTTCGATGTGTTTACTGGTGCTTCGTCGAAAGCATTTTCAACTTGAAACATTTTATGTGCGCCTCAGACGAATGATAGCCTGCAGACAATGTGAGGTCTGTGTGAGGACCTCAACAAAATGTTTCAAATGAACTACTAGTAATATGCTTCACGGGATGTTAAAACAATCATATGTTGTTCTAGCACGCGTAAATCATAATGTCCAAATTAAAATTGTAGAAATTCTTTGAGATATTTACAGGTTGCCGCCATATAGCTGGAATATTGCTAAGTGTGCCGTTAAACAACAAACAAACCAAATTTTAGAGAACTGACTGTATTTTCTATAACAATGGTCCTCATGCTTTTCGTCCCACTATAATGGTCGAAATATGGATTGCTGGAGGGTGTGTCTAGTTAAAGAAAGAAAGAGTGGGTGAGTGAGTGAGGTTAGTTTTACGCCTCACTCAACAATATTCCAGCTATATGGCGTCGGTCTGTAAATAATCGAGTCTGGACCAGACAATCCAGTGATCAACAGCATGTGGATCAATCTGCACAATTGGGAACCGATGACCTCCCGAACCAAGTCAGCGAGCCTGACCACCCGAACCCGTTAGTCCCGTCTTACGACAAGCATGGGTTACTGAAGATCAATATTCTAACCCGGATCTTCACGGGTAAAGAAAGAAAGAAAGAAACAAGGAGGAGTGAGTGAGTTAAATTTGTGAATTGCATCTTTCTTTCTAAGAAATACAGTAAATAACTCTAGTGTGTTTACATACACACTTATCACGCAGATTACACCTGATATCAGCTGATTGCCTTGATGTAGGTAGGAGTCGATGGGGTAGCCTTATGGTTAAAGCGTCCGCTCGTCACACCGTAGACCCGGGTTCGATTCTTCACATTGATACAATGTGTGAAGCCCATTTTTGGTGTCCCCGTCGTGATACTGCTGGAAAAGTGCTAAAAGCGGCGTAAAACCTTGTCACTGATGTGAGGTGCAAATTCGTGTGTTTGGAAGAATTAGGACATTTGAGCACTGTCGACTAACACAATTTTTTTTCGCACACTCAGCGCCGTTATACTGCAATAACGTAGGTCGTATGATTCCACTGGGGTGATCCGTAAAGTTCTTATTACAGCGGCGGTGGGGTAGCCTAGTGGTTAAAGCATTCGCTCGTCACGCCGAAGACCCGGGTTCGATTCCCCACATTGGTACAATGTGTGAAGCCCATTTCTGGTGTCCTCCACCCGTTATATTGCTGGAATATTGCTATCAGCGGCATAAAACTAAACTCACTCACTCACTTATTCCAGGTCTTTATGACCTACCTGTGATAGTGTCGCTACTACGTCAACAAACACCCCAATGAACTGACTTTTCTCCTTGCGTCCCAACGCTTATCGGCAATCAGTGAGTGAGTGAGTTTAGTTTTACGCCGCTGTTTGCAATTTTCCAGCAATATCACGACGGGGGACTCCATCAGTTGGCCTCACACATTGTACATATGTAGAGAATCGAACCCGGGCGGACGAGCGAAGGCTTTAACCACTAGGCTACGACACTGCTCCTACAGGCAATCACGTGTACTTATTGTTATTGTATGTACACACGTGAACCCTTTATCCTGGAAAATAAATACAGATAGCACTAAAGACGCACAGGCCTCAATGCACCGAGGAAATTGACAGTCAAATTTACATTAAGAAATGAGAAACTTTAGCCATGGCCATCATAGGCTTAGCTCCTCCTCCATAAACGTACACATATATACTCTTTAAGACCGCCTCCGTGGTGTAGTGGTTAGAGCGTCCGCTCGGAGAGCGGAAGGTCGCGGGTTCGATTCCCGGCCGAGTCATACCAGAACACGTTAAAATATGGTACTTGTTGGTCCCTGCCTGGCGCTCGGCATTAATGGGTACAACAAGGACTGGTCGGCTCGGAGTCAGTATAATGTGTCTGAGTGGGGTATTCATGCTTCACTGCGGCATGGTATCTCAGTGAGCTAGCACTATAAAACCAGCTTAAGTCTGGACTAGTACAAGTAGCCGCAAATACACATACACACGCATGCACGTCGTCATATGAGCGAAATATTCTCAAGCACGACGTTAAACCCAATTTCACCTCACCTCACCTGACATATATACTCTTTAAGAAAGGAAGGGAACTTGAAGTTTCAATTTAGATAGGAAGCTTAAGCGTTAACAAACTTTTCAAAGACAGACATCTTATGAACGCATCACTATTTCTCTTTATCACCAGCCCTAAACTCAAGGCATGTGATGGACGTGCACAACGCAGTAGCCCCACGCATGGGGGTCGTTCTTAAATTTGACGGTTTTCTAGAATTTTGATAAGTCACTGTAGTAAGATATGTTATATTTGGGATTGCACTTTCTTAGTAAAGTACAGAGTCTAGTAATTTTTGGATTGAGTCCCACTCGGAATTCGAACCCGCGCCCTCAGGGCATTTTGTATTCATAGCTTTCAGCCACAGGAGCCATGCCAATTTATGCTTGTCAGAGGTGTACATAAAATAGGTGATACAGACTACCAGATGTCAGACTTCCATTTTTGTGGTAGCTGAGTGGGTTAGATTGCTTATTAGGTGCCTCACTCTGATAGGGTGGGTTCAAATCCCAGATGAGACTCAACCCCAGAGTTTACTAATCCCAAATAACATCTTACATTTGACCATTTTCTGACAGGCATTGTGTATGTACAGACAGACACAATCAGACAACACTGAAGCAAGTCCTGTTTATGCCTCATGGGTGTTGGTTGGGGACCAAGAGGGTTAATAATTGTGAATTTTGGAAAGTAAATGAACTTAGGTTCATGTGAATAATACTTATTCTGGGTTAAGATATTTCACGTGTATTTAGCCACAGACTAAATTCTGTTGATAGATTGTTACATATTTTGTTTACAATGTGTCAGTATGCATGCACAACATGAAGTTCCACCCATGAATAACCCTGTTAGAATTGGTTTTCAGCAACTCATGCTTGTCATAAGACGTGACTAACAGGATAGGGTGGTCAGGTTCATTGACTTGGTTGACACATGTCATCGTATCCGAATTCTGGATAGCAATGCCCATGCTGTTAATTACTGGATTGTCTGGTCCAGAAGTGGAAGATGCTGTGACTGAGCCGGTTTGGCGACTGGGTTTGTATGTTGCTCATTATGTGCCTGACAAAGGGGGTTCGAATCCCGTATGGGACTCAACCCAACAAAAGTACTAGAATCTGTATTTTACTAAGAAAATGTAATCCCAAATATAACATATGTTACATTTGACCACTTTCTAACCTGGCATTGTGTATTTCAAGTCACTGTAGACCATTATGTTTGACATTCATCCTGCATCACACAGTTGTAAGTGTTTGTTTATAGCTGTTTTTTTTTTTTGAAAATGAAAATCGTACACATGCAAATTGCACGTCATACACCAGTCATCTTTCACGAGTTATTACCGTACAAACAACTATGGTCATAAGGAAGTACAAGTGGTGATGCACTCTCAAAACATTCATTATTATCATATCATCATTGAATGACTTCAATATATCTGCCAACCTTTTCAATCGTAATTTAAAAATGAAGTTCCCCTACTTTATGTATGTATTCGTTGATATTCCCCAGCACTTTGCAAGTTTCCTGCTTTAGTTCGCCAAGTATCTATTTTCACCCCTTGCCTCTGCACTACTATAAACGCACATACATTTGTTACCCGGCACTGCTTAGAAGACATTTTAATAATAACTGTATCCATACATTTATCAGTAACTGTCAACATTTCACACAGACAATATCAGATCATGTCTCGACCTTGTACCGACGTCATGTTATTTACTGTATACCCTAGGACGTCTATGTACATCTCAGCAGAGTCCCAAACAGTCAACATATGCGGAAAGGTAAGCAAATCTTACTAAACTGCCCTTTGCACAACAAACACATGCAAAGTCAAGTCAATTATTCACTTGCAAACAAAACGGAAATATATCGTTCACGTTGAAAGAGGAAACTGGACATAGGTCATCTTTTTGCTTCTGTTATCACGAAGCTTCTCGAGGATAACACTGATGATCTTCGAGACATCTTCCCTCGTTTGACTGAAGTGGGTTTCATAAAGCTTAGCCATCGCAACAGTGATAGTAAGTGAGTGTTGTTTTACGCCGCTTTTAGCAGTAATAGAGAGAGAGAGAGAAATTATTTTATTTTATTATCACTCAGATGTTTACATAATATATACAATCTTCTGTGTCATATGAAACATCTGCCCGGCCTTTACAGGCCTACGAGACACATAAAATCCATAAAACAAAGCATAGATAAAATATATCCCTATACACACATAGTAAAACTTAGAGATAAGATGGATGGTGTAATATCATATGTTATAATAATTTTCTTCTTTTAAACATATGTAACACTGAAGCAGCTAAGGAATAAACTAGGTTATCACATTCCATAATAAAAATAGTCTGGTCGACAGGAGTCATCAAGCTAAACAGAGGGTTAAGAGAGCGTGCCTTTTGCCATAAAATTGACCTTATATCGGAATATATATTACATTTCGATAAAAAATGGACCTCGTCTTCAACTGCTCTATTCTTACAATATTTACATAGTCGTTGTTCAAGAGGGGTTTTAGGCCGTGAGAAACGACCTAGTTCAATCTCCAGAGGTAAAGTTCCACATCGTAGTTTGGCCAGGATACTTCGTTGAGATCTATTGAAAATAGTGCGGGCATATGTTGATACTGATAAAGAGGTCTTAAACAGCCGGAACGTTCGTAGTTTGTTGCCGTTACAACGGCCAGTATCATCCCATAGTTGTGAATACCAGTTAGAATAATCAATATCAAACAACTTCTCTTTTATGAAAATGAAATCCATTGGTGAAATACGCAGCATGTCAACAAGAGATAAATCCAAAGAGATCAATAATTGTAAAACTTTGTTATCCCATGACTTACGGAAGGACAATGACCAGTTGTGAATATTGCTTATAATACTATTGTGCTTAAAAGATTGTAGGCGCTTCCAATAACGGACAGATTCAATACGATGTTTTGTGAGGTTAGAAAACCAACCCATCTCGCCTCTTACGGCTAAGTTCGGGGTATTACGACCTACACCCAAAAAGAAACGACATGCCCTATTTTGGATAGCATTTATACAACTGAATTCACGTGACCCCCAAACAGCAGATCCATACGACAGTATTGGTTGAACTAAGTTATCATAAAGTTTGTTAAACACATCATAATGCATCCCATCAACTGCTTTGAATTTACTAATTAAGATACCCAGTGCTCTTCCAGCAGACTTAGCGATTTCCTTTGCAGTGAAATTAAGATCAAGGTGTTCCTGTAACCACAGTCCTAGATATTTATAGGCGTTACATACATCGATATCGTCGTTGCCACAAGAAAATCTGAACTCGGTTCTTGCCATAGAAACAGGTCTATAATGAACTATTTTGGTCTTCTAAGCATTAATCTGCAAACGCCATCTTCTGCACCATTGATTGACACAGTCTAACATAGACTGTAAAGAATCTTCGTCTCCTGCAATGAGCGCAATATCATCGGCGTAAAGAAGAACACTAATCATGAAATTGGCGTTGATCTGAATACCACAATTCAGCTGATTGATTTCATCCACCAAATCATTTATGAACACCGAGAATAATGTTGGCGACAAAACGCAGCCCTGTTTAACGCCACTATTTACGGAGAAATCTTGTGACAAATATCCATTAACACTAACAAAGGGATTGGGTATTATCATACAAAGATTTCACTGCAGAAAAGAATCTGCCACTAATACCAAGTTTAACAAGCTTATACCAAAGATAATGTCTGTTCACGCGATCGAAGGCCTTCATAGCATCAATATAGCAAACAAAAGTTGAACATTTCTGGATTTTCCTATTGCTTATAACAGAAAACAAAGTATAAATACTGTCAACTGTACTCCTGTGCTTACGAAAGCCGTTTTGCTCCTCAGCCAAAACCTCATTACATTCAAGCCAAGCAGAAAACCTAGCATTCAATATGTCCGAATACATTTTACAAGGAATACTGATTAGGGAAATGCCTCGGTAATCTGAAGGATACCTGGGATTACCACCTGGTTTTGGAATTGGTGTGATTATACTCTTACGCCAAATATTAGGGCAAACACCTTTGTCAAAGCTAAACGAACATATTCTATACAACATATCCACACATGACCTATTTTTTAGCGCCTGCGCAGGAATGCAATCGACACCTGTAGCTTTACCACGTTTTGCACGAGTAATAGCAGATAGAACCTCTTGGCGAGTTATTGGTTGATTCAAGGTGGTGACGTCATAAGATAGTTGTTGTCTAACACCGTTATCTAGCTCCCGCATCACAGATTGAAAATGGTACTCATCAAAGACACCACTAGGATCAGTGTTATATAAAGAGCTATATGTGTTTTTCCAAACATTCAGGCTTATTGATAATGATTTCACTATCATACATTACCTCCCAAGGGACAGAATTACACCGGTCATTTGAAATACCTATCTTTCCAATAACCTTCCAAAAATCACGACTATCTTATTATTGAACTTATCTAACAAGTCCTGCTTTTCTCGACCTTGATACAAACGTTTGTGACTACGGTGTAATTTATCGAAGGCTTTCCTTTCAACCGTAAATATATGCTTAAGGTCCCTTCTCCTAACAGAAGATTTACATTTCAACCAGTTCTTCTCCGATTCACAAACACGATCCCACTGACACTGTAACTCATCGCACCAGTATGGTTTATAAAACGTTTTGCCTTTTGTTTTTTTAAATTTACTACTAGAAAAAGAGCCAACATTTTTATCTAACTCTACATACAAACAAGACAAGAAGTCATCATAAGCAGCGTTTACATCCCGTTGAATATAGTTAAATGTGCTTCAATCCTGGCTAATGTATCATTTATCAAAACTAGTGTTTCTCCTTGTGATAGAAAACTAAAGTCAATATTATTTTGTCTATAATTTTTCAAAATAGGACTATCAACATCACAGTCTGCATCTGATATATGATTATCACTAAGGGGATAAAATATCACAAAGTAAAACGGAATGATCAGGCACAACGTCTGGCATATTACAACCATCAATGAGTGAGGACATTGTGATAACATTAAAATCAGTGAAACGGGGTATATATTCATGGGGTGTAAGCATAAAGTCAACAACAGAACGCCCGTTTTTCACGTATGTAAAGTCTTGCTGACCTACACTTCCATTTAAAACACACATATTACAGTTTATTAAAAAGTTAAGAAGTAGGTCACCATATGTATTCTTTGTAGAGTCAATCACTTCCCGTTCATTGATATCATCTACCCCAGCAATATAGTCTGCATCATCGCCCATACGGGCGTTAAAGTCTCCGCAGATACACAACACACCTTCATTCTGATAAAGATGCACTTTTTCGAGCAAGTTTTCAAAAAATCATAATATCACAGCAGGGGACACCAGGAATCGGCTTCACACATTATACACCCATGTGGGGAATCGAACCCGGGACTTCAGCGTGACGAGCTGACGCGCCACGGCCATAAGTAATGCAGGAAATCATAAACACTGATTGACTGGACGAATTAGGTCCAACCAGTACTGCACAGTTTACACATTGTAGATGGATCTTATATATGTACTTGAATCTTGTAAACGGAGAAAGCAACCACCTGGTATCATCACTATTCGATATAAGTTAATAATCATAATATTGTTAAAAGCGACATAAAACCATCCTCACTCATTCTATGACTGAAATGTTTGGTCCCCGTCATATACCTGGAATATTACGGAGCACCAAGTTAAACAAACAACAAACAAATAAGCAAACAAACAAGTTCAATAAATTTGTGAGTGAGGGTGATTTTAAGCTGCTTTTTTGCAATATTCCAGCAATATCACAGCGGTGGACACCACAAATGGGCTTCACACAGTGTACCCATGTGGGGAATCGAACTAGGGCCTTCGGCGTGACGAACGAACGCTTTAACCACTAGACTCACCCACTACCCCTGTCGTCCTTGAACAATGTTCTTTGCTGGAACGTTTGCAAGTGCAATATATTTTTAGGATAGAAGAACGTGAATGTAAGTTTTCGTTTATTTGAAATCGTCATTGAATAATGTCGGAAAAAACGTTTTTCATTGTGTGATAGGTGGGTATTTGGTTTTGGGTGCGCTTTATCTGATCGATAAACATTAACGGCACGTAGGCTTACATTTCCCCCTGACAGTATACTGCCTAGGTCGTATGTGACGATTTAACTAAGCCTGTGTTTCGCAATATAGCTTTCAGCATAACTGTCCCCAATACCTTTACTGTTATACATATACGTGTTGCTCCTGTCCTAGTTTTGTCAAATTATATTGCAAAACAATGTTGGCACAAAACGGAACAGCTAAAATAGAAAGCTTAAAGGGTCAACATTGCACAATGTATTCCGAATTGCATTTTGTCTAAGATTTAAAATATGCGTAGTCCCTACTTTCCTTGCGATATCTTTTCCCTCCATGGGAACACAGATACGCCAGACAATCAGAACACATAAGGGCCGTGTTATCAGCAAACTGACTCACTTGGTCTGCCGTCAGTGTTCAAAATGGCCGCGAATATTCTGTTGCCCTTATGGATATTACTTAGCTGTGTAATAGGTATGTCAGAACACTTTTTATCTGCTCATTTCACGGTATAAACGGTAAATGAAATGTTTGACAACTGCAGAATTGAATGCTTTGATGAATGTATCTTACTGGGTTTGCGTGTGATTCGCCATGGACATGTTTGACAACTAATGTCCTACTTCCTTGAGAGGCATTTTAGAAGTTGTATAGATGAAGGAAAACCAAGTTCTATTGACAGTCAACTTCTTTATTGCAATGAGTGCAGGACTCATTCTAACGAGGGAGATTGCAGGACACAAGGACGCCTTTATTGTGATTTTAGCTGTACTAAAGTACACATTGATTCACTGAGAGATCCAGCATGACATTCTAACGATGGTGATTACAAGACATAAGGGCGTCATTTTTCTTTGTGTTCTTCAGGTGCACTAGCTGAAACTTGCTACGGGGCGTACGAGTCAATCACCTGTATTTTCGGATGTTGTGAGGACACATTATATGTTTACTGTTGTTTGAGTAACGGGTAAGTAATGACCAACATTATGTGCGCGCGTGTGCCTGTGTGCCATCGTTTAACGACCTTTTGAAAGGGTACTTTAGTTGTTTGTCAACGGTATTTTAGACGTCTAGCGTTATTATGGTAACCGTGAGCATCTTTTTGTTGTTGACATCCAAATGGAAGCGACGCAGCAACTCAGTCCCAGTACCAACCCGGCTATTGTTTTGCCGGGCTGAATATCATATTGTAATACTATCTTCACTCCAAATATAAAGCGATGAGTTCCCACAGAATCCCTATTACTGTTAACTTAACTGATGATATTATAATGGAAATAGATGGGATTTTTCTTCAAAACAGGTCAAGGTAAATGAAAAGGCAGTCCGGGAAATGTTAGATAGGTTGTGACTAATTAAACTGATCTTTGACTGTTTTCAGGGAATTTAGAAAATGAGTTTCGACTTTCCTTTCCAAGGAACAGGTTTTTATCCATAAAGTCGTATGCTTCATTATTGATTCCCAACTTCTAGAATGCCAATAAAATAATCAGTTGAAACCTGTTCTCGTGGGTTTAGTCAAAGTGGTCAATGTTTGATGGCTATATCACTTCTGCAGTAGTTGGCCATAGTCATCATCAGTGATTGTTCCATAGCCTTACATGTTAATTAACTGTTGAAAGTATAATTTTCATAAACTGAGTAGAAGTCATTTTATTTTGATATTTGGCAAACATCTTGAAAATCATCTTCAGCTTCACGTACAAACTTTTCTTTCATATTTCCGTTGATTAGTTATCGAATGACACCTGATTAAGTACAACTTAATTTTAATCTATCCACTAGAAAGCCATGTTAAACCTGATTGGTACGTCTAATATATGTTGTTTAAATAGTTGAAGTTTTCTTAATAATCATCGGAAAATTGAATGGGATTTATGTGTATGTAGCTGAGATGATTTCCCAGATAGTAGAAAAGTATTGAAAGCAATTCGACCGAAACTAAATTTATGTAAACTTATTTTTGCAGCAGTTAATTAACATGTAAGTCTATGGGAATTTCACTAATGATGACTTACTTATGGCCAACTACTGTAGCTGTCTTCATACCTGAAGCTGACGGGTCGTTCAATTACTGTTTTTTATGTTTTATTTTTCTACATATTATCTGTGAACTCAATGAAATTGGTTTTGCTATGTTGCAGCCACACGACTGGTTTGACCTTTTATCTTGGTGTCCCCCAAAACGCAAAATCGGCGATTAATGCATCACAAACTTCAGGAAACAAAAAATGCAAGAAACATCCCCAGCAATGTATCCACAGCATTGTATCACAATGCTGGGATACAATGTTTCGGATTCAATGCTTAGTATACAATGTTGGGGATTCAATGCTTAGGATACAATGCTGGGGATTCAATGCTTGGTATACAATGCTGAGAATACAATGCTTGGGATACAATGCTTAGGATACAATGCTGGGGATACAATGCTGGAAATTCAATGCTGGGATACAATGCTGGGGATGCAATGCTTGGGATTCAATACTGGGGATACAATGCTTGGGATACAATGCTGTAAATTCAATGCTGAGGATAGAATGCTGGGAATACAATGCTTAGGATACAATGCTGGGGATGTAATGCTTGGGATTCAATGCTGGGGATACAATGCTGGGAATACAGTGTTGGGGATACAATACTGCAAGTTAACGTGGATAACCCCTGACACAGTTTACAAATTATCAGCCAGCCGAAATATGTATCCCTTTGTAACGGAATTGTAACGGAACGTTGTCAGTATGATCTTTAAACTTCAAGTATGTCATGAACAGGGATCGAATCGTCAAGAACCTGTGTTTGAGGGACAAAATGTATTATAGTACTTCCTGGACGAGAAACCAATGTCAAGTCAAAACTTCAACAAGTGCATGATGTGTCCTTCCTCGATATTGTTGAGCGGCCTCAACACTATCAATAACTCGTGCACACAAGCTTGACCGGAAAGGTCATCGCGATAAAACAGAAACACATGCCACACTGTTACACTATTTCTGGTGAAACAGGATATGTGTCAGTTTATATCTAAACATATCAGCTTTGATTCACTTCATGTTTACAGTGTAGATTATGCATGCAATGCTGTCACACCCTACGTATTTCCAAAATTACGGGGCGGTGGGGTAGCCTAGTGGTTAAAGCGTTCGCTCGTCACGCCGAAGACCCGGGTTCGATTCCTCATATGAGTACAATGAGTGGAGTCTATTTCTGGTGTCCCCTGCCGTGAAATTGCTAGGAATAGTGCTAAAAGCGGCGTAAAAACATATTCACTCACTCACTTTTAATCATTATTATTATCATTTCAGAGCCGGCATTGGTATCATCTGTGCATGTCTGGCAGTTGTCCTGAGTTGCATAGGAGCATGCTGTCGACAAGCTCACAGAAGAAATAACCTGAACCAGGCTACTGTGATACATAACACTCAGGCCGCTTCCGTTGCAGTGGTTACAAATGCCGCAAGTATGGATACTTTCCACGAATCTATGTACCTTTGTTACACCAAAGGCAAACTGCAGCGCAAATAGGGTTGCGCAACAAAGACTAAACTGACCAGTCTTACTATATGCGAGAGAAGCGAGCAAAGCTTGGCAACGTACTTCCCTCGATCGCTTCGGTTCGAAAAATATTTCTAATATTAAAATAACATATCGCCACCATCAGAGGTAGACACCCATTTCCTCACAGGGTTGTGTTCTCATATTTCTTACCTCATGTTTAATAATTACTCATCTAGAATATATTTAATTCAACATTTTAACAGCGTCACTCGTGGCATGTCAAATCGTTCCTCGCTTCCATTACCCATGCCAGCTTCTGGTTCAACGGAGTGAAGGACTGACTGACTGAGTTTGGTTTTACGCCGCTTTTAGCAATATTCCAGCAACATCACGGCGGGGGACACCAGAAATGGGCTTCACACATTGTACCCATGTAGGGATTCGAACCCGGGTCTTCGGCGTGACGAGCCAACGCTTTAACCACTAAGGCTACCCACCGCCCCACGGAGTGAAGGAACAAGAATAAGCAGAACTTGAAAAAAAAGATCATATTACCTAATTTCACCGTCAAACTGTTGGAGATTGTTTTTCTTATCTGCCGTCGTTATTGTTAGAATTTTCGTAACATTTATTCTACTGGAAAAAGGAGAAGAAAAAAACAACACACTTTTGGTGTACGGGGTGATGAAGCAAGGAAGGTAACTCCGTAAGTATTACATATGACGGTCATATGACTCAGCAAGTATGTTTAGATTTAACTCCCCTGTTCCTTCACCTAGTTGCGCTGGCAGAGGTAATGGAAGCGAAGAACGATTTGACATGCCATGAGTGGCGCTTAAAATGTTGAATTAACTATATTTTAATCATCAATATGAGGTTGGAAATCGTGAGAGCACAACCCTGTGAGGAAATGGGTGTCCACCTTTGTTGGTGGCGATATTTTATTTTGATATTAAAAATATGTTTCGAACCGAAGCGAGGGAAGTACGTTGCCAACCTTTGTTCGCTTCGCAATTGGGTGGTCTGGTCATTTTGTCTCTGTTGCGCAACCCTATTTGTGCTACAGTTTGCCTGTGGTTAAAACTTCCATGGAGGCTTGGAATTTGTTGTGTAGAGATTGGCGACAGAAAACCATGGGTTCGAATCCCAGATTTGCTATGCTGATGTTCGTTGGTTAATTGGCACCATACACATACTCATTGGGTCATCTACGTGTACATCGTGTAACGTTGCCAACCTTTGCATCATTTTGCTCCACCATGTAGTTGTCACGCACTGTTATAGCTGAAATATTGTTCAACGTGAGTGAGTAAGTGAGTGAGTGAGTGAATGAGTGGGTGGGTGGGTGAGTGAGTGAGTGAGTTAGTGAGTGGGTGGGTGTGGTTTGGGTGAGTGAGTGGTTGAATGAGTCGGTGGGTGGGTGGTTTTTGGGGTGAGTGATACGCATCTCAGAAGTTTTACCACTTCGATGAGACCAACGAGCAATGTATGGTGTTGGAACATGGAAACCTTAACAAGGCGAAATGGGATTCGCACACCCGATTCGACATTCATAGATTTCTGGCGTGTCCAACACAGTGAATTGCGTCGCCTTAGACGACTGGGCATCCAATGCTCCCGCATAATACCAACATTAAAGTATAATGAATATGGAAATTCAAACTTGTATCTGTCACATAAAGAAATCCAAATTAAGCTTGATTTACATGTTTGAGAAATACTTCGAGGGTTATATCCCTGAATGATCTTTTACAAGACGAAACGAAGCAATGACAATAATATAATTTATGAAACAGTCTGATCTGAAACCTGTATAAATTTGACTATTTGCAGATCAGGGCGCCTACGGTAACCAACAGATGTCACAATACCCTCCCCCCGCCTACCCGGGACCCCCAACAACCCCACCCTACCCGGTTGCCCCTGCAGCCTATCCCCCAAAGTACTGACACATCGCGGAGGAGTGGTACAATATGCACAGAATGTATTATTTGACATACGTATTAAATGTTTCGTAAGAATGGACGGATTAATATTCATCATACAGCTTGTTTATATATTTGTGGATATCAGATCTATCTGTTTGACAAGTACATAACGTAAAATGTAATGCGCAACGGATATTAAATATTTTGTTGAACGAATGGACGGATTCATATTGTATTTATCATACAGCATGTTTATAACTTTATGGATCTGAGAGCTATCTGATTGACAAGTATATAACACATCCAGTGTGATACGCAAAATATATTAAATATTTTGTTGAAAAAATTGATGGAGTCGTAATCATCGTGTAACTGCACACTGAAATGCTTTCCATACGTGTAATCGTTTAATTATGAATTTATGATAAACGTTGCTTGGTAGGATCTAATAATGTCTAAACACAGGGTTTGGTTGTTTTAGTGGAGGACTTTTCACAATAAAATGCATTTTTATAAGTATCTTGTTCTGTTTTTCTTTCGAGACATGGTTGGCCAAACAGTCATGGCTGAGTGGGTCGTGTTAGTTACGGATCTAGGCTCAAGTTTCTGTTTCTCTCTGATCACAGTCCTTGGCTTGTCGGAGCCGTAGATGTGTCTGTTTGGTTCCTAGAATAGTACTCCTCGTAAGCATTCAGGATAGAATAGGTCCTTGGTGATGTACCTTCAATTGTTGGCAATCTATAGCCGGTTTCTATATTGTATTGTCATTTATAAGTAAAATGTTTTAGATTTAATTACTAGTCTTAAATTTATTCCTGTGATAATCTAGTTGTTTTACTGTCCTTCGTTGACAGGTGTTTTATAATGTAATTGTGTTTATTGTTAATTTATAACCTTTTAAGTCACAATATGGCTGAAATATTGCCGATGTGACTATAAATTTTAACTCACTCACTCACTTGACCAGTTGGCCAAACAGTCATTGCTGAGTGGGTCGTGTTAGTTACGGATCTAGGCTCAAGTTTCTGTTTCTCTCTGATCAATTAATTACTAGTCTTAAATTTATTACTATGATAATCTAGTTGTTTTACTGCCCTTCGTTGACAGGTGTTTTATAATGTAATTGTGTTTATTGTTAATTTATAACTTTTTAAGTCACAATATGGCTGGAAAATTGCCGATGTGACTATAAATTTTAACTCACTCACTCACTTGACCAGTGAAGACCTTGGTTAGAATTGTTCTTCAGTAACCCATGCTCGTCGTAAGAGGCGACTAACGGGATCGGGTGGCCAGACTCGCTAGCTTGGTTGACGCATGCTGTTGTATTCCAGTAGCGCAGGGATCACAGGATTGTCTGGTCCAGACTTGATTATTTACAGACCACCACCGTGTAGCTGGAATATTGCGGAGCGCGGCGTTAAACAACAAACAACAAACAAAATAAACAGAGTAGGTCCCCAAGCGTATCATCGTGCCGATTGAAATATGAAGTGATTGAGGGTCTGTCTAGTTAAAGAAACGAATGAAGTTTGAGGTCAGGGATAATGTATTGACTTTAAACTTTAAAAATTTGCTACGCCACTTCTAGCGGAGACGCTTTACTCTCTCGATACACTTGGGCTCAAGACACCAACTCGATCCTGTCAGTCGCCCCCACCCCTGGGTATTGTAAGTGCACTGACTCACCTCAAGTGTCTGGCTGATAAAGGCATTAATACTAAAGGTAAATATTTACCCACTGCACATATAGACGGTGGTTTCTACCTTCTATCTTACACTGCCGAACGCGTTTCAACTTCCAAGTTGTTCATGTGTTTATATTGACGCCTAATACTGTCACTCTTATAGCACAAATTCTTTCTGTTTTAGCGACATTTTCCATCAGTTTGTCTATTATCACATTTTTTCGAATATTTTCTGGAAATTTCGAGCATTTTATATTTACATCAAGTTTCCTTAGAAGGAAACCTGAAATGACGAGAAAACAATCGAAGCAGCGAGAAAAATAATCGAAAAAACGAAGTTATAATTATTTAAAGAATCTTGAAGTAACGAGAAAATAATCGAAATTTCGAGAAAATAAGTGATATAACGAGAACATTTTTGAGGCAAAGAGAAAATAATCGCAAATTCAAGTTTTTAGAAAGAAACAATAATTGAAATAACGGGAAACTAACGACAAAATAATCGAAGTAACGAGAAATTACAAATGAGCAGATAATACATGCTGCAAAAGTGGCATCATGGGGCTTTTGTTTGCATTAAATAATGTCATTATTCGTATGATGTAAGGCTGCATAAAAAAGTTAAATGTTCCTCGGGCATTTTTTTTTAAAAGTGACGAGGCGGATAGGACTTTCTTTTTACTTTTTGATAGAAAAGAAAGTGACGAGGGAGGAACACATGTTTATTTGTTCTCTCAGAAATACAGCTTGGGGAGTTTAGCACGTGTTTAATGAGTTGTAGATTCAGTCAAGCATATCGTCAACTCTTCTTTGTTTGGCCCAAAGGCTCTGTCTCCACTTGTTTCCATGTTTGTGGACATTGGAGCAAGGAACACACATAGGGTAACTCTCTTTTGCAGCATCCTCACCTACCAGAACATGAGTACTGGCCCAGAGGAAACACACATCTGGAAATGATCTGCTAGCCTCTACTGAAGTACGGTACCTCAACTGGTGCCATACAAACCATGTTAGCCCTGTCAAACACTTTGCTGACAATACTGTCAATTCTGGGAGTACTACCATCAACAGCTTTCATGTCTTTGAGTTCAGTTCCACATGTATAGCCAAAGAGCTGAAAAAAACTATCAAGCCAAGCTAAATGAGTTTGTGTTGGCTTGGATATTTGTATTTTTATGAGTGATATTTTATCAGTGTGTCAATGAATAAATAGATCATTATTCATAATTTCAAAATTTAAAAATATCCCTAACTAGTTTTGTCCAGTATATTCATCATGTTATCATCATTTAATTGGTGTTAACCAATGTACAATCTTGACATACCTGAAATCATCTCAAGTCTCTGAATATCTGTGAGAAGTTGGTAATTTTTCATGGGTTCAACTATGTGCTTGTGGTTTTCTGGTATGTTGTAGTTGAAGAAATGTGAAAACATTTCTGGTATATAACATGACCTCTCATCCATCTGAACTCTGTGAGGATCAATTTTCCAAAGAATATCAGTCATAACATTAACAAAACGAGCCCAACAGTGTCCACATTTGTGTCAACCTACATTGTAAACATGCAAGTTATGAAGTCATTAGGGAGTGTTTTCTTCATGTTTTTCCCTTTAAACTTCAATTTTGGTGGTGTGGATAATTTACTGGAATCCATGAAATAACGAAATGCACACTTTGAGTATGACCTGTTAGTTTAAGTCCGCTACTACAAGAACTGCCATCCCCGTAACATGCAGAAGTACTAGATTTAAATTTAGTCGAGGTAACATTGAATATGAAAAATCTTCCGAAATTAGCAACTACATCTTTCACCCTCGCAGTTACAAATATGTCGTCAAACGAATCTAGTCTCGATTTGGCCACACAACATGTCAGATTCAAAGAATAAAACATCATCGTACTCAGTGGGCATACACACCCAATCGTCATTGTCAGCTTCCAATTATTTGCTTGACACGGCATCATATAACTCCCCTAGTGTTATGTTGTCACTGAATCTATACAAAATTGTCCACGGGCGTAGGATTTTAGCCCCGGCGTTGATTTTCACTGATACCAGGAGGGCCATGCTGCATACAAACTCCGCACATCAATGTTCGCTAGCTACATAGTGCGCACTGCATTGTACAGAAGAGTACGCAATGCTGCGAGTTTGCAAAACGGAAGCACACTCGTTCTTTCAGACACTCATGCTTGGTGGACAAATGGATGATCGGGACGCGGCTAAGTCAAACTTATATTTTTTAAATGGCAATAAAAAAATGTTACGCGCACAAATAAAAGTGACACGCCGATGCCCGAGAAACATGTCACGTTTTTTTTTAGCCTAACTGGGGTGACGGCCGTACCCGTCTTCTGATAAAGAGCGATAATCACCTGCTAGATATTCCGTTAGGGTTTATATCCGGGTCACACGTGTTTGTCAGATAAGGAGATATCTCGAATTGTTGATGTACACACCATGTGTTCCGAGAATAACGACGACCACCCCCAACTTCGGGTTGTGACTCTTTTCACGTTGGAAAATCCCTGCAACGTCACTCCAATCATTGTGCGTCGCAGTTTCTGATTGGTCAGTCGATGGGTGCTTGAAGCCTCCTTAGAAATAAGTTGGTTGGTCTGTACGAATTTCATGACGTCATATCTTAAATATCGCGTGTATCAGAGGCAAGGTTCACAGAACGGCCTCCATATTTCCATATTAGAAACATGACTCATCCCCATCCCTTCAGCGAAGCATCCAAAGGTGGGGTGGTGGTGGTGGTGGTGGTGGTGGTGGTGTGTGTGGTTTAGCTGGCACACCTTTCCCCAGGCCAAAGATAAAGACAGGTCGTGGATGAAAAAAAAGAGTGTGGTCAGTCAGGTACAGTCCTAGATATCAACCTTGATTCTCAGAAACTGATAAGTGAGTGAGGGAGTGAGTGAGTTGGGTTTTACGCCGCTTTTAGCAATATTCCAGCAATATCTCGGCGGGTGACACCAGAAATGGGCTTCGCACAATGTACCCATGTGCGGAGTCGAAACCGGGTCTTCGGCATGACGTGCAAACCATTTGGCTACCCCACCACCCCCAGAAATTGATGATTCAAAGGATATAGAGCGTTGAAAACTACAAGATGAGGTGATGTGAAATTGGGTTTAACGTCGTGCTTGAGAATATTTCGCTCATATGACGACGTGCATGCGTGTGTATGTGTATGTCCGGCTGCTTGTACTAGCCCAGACTGAAGCTGGTTTTATAGTGCTAGCCCACTGAGATACCATGCCGAAGAGAAGCATGAATACCCGACTCAGACACATTATACTGACTCCGAGCCGACCAGTCCTTGTTGTACCCATTAATGTCAAATTCAAGGCAGGGACCAACAAGTACCATATTTTAACGTCTTTTGGTATGACGCGGTCGGGGATCGAACCCGCAACCTTCCGCTCTCCAGGCGGACGCTCTAACCACTACACCACGGGGGCGGTCCGACCACTACAAGAGAAACACGGGGGATTGCAGACGAGGTGGCAGTGAGGTACTACTGAACAAGCGGCATGACCTTCAAAGTACATACCACTTGGTACAAAGAATTTTTCATGTTCATAAAATAGAAAAATGCGTTATTTTGTCTGCGTGTAGTGTTGTATGAAGTGAAAAGTATGCAAGTGTAGAAAATTAAAACAATGCATTTATTATCAGAGCTTTCGTAACATAAATAGTGTCTTTATTCGCTGGGGTTTGTTCAATTATTAAATCACGTAGATCTTTGTGGTAAAGCTACGCCCCTTCTGCTACTTTGGCCTTATGTAGTTATGCAGCGGACGGCATTCCAGAAGTTCGCGAGTCATCAACGAAGCATACGACTTTAGGGATAACAGCTTCTTTAATGCATAGAGCGACGTTTCGATGTAGACTCCTCCAGCGTTTTCAAGTTAACAGTGATTACAACCAGGTGATCAGACATATATAGGGCATCAATTTTTTTGTGGTTAGGATGTTGATATTCAGTAACCCATGCTTGTTGTAAGAGGCGACTAACGGCATCGGGCGGTCAGGCTCGCTGATTTGGTTGACACGTCATCGGTTCCCAATTGCGCAGATCGATGCTCATGCTGTTGATCACTGGATTGTCTGGTCCAGACTCAATTATTTACAGACCGCCGCCATATAGATGGCGTAAAACTAAACTCACTCACTCACTCACTTGACTGATATCGCCACAGGTAGCAGATACGTCACATCGGCAGATGAAGTCTATCAGTAATATCGATCTACCTTCTACCCTAATGTAATTGTGTTTATTGTTAATTTATAACTTTTTAAGTCACTATATGGCTGAAATATTGCCGATGTGACTATAAATTTTAACTCACTCACTCACTCACTTGACCAGTGATGACCCTGGCTACAATTGTTCTTCAGCAACCCATGCTTGTTGTAAGAGGCGACTAACGGCATCGGGCGGTCAGGCTCGCTGATTTGGATGACACGTCATCGGTTCCCAATTGCGCAGATCGATGCTCATGCTGTTGATCACTGGATTGTCTGGTCCAGACTCAATTATTTACAGACCGCCGCCATATAGATGGCGTAAAACTAAACTCACTCACTCACTCACTTGACTGATATCGCCACAGGTAGCAGATACGTCACATCGGCAGATGAAGTCTATCAGTAATATCCTTACTTCTAATGTTCGTCCTCACTAACCTCGATTGTTCGAGGAAGTTGGTTTTGAATAAATCAGAATGTTTTGATATCATGCATCCCACAGGGATACAATGTGTGACGCCCACCGTCACATTGCTGGAATATTGCTGAAAGCAGCATAAAACAACACCCATTCGCTCATTAGATCCAGAAACGACGTGAGTACATTCTCCACCCTTAATTTTCTGAAAAACACTCATGGTCTAGATAAGGGCGGTACAATAGTTTAGGTATTTCGAAATGCTTGATTCGACATCTAAGCTGAATATAATGAATGGAAAGACGAGTTAGATTTGCACTTCAATGTGCGGCTCCAAAGACATATATTTGCATAAACATGTAACCTCATACATGAAATGTAATCTCATACAGGAAATGTAATCGTATATATGAAATGTGAAACATGCATGAAATGTAATACGTCCATGAAATGTAGTCTCATACATAAAATGTAATCTCATACAGGAAATGTAATCTCATACAGGAAATGTAATCTCATACAGGAAATGTAATGGTATATATGAAATGTGAAACATGCATGAAATGTAATACGTCCATGAAATGTAGTCTCATACATGAAATGTAATCTCATACATGAAATGTAATCTCATACAGGAAATGTAATCTCATACATACGGGAAATGTAATCTCATACATAAAATATAATCTTATACATAAAATGTAATCTCATACATAAAATGTAATCTCATACATGAAATGTAATCTCATACATGAAATGTAATCTCATACATGAAATGTAATCTCATACATAAATGTAATCATAAAATGTAATCTCATACATAAAATGTAATCTCATACATAAAATGTAATCTCATAATGAAATGTAGCACATAGATGAAAAGTAACACATACATAAAATGTAATCTCATACATAAAATGTAATCTCATACATGAAATGTAGCACATAGATGAAATGTAACGCCAGAAATTATTGAGAATTTAAAGATTGTAATTTTCATATTTTTTTTCACTCATTACTCACGTATTATATGTGAATATTAGCAGAACATAACTCCAGATTCAAAGGCAGGTGAACAGTTAGTATTTTGTCAAGTCACCATGGGCAGCAATGCAGGCTTCAATGCGGCAGGGCATACTACTGATCAAAGAAGTTAGAAAGTCGTGGTCCATGCTGTCCCAATATCGGACCACCTCTGCTTTCATTTCAGCAATATTTGTCAGATTTTTCTTATTGACACTTTCCTTCATAAGTCCCCAAACATTTTCTATTGGATTTAGGTCAGGGCTATAGCTTGGTCAATCTAATAACGTGATATTTTGGGTCCGAAACCAGGCCTGTGAATGCTTTGAACGATGCTTTGGGTCGTTGTCCTGCTGGAAAATCCAAAACATTTCCATAGAACACATGAGCAGATGGAAGTAAATGTCCCTCGAGAATATGTGTACCGCTCACTGTTCATATTCCCTTCAAATACACAGAGGGGCGTTGCCCCTAACACAGATATGCCACCCCACACGTTAAATTTCAGACTGTACTTTGGGCGCTGATACAAAGGTTTTCAGTTTGTTTGGTCCAGAATTTCAGTGTACTAGGAAACAGCCACACAGAACTTTCATCTGGGAAAATCACATTGTCCCAGTTAAAATTTCTATGCTGTAAGCACCAGTTCAACCTTCGCTCCTTTTGTTCAGGTTTCATGATCGGTGATGGTATTTCTCGACTGTTCTGTCAACCCATTGCATGCAGCTCAGTTCTAATTGTCTCCTTACAGACAGCCACAGTTCCTCTATCAATCATATCCAGCCTTAAGTTTTCTAAACTCCTTCGGGTTTTTTAGAAACAAGAATACCAAGCCGCCTCCTGTCACCGACAGTCAATTTTCTGGGCCTACCTGCGCCTCCTTGGTGCTCAATGCCATATCCATTTGCAATATTTTTCAAAACACGATAAACAGTGGACAAAGGGATGCCTGTTCTACTTGAAATCACTTTAGCTGATCTGATGTCCTTGTTATAATACTCTAAAATCAACTTCTTTTTTTCTAAATCACCCACACAGAGGATCACTGAATATGTCGTCTGCCAGCAAGTAAACAAAGGGGGATAACTCTTCACAAACAAATGAAAAAGGATTAACGGAGTTGTCTCTCTTGAATGAAATCAAGCACTTGATAGCTGGTCAAGGTTGTTTATACTAGAAATCTAATTAAACATATTCCTAAAATTCTCAATAATTTCTGGTCATACTATACAATGGAAACATGATAAGTAAAATTTCAAGGGACTCTCCATAATTGTTTGCTTATCAGGTATTTTACTTATCCAAACTTATCAAAACCTGCAAATGACAACCATATGCGTGTATATGTATACAGCAGAATACATTTATAATACAGAGTAATAAAAATCAAACAAAATCAAACGAAATATATCAGTCACAGTCTAGCTTCCAACTCCACAAAAGATGTCATGCTTAGCTGGAGACTGACGCGCGCCCCTCATGTCGGATTATTTGGTGATCGCTAATTTAGATATCCGGTCTCTTTTGTATATTTGTTACCCGACATTGCTTAGAAGACACAATAACTGTGTCCATACACTTATCAGTAACTGTCAACATTTCACACAGACAAAATCAAATCATGTATCGACCTTATACCGACGTCACATTACTTACTGCATACCCTATGACATCTCAGCAAAGTCCCAAACAGTCAACATATGCGAAAAGGTAAGCAAATCCTACTCAACTGCCCATTGCACAGCAAACACATGCAAAGTCAAGTCAAATATTCACTTGCAAGCAAAATGGAAATATATCGTTCACGTTGAAAAATGATAACACTGATGATCTTCGAGACATCTGCCTTCATTTAACTGAAGTGGATTTCATAAAGCTTAGCCATCGCCACAGTGATAGTGAGTGAGTGTTTATTTACGCCGCTTTAGCAATATTCGAGGAATATCACGGCATGGGACACCAAGAATCGGCTTCACACATTGTACCAATGTCGGGAATCGAACCCGGGACTTCAGCGTGACGAGCTGACGCGCCACGGCGATAAGTATTGCAGGAAATCATAATCACTGATTGACTGGATGAATTAGGTCCAACCAGTACTGCACAGTTTACACAGTTTCATAGATATTGTAGATGGATCTTATATATGTACTTGAATCTTGTAAACGGAGAAAGTGACCACCTGGTATAATCACTATTCGATATTAGTTAATAAACATAATATTGTTAAAAGCGGCATAAACCATCCTCACTCACTCTATCACTGACTTGTTTGGTCCCCGTCATATACCTGGAATATTACGGAGCACCAAGTTAAAAAAAACAAGCAAACAAACAAATATAAATAAATCAATCATCCTTGAGTGAGTGACTGAGTGTGTGGATGTGATTTTACGCCGCTTTTAGCAATATTCAAGCAGTATCACGGCAGGGGACACAAGAAATGGGCTTCACACAGTGTACCATGAGGAGAATCGAACTAGGGTCTTCGGCGTGACGAACGAACGCTTTAACCACTAGACTACCCAAACGCCCCTATCGTCCTTGAACAATGTTCTTTGCTGGAACAGTTACAAGTGCAATGTATTATTAGGATAGAAGAACGTGAATGTAACTTTTCGTTCATTTGAAATCGTTATTGAATAATGTCGGATATAAATGTTTTGCATGGTATGGTAGGTGGGTGTTTGGTTTTGGGTGCGCTTTATCTAATCGATAAAGATTAATGGCACGTAGGCTTACATTTCCCCATGACAGTAAACTGCGTAGTTGAGCCTGTCTTACGCAATATAGCTTTCCGAAAAAAAAACTGTCCCCAATAACTTTACTGCTATACATATACGTATTGCTCTATCCAAGTTTTGTCAAATAATCTTGCAAAAAATTGTTTGCACAAAACACAGCTATGAACCGAACACGAAAATAGAATGCTTGAAACGTCAACATTGCACAATGTGTCCCGAATTCGGAATATACAGTCCCGCCTTTCCTTGTGTTTTCTTTCCGTCCATGGAAACACAAGTACATCCGACAATCAGAACATATAAGAGCCGTGTAACTAGCAAACTGACTCACTTGGTCTGCCAGCAGTGTTCAAAATGGCCGCGAATATTCTTTTGCCCTTATGGATATTACTTAGCTGTGTAATAGGTATGTCAGAACACTTTTTATCTGCTCATTTCACGGTACAAACGGTATTTGAAATGTTTGACAACTTCATAATTGTAATTGTATACTTTCATGAAGGTGTATTACTGGGTTTGCGTGTAATTTGCCATGTACATGTTTGACAAGCAAGACTTAATCCAGACTATGACATTTCGGGTATTTACTGACACAAGAAAGCTCTCATTTACAATTTACCGTTATATCAAAGTATCATTACATCGTCTGGTTTAATTGCAACTTTGATGATTTGATGAAAATATGTCTGATTTTACCTGCAGTAAGATACACTTTGATTCAGTGAGAGATCCAGCATAACATTCTAACGAGGCAGATTGCAGGACACAAGGACGCCTTTATTCTGATTTTACCTGTAATAAAGTACACTTTGATTCAGTAAAAGGTCCAGCATAAAATAAATGTATTGAAATTATACACGTAATTAATGAAGATTACCATCCAAACAACTGCATTTGTACGCATAAGTGTATTTTATTGCTTATTCCGTCACAACGCATGAAATGACCCTCATGGTGACTTCGCACAAAAACACATGCAAATCATGAAAATGGCAGTTAATGTAGGGGTGTATAAAAGCCCATGTGCTTTCGTATTATATTCATTCATTTGTCGCCGAAAAGCTGTGTTAAAAATGCCACGATTGAGTGCTGCCGACCGAAATATCGCCATTGGTCGTGTTCAAGCCGGAGAAAGTTTTGGAACTGTTGCACGGCACCTAAATGTTCACAAAACAACGATATCCCGACTTTGGAGCCGCTACAACAACTTCAATTTGACCAACGATCGCCCGAGAAGTGGAAGGCCAAGAATCACGACCCCTTCAAGATCGGTACATCCGGGTCCATCACCTGCGTAATCGGCATGCCCTACCAACCGTGACTGCCACACAAATACCAGGTTTGAGGAGAGTGTCAGCTCAAACGATTAGGAACCGTCTGAAAGAAGCGGGTTTACGTGCCTGTAGACCAGTTGTTGGACCTGTACTACGCCCCCTACATCTCCGCCGACGACTCAGGTGGTGCAACAACGTAAGGATATGGACTTTACAAAACTGGAGGCGCATCTGGTTTTCTGATGAATCCTGTTTTCTTTTGCAACATCACGACGGAAGAAAACGTGTGTATAGGAGACGTCATGAACGTTTTGCGCCCATCTGCGTCCGACAGGGGACAGATTTGGCGGAGAAAGCGTTATGGTTTGGGGATCCATCTCATACAACCAGAAATCAGACTTGGTGATCGTTGAAGGGAACCTGACAGCCCAACGTTACATCAACCACGTATTACAGCCTCACCTTCTCCCGATTATTGACCAACAGACACAGATTTTTCAACCAGACAACGCCCGGCCTCATACTGCACGTGCAACAATGAGCTTTCTGCAGAATTCCAACGTCAATGTCTTGCCATAGCCCTCTAAATCACCAGACCTCAACCCTATTGAACACCTGTGGGATACTCTGGGTCGACGCGTACGTCAACGTCAGCCGCCGCCACAGACGCTGCAACAGCTCGGCGTTGCACTGCAGGAGGAGTGGAGAGCCATTCCCCAGGAAAGAATCCGGCGTCTTATCCGTTCTTGTCCAAGGAGATGCCTTCTGTCTTAAATAATAAAAATGCTGTGTCGTCTTAAAACTTCAGATCAAAATCTCTAAAATACGGGGGTTGCGTTTCTTTTTTGACAGAGTTTACTAACTAGAGAGATTACAAGTCATGGCCGCGAATATTCTGTTGCCCTTATGGATATTACTTAGCTGTGTATTAGGTATGTCAGAACACTTTTTATCTGCTCATTTCACGATATATACGGTAATTGAAATGTTTGACAACTGCAGAATTGAATACTTTGATGAATGTGTCTTACTGGGTTTGCGTGTGATTCGCCATGGACATGTTTGACAGCTAATGTCCTACTTCCTTGAGGGGCATTTTAGAAGTTGTATAGATGAAGGAAAACCAAGTTCTATTGACAGTCAACTTCTTTGTTGCAATGAGTGCAGCACTCATTCTAACGAGGCAGATTGCAGGACACAAGGACGCCTTTAAAGTACACATTGATTCAGTGAGAGATCCAGCATGACATGCTATCGAAGTAAGATTAGAAGACATACGGACATCATTATTCTGATTTTACCTGTAAAAATGTACAATTTGATTCAGTGAGAGATCCAACATGGCATTCTAACGATGGTGATTACAAGACATAAGGGCGTCATTTTTCTTTGTGTTCTTCAGGTGCACTAGCTGAAACTTGCTACGGGGCGTACGAGTCAATCAACTGTATTTTTGGATGTTGTGAGGACACATTATATGTTTACTGTTGTTTGAGTAACGGGTAAGTAATGATCAACATTATGTGCGCGCGTGTGCCTGTGTGCCTGTGTGCCTGTGTGCCTGTGTGCCATCGTTTAACGACCTTTTGAAAGGGTACTTCAGTTGTTTGTCAACGGTATTTATCAAGCATTATTATGGTAACCGTGAGCATCTTTTTGTTGTTGACATCCAAATGGAAGCGACGCAGCAACTCAGTCCCAGTGCCAACCTATTGCTATTGTTTTGCCGGGCTGAATATCATACTGTAACACTATCTTCACTCCAAATATGAAACGATGAGTTCCCACAGAATCCCTATTACTGTTAACTTAACTGATGATATTATAATGGAAATCGATGTTTTTTTTCTTCAAAACAGGTCAAGGTAAATGGAAAGGCAGTTCGGGAAATGTTAGATAGGTCGTTACTAATTAAACTGATCCTTGACTGGTTTCAGGGAATTTAGAAAATGAATTTCGACTTTCTTTTCCAAGGAACAGGTTTTTATCCATAAAGTCGTATGCTTCATTATTGATTGATTGAACTTCTAGAATGCCAATAAAATAATCAGTTGAAACCTGTTCTCGTGGGTTAAGTCGAAAGTGGTCAATGTTTGATGGCTATATCACTTCTGCAGTAGTTGGCCATTGATGAGTCATCCTTAGTGAAATTTCCATAGACTTACATGTTAATTAACTGTTGAAAGAATAATTTTAATAAACTGAGTAGAAGTAATTCTATTTTGATATTTGGCAAACATCTTGAAAATCATCTTCAGCTACACGTACAAAATGTTCTTTCATATTTCCGTTCATTAGTTATCGAATGACACCTGATTAAGCATCATCAGTACAACTTAATTTTAGTCTATCCCCTAGAAAGCCATGTTAAACCTGATTGGTACGTCTAATATATGTTGTTTAAATAGTTGCAGTTTTCTTAATAATCATCGGAAAATTGAATGGGATTTATGTGTATGTAGCTGAATAGTAGAAGTAATGGGGGTATGAGATCACTTTCAAGAAAGGTCGCTGTAAAGCTTTATTTCATTAATAAAGCTTTGTCATGCCCCTAGATCTCGCCCCCATCGTGTCTACTACTTTTGAATCCCCAGTTAACTTCCCGACCCCACGTGCCACTTCCTGATCACGTGATAGCTCTATGCCGCGTTGACCTCGATGAAACAGTTTAATGTGAATCGCCTATGATCTCTTTGGTGTTCGTAATAAAGGCTTGCTGGGCTTTTCGTACCCCCTGTTCTATGTACTTTTTTTTCTCGTCTTCGCTGATAGCAGACTTACGAGACTTGGACCGGATTTCTTGTTTCATCTTACGGTACTTGTCGAGTTCAGAGAGGATTGAACGAAATTCCTCCTCTGAGATCTTACTGTCAGTGAGTGCCGTGGAAATACGCTCACTTACCGTGTTCAGTTTTGCTTCAGCCAGAACCCTGATCTCGTCGTGTTTCAATGCCTTACGATGCAGTCTGCGGGATGCAAAATTAAACACCAACCCTGTCACCCCCTATAACCCCAGCTGTTATTTCAATGCCTAGCACTATAGGTGCGGCCACTATGGTGGCTAACAACCCAACACCTGCTGCCCCTAGTCCCATGCTGGTTGCCATAAGGGCAGTATCAGTCCTGTCCACGATATTGAAAGCTCTATGGTACTTCTTATAGAGGGGTTTCCGTGTGTCACGGTCTTGTTCTAGTTGGCGTTTTACATCACATAACTGTCTCAAGCGGAATCCGTCTACGGTTTCCAGGGTCTTCGCTACTTCCTCTACGACTGGGTACAGCCCCATTCTGTGTGCATATAAAATATCTTATGGGATATTTTCTAATTGAGCTTTATTTAATAGCCGATCAATGTACTTGAGGCTTATAAGGCTTAGATTCTCGTATGTGGAGATACGGGAAGGATCAATAGGTAACTTCTGGTCTATCTCAACATGTGAGAGTAATCCCAGTGGGAGGTCACCAAATCGTATAATGATACGGCAAGGTAGGGGGATTGTTACTAGGGGGGTCATCCCAACGTATTGTCACCCCAGGTAAAAGTTGCAGGTTTGGGGATCGTATCAGGTCGTCCGAATCATCAAACTTACCCTTGTAAGCGACTTCTATGATGAGTGTGGAGCCTGGGGTCATAGCCCTAAACCCTGCTATGGTTATCGGGGCGGTTGGTTGTTAACTGCGACCACCTGGATGAAACTAACATGTTGCCCCCCGAGTAATATGGTATTTTAGAAACTATCATCCTTTCACGAGTTGGAATGAAAGACGTGAGCAAGATACCGTTGTTCCTAATTTCAGAGACATAGCCATCTTTGTCTAATGAGATATATGGTGCAGTGAGGGTCACGTTGATCAACCATTGGGGTTTCTTTAAGCCTGCCAAGGACTGCCGTATGTACACACCGTTTCTAAAGAGTAGGACGTACGAGACGTTTTCCCGACCAGGCTGATCGAACCCCTCCGTGTCTCCTAGACCCCCGAGTGTGATTTTGGGTAGATGATCGGTCATTGCCGCCCGCCTATACACGTTGTCTTTTAAGTGTAAGACGTACGAGGTGTCATCCTCGCCAGGCTGGTCGAATCCTTCCGTGTCTCCTAGATCGTTAAGTGTGGCATTGGGCCGATGCCGATT